ATATTTACTGACCATGTTATACTCGTTATCTATCGTTCTATATAGTATTTAGCAAAAATACCTTTGCACTATTTGTCAAGGAAAATTCTATATTGTTTGCAGTCAATACTTTAGTTTGTCTTCCCGCCAAAATGTGTGATATGCTCCAAAATTGTCCAGAAGAAATAAAGCCTTCAAAAATCTACTACTTCTAAAACATTACAATTTTACAAATGCCACGTTTTTATACCCTGTACCCGTAGGGTAAAAAGGGTATGTTAGGTTTGTGCAAAGTATGTAACATGCAGAAGGAAGCATCTCCGACCCCATAAAGTATATATATTCTGAATCAGCATGACTAGAGAAATCGATCAAGACATGTCCGTCCGTCCGTCTGGATGAACGCAAGGATCTCAGAAACTATAAAAGCTAGAATAACCAAAGTCGTCATCCAGATTCTCCTAGGTCCGAGAAAGGACGAGTTAATTCTAGCAAGCTGTACATTTCAGTTAAAGTAAACTGTTTAAACAGATTTTTTTAAATGATTCGAAAAAAATAAAATAAAAATAACTTCTCAACCAAATCAATGATAATGAATAATCCAAAGTAAATAAAAAAAATAAAACTGTCCTGTGACAGTGCTTGGTGGAATTAAAGTCCATAGCACAACAAAACTATAAATTGTGAATGAAAAACATCAGCGAAGATGAAAAGCCAACTCCTTTGAAAAGCCGCTTTGTTCTAGTTATATATTTATAAAATAAATTAAGAAAAATTTAAAAATAAAAAATTTGAAAAGTTGAAAAATAAAATATATATGTATGAGTCTTGGTGCGATGTGCTCGCCAACGCGAGCCACACACGACTGAAAATGTTATGATTAGGCATCAGCGAAATAACTTTTCTAAGATCCCGAAAAGCCTACTTGTTCGCCCAACACTATAGAAGTACGGGATTATTTTTCCAACACTTAGAACTCGCTGGCACTAAATACAACCCAATTATTCATTTACATACGCTATATGTGTCGCATTATATGAATTAAAATTGAAAACAATAAGAAATGCATTATTGAACGGAATTGCATTCAAATGCGGTGAACAAATAACCAAGTGTGGCATTTTCGGTTAGTGCGAACAGGAAAAGAAAGTGCTGTCAATCTGCGGGTTCTAAGTGTTGGAAAAGTAATCCCGTACTTATTTAGTGTTGGGCAAACAAGAAGGCTTCTGGGCATCTCAGAAAAGTAATTTCGCTGATGCCTAATCATAAAACTTTCAGTCGTGCGTGGCTCGCGTTGGCGAGCACATCGCACCAAGACTAATATATATTTTATTTTTCGACTTTTCAATTTTTTTTTTTTGTTTTATAAATATGTAACTAGAATAAAGCGGTTTTTTGAAGTGATTGGCTTTGTATTTTCGCTCAACTAAAGTTGATGTTTTTTATTCACAATCTATAGTTTTGTTGTGCTATGGACTTTAATTCCACCAAGCACTGTCACTTTGGATAATACATTATCATTGATTTGGTTGAGAAGTTATTTTTATTTTATTTTTTTCGAATCATTTTTTAAAAATCTTTTTAAACAGTTTACTTTAAAAATGCTCGATATATATATAACTAGAACAAAGCGGTTTTTCAAAGGAGTTGGCTTTTCATCTTCGCTGATGTTTTTCATTCACAATTTATAGTTTTGTTGTGCTATGGACTTTAATTCCACCAAGCACTGTCACAGGACAGTTTTATTATTTTTATTTACTTTGGATTATTCATTATCATTGATTTGGTTGAGAAGGTTTTCTTATTTTATTTTTTTCAAATCATTTGTATATTTGTAGGTTTGTGCAAAGTATGTACTATCAGATTCTCCTTGGTCCGAGAAAGGACGAGTTTATTTTATTTTTTAGAATTTTCGCTCCTTCCCCCGATACAGAATTTCGTCAATACTGTCCACATTTCCAAAGTTACATAAGCCAAAAACTCGATTTTTATGTATAATTACTACTTTTGTTTGAAGTTTCATTAAAATCGCTTAATTTGAAGAAAAGTTATAAACCAACCTATTCTAAACAAGAGAGAACGCTACAGTCGAGCAAGCCCGACAGTGTAATACCCTGTACCCAGGTAAACTTCCGTCACTGAGTTATATGCGCCCATAGCAGCAGCAAAAAGAGGAAGAAGAAGAGCAAACTTGTTGCTGCAGTTTGGTGAGGTTGTACTGGCGAGAATTTGTTTCGCTAATAACTTTTCTTAGAATTGACAGAATTGAATAAAATTTTAAACAACAGTAGACAATTATATATATATTATGTGTGCAAAGTTTGGTTTAGGTAGCATTTGAAATGTGGACGCTATTGACGAAATTCTGTAGCGGGGGAAGGGGGGGAAAATTCAAAAAAATAAAATAAACTCGTCCTTTCTCGGACCTAGGAGAATCTGGATGCCAACTTTGGTTATTCTAGCTTTTATAGTTTCTGAGATCCTCGCGTTAATCCAGACGGACAGACGGACAGACGGACGGACGGACGGACATGTCTAGATCGATTTCTCTCGTCATGCTGATTCAGAATATATATACTTTATGGGGTCGGAGATGCTTCCTTCTGCATGTTACATACTTTGCACAAACCTAATATACCCTTTTTACCCTACGGGTACAGGGTATAAAAATGCAGCATCAAGTTCGCATATGTGTATAACTCAGTGACGGAAGTTTGTCTGGGTACAGGGTATTTCACTGTCGGGCTTGCTCGACTGTAGCGTTATCTCTTGTTTATTTTATTTATTTTTTTAATTTTATTTATTTATTTATGTCAACAAACATTGACTGTCGACATAGGAAATACATATACAAGTATAAAAATAAAAAAACATCTTATAAGCTAGAAAAGCCTAGGAAGGAGAAATCTAATCAAATTACAATAATATCTAAAAACGCCTCCGACCCAATGGGGGAATATTATTTGCCCTTCGGATAGCTGAAATAAGGTGCCTTATCTCCGTCTAAAGCCATAAGACAGCGAAGAATTGAAATGGTTGACAGTATTGGGAGGGAAAGGGAAACGTCTTCTAAGCGTAATAATGAATTGTATTCATGGACTCATATTAACGAAGAGAAAAGGATAAACACTTCACGCATCCTCAAGATGAATTACAAAGAAGCGTCTGTCTTCCGAAACAAAGCGCCTATTAAACTCTGTTTATAGCTCTACAAATAATCAATATACTATAAGTCAGTTATGATCAACTATAACTATATGAACCCTTAACAGATTAACAATTTGTTTGGCATCACGTTTGCGAGATCCTTACAATTATCAACGACATTTATATATTTTTAATTATCTACATAGTAGCTATATATAGAGTGTACATATATTTACTTATTTGTAGTCTTCCTTTAAAACCTCAGTGAGCTGCATAGTTACACATCACTTTTTTTATAAATAATATAAATAAAATCGCAATCTGCTTCTTTTTACAAAAAATAAATACAATACTGCAAACTAATTGCAATTACAAACATCATCAGACTTTTGATTATGTCTATAATAACTATATCACGGTATAAAACTATTTTGTCGAATGTATTTCTAGTGTCATTGGAAAAAGAGGGGTTAAAATATCAATATTTTAATGATAAATCTAAACGACTGAATCAAAAACTTCTACCTTCTTCTTGGCCTTTCAACAACGACAATTACTAATCCCATGATCCTATATTTAGTTAAGCATCAAGAATTGCTATGAAACCCTTACTCACCGAACAAAAACCGATATCATTTAGTTTAATATGTAAGAATCATAGGAATAACTTTTTCATTCCTCTGTATTCTCAGCAGAAATGCTTAGCCTTTCCTTTCTGATTATCGACTTGGTCAGGTCTATAACTTATTCCGCTTACCAGGCCTCACTACAAATCTTAGAACTCATTGAGAAATGCTCAATGACTATGACTAAGGAAAACTTTAACTGTTACCAGAAAAGTAGCCCTTCAATTCACATTCCAAACTCCCCCTTAACCTCTGTCAACTCTTGTTACTCTAACTTTTTTATTTGTATGAGTCCTTTAACAACTCTAATCCACTAAGTTGAAATTTTTAATCCAACAACAAACAATTTCACTAAAATCACAGACTTTATTACATTTCCACCATAACTCGAAATAGCATTTAAGCTTCAGCTTAGCATGGATTTAAAAAAAAAAAAAAACAGAATACTGTAGAATATCTTAAGCTGAAGGTCATGGGGCTACAGCTATACTATAGTATATAGTATATACTAGCACAGTTTATTTACAATTACACATACATTTGAACAATCAATAAATAAGTAAATAATTGGGTGATTGGAAATCTCCTCGTGGATTGCGCTGTTTGCACTGGAAATTCACTTGTGATTTCCAAAAGCAGCTTTAAAACTATAACCTGCCTTTGAAGAGCTCTGCCGACATACTTTGATTTTCTTTTTAGACATGTTATGGTTATGATAATGGATAATAAACAGGGCGCCTATGGATATGCAAATTGTGGAGTATGGAGTAAGTGTTTGTTGCTCGCAACGACTTAATTGTGAAGTCAAGTCGCCACAGCGAAATGACAATGCAAATGACTGGTCCCTAAATTTAATTATACAATGCTTGCTGTGTGCGAATTAATCATTTGTACTGGGTCGGGACCGGCAGTGGTTGAGCGATTGGGTAAATACTATAGTAAACGGAAAATGGGGTAAAAGTCAATGGGGGGGAGTGCTGCGGGAAATGTAGATGAAGAGTCAATGCTGAAATGTTTTGAGCTGACGCAGATAGAGCGAGCAAGAAACGCAAGCACAAATGAATATAAATGTAATGTAATGGTTAATGGTGCAAAAAGAGGCTTGTGGTATGTGGCATGTGGCAGTCGGCTAGTGGATAGGCTTGCTTTTGTGGCGTTCCGCTTTCGTCATCCGACATCCAACATTCGGTGGTTATGTGACAAAGGCCTTTGCGAAATTAGGCGGTTTATAGTCCACAGCCTCCAACTTTAAGCCACACTTACTGGCTGATCCAAGTCAATCCATCCCTGCCTTTGTTGTCGTTGTTGTTGTTGTTATTGCTGTGGCTGTGGCCCTAGGTGGCTGTTTTGCTTCATCCTTTGCCCTTTCTCCTTTTTAGTGCGCGCCTCAATCAACAAATTCCGTATGCCATTTTTCATTTTTCCACTTCGCCAGCAAGCCGAGGCGTGTGTAAACACACACAAACACACAGACAGACACACAGATACTCGTATGTGTTTCTTTTTTTTTGCCATTGTGTAAACATTAATTTGAGTAGAACCAGGACTGGGACCAGAGCAGCAAGAGCAGCAACAGGAATTGCCATTTCGTTTCGTTTTGGTTCAGTTCGGTTCATTTTGTTTTATTTTGTTCGGTTTTGTTTTGTTCTGTTTTGTTTTGTTTTGCATTATCAAGCGGGGCAAACGCCCAAATGTTAATTACAGCTGCTTGGCAAGCGCATTGACATATTGACATGCAACTGCTATCGATTGATGATGGTTTAATGGACAAAAATCCAGCAGAGCGGGCGCCTCGATTTGCAAACGTATTCCGCGACAGGTGGCAGCAACAAGTTCAAACGCAATTTCACTTTTTCCCTGAGAATACACTAATACAAACAAGAAAGGAACTCTGGAATCGAGCGGGCTCAACTCTTAAATACTCTGTACACACTCCCAAAAGTAAGAACAAATTTTGAATTTTAAATTAATTAATTATTTAAATAAAAATTATTCAATAAGTACAGTACATGAAGTACAGAAATATGTCACTGTTAGTTTTTTAACAAAAAAAAAAGTACTGTTAAGACATGCAAATAATTTTCACACAAATGGCATACATTTAATGTTATTTAAATAAATAAAAAACAAAAATATTTCTATTCAACTACAATATTTTGATACTACTTTTACAAACCCTGATTATTACACATATTTGTGCGTAAATTATTTGCACTTCTGGTCGCAGTTTTACTTCAAATAAAATTAGAGATATATGTTACAAACTTACTAGCTTTGCTTAGAATAAAGTCCGAAAAAGGTGTTCGTTTTTATTTACCTCTATAGGCAAGTTTTAAAACAAAGTTTCTCTACCTCTTTCTTTTTTTAAGATCCTATGTATAATACAATTGTCAACATAAGCAGTTGAGAAATGAGGTTTAAATGAGAAATACACCTAATTCTGTTTTTACACGGTCTACACGAATTTGATATAACACGATTTGAAAATTAAAAATTGCATATATACCTAATTCTGTTTTTACACGGTATTTTTTTACACTATTTTGATATAACACGATTTGAAAATTAAAAATTGCATATATATTTATATTTTTGCATATGATCAATGTCTTTTTACACGGTTGTTTCTGGAACCAATCTACCGTATAAAAACAGAATTAGGTGTACCTAAAGATGGAGGTATTAGTGACAAGAAAAAGGAAAGAAAAACAAAATATTTTCCTCTGCTTACTTTGGAAGAATTTACGTAGCTTTTATTTTTGTTTCTGAAACTCAAACAACTCTCATGTTATGTTTAGTAGAAATATTCCGAATTCCTATTCCACTTTCATTTTTCGAATTTATGGTACAGCACACCTTAATTTTAAACCAAAAAAAAACTGGCTACGAAGACACGGGTAATGTAAATTTTTGTTATGTTAAATTCATTTTATTTGCTGGCTGTCTTAAATATAAATATGTTTTGAAATGTTCTTTTACTTAGAGACAGATAGATAACTGCAAACTACTTTGGTTCTACTTTGGCTGAGATTAGAAATATGGACGCATGAATTGATACTAGCAATCAGGCGGAAATAGTCGCAAGTCTCCCAACACACTATAAACCGCTGACGTGACAACTTCAAGGAACCTAAATGAAGGACCACGAGTCACCATCTCCATGTGCTGCTTGGCACACTGCCTGACAATCTCGGAATGTCCTATCATATTCAGCTTTGTACGAGTGTGTACTACCTGGCCAACGACTGGAGAAACAACTCATCATCCAAAGCATCACTTGATGACCCAACACCACACAACCACATCTCACCACAGAGCACCCCATTCGGCTCCATTCAGGTCGCTCTAATGATGCGCAACCTTTTAGCATGTTATTACATTTTCGTGCAATTTAAACAGTTACGCCTCATATTACCCCCCAAAAAAGAGGAAAAAGGAGAAAAAATGAATCCTACGGATACGTACAAGACCCACATTGGTCGCCTGATCAACTTGAAAGCTGCCCTTCAAGCCATATGCCAACTGCCAACTGCCAAGTTTTTTTTACTCGGCCGTCTGTCAGGCCTAATCCCAAGGCTGTCACATGATATTATTGCTAAATTTGTTTTCTTCCTATATACTTTTTTGTCCTTACTATTCTTTCTTCTTTTATGTGTTCGTGTTCGTGTTCGTATGTGTGTGTGTGTGTGTTGGACAATCAAGACATGATTTTCTTTTAGTGTCGATTAGCAGTACATTGCACTTTCTCTGGCGCCTGGAATGTCCACTGTAGAGGAGGACCAGAATGATGGCGAGACGACTGCGACCACGTCATTAGTGTAGGAGACGGCAATGGCTAAAAATATACAGCTCGGAAGCTAGCACGCCCAACAAATCGCCGCATAGGCCATAAATAATGATTGCTATGTACGCGCGTATTCAAATTACAGGCAGCCGTGTGCCGAACACTATAAGGATTACTTCCTTGAAGCGCCACTTGTGCGCCGGCCAGAGCAAGGAAAAGGAATGGGACAGGACTACACATACTCGTATCGTCATGGACACTGACTGCTCGGCCACGGGCGACACGCGCTTAAGTGGAAAACCAGGCACTGGGGTCGGTCCTGTCACTTGCCCTGCTCCTATTGCCATGTCGTTCTTGTTGTTGTTGTAAGCCAAGCCAAATTCTGAGTTTTGATAAAGTGGCAGGCGATGGGCAATGGATGAGTGCGAATAAGAATGGGGCTATAAATGGAAATGGGAATGGCAATGAGAATAGGAAAGGGGATTGGGGAATGCGGAGCAGTAGAGGCAACCAAAGATATTGCAGATGATGGCACATATTTAGGTTGGCAGAGTATCTATTTGTTTATTTTTTTATTTGACAGAATCATTTTTCTTGGGCTTAGCCGACCAAAGTTTCTCTATGGGCACTGAACATATGTATAGTACTTAGGTATGAACGGATGGATGGATATTAATTTGATGCCTAAGGAAGATAAGGTGCTATTCACTCAATGACTCATATTTAACGCGTATTAAATGCTCTTTTAATCTATACAAGTACATATGTATACTATCTATTATTTAGAAAAGAAGGACGACAAACACACTTGTTTTCAAAAGCCTCAATATGATTTGCATGTTTGAATATATGTTTGAAATGAAGCTATCATTCAGAATTATTCTTTTTAAAGCAGCTTTTAAAATATACATATTTTTTAAATTTGAAGCAGCTTTTTCCCCCTCCCCTTTTCTTTTTTTGTACACATTTTTTTTTATTTTTTAAATGAGCTTTTAACTGATTCTAAGCTTCCTTTCCCTGTTAAGTTTTTTCTTGTTATTTGCTTAATCTACCACGCTTAACTGTGATAATAAATAAAATTGGTTTTTGGTGTATTTTTAAGAGCTTCTAATAACTACAATAGCATTTGAAATGTTAAATCAAAGAATGGGGAAAAATTAATATAATTCATTCAAATCTAACATTAGCTGTTAAAATTATTTATTTAATTACGATTTTAGAACTTGTTTACATATTTGTTTCAGCAACAATTTATAGAACTTTTTTTAAAATAATTTTCCAATTCAAAAGAACCCAGTCAAATTATTAAGTCTACACACACATTTCATTGTAATAAATATTCTTTAAGCAAATTCAAGTTAAAAAATGTGTTAAGAAATTCTTTTGTTGTCTGATTAATATTTGTTGATGAAAATAAATGTATAAATTATTAAATATCCTTATTAACTAAAATCAATAAATACTCCTATAAAAATATATAAATGTCACAAATTTATTAAAATATTTGTAACAACAGGCCATTGTTTGTCATAGAGGCAGCACAGAGACAAGCTTACCAATGTATGTGAGCAAATCATTTAATTTTCTACGAACACTCCCTTTTTAAAATATTTCTTGTTTCTCCCCTCTTGTGGCTAGAGAATGTTAAATATTCAATTAGTTTTCAGTTGACTAAGCAAGGGAAATGGGACGCAGTGAACATTAGCTTACAATTTTTGATAAATTAATTTTAAAAAAATTGATAAATTTCTGATAAATTTAATTAAATAAAACAACCTCCGCTGCTATTCTCATACCAAGTACTTAAGTGATGGCAAACATGAGTTAAATTCTGATTTTTCTGATAAATTAAAGAAAAATATTGTGGAAATAAATTGTGAATTTTCTGGTAAATTAAATTAAATAAAAAAAATATTTTGGCCGCCGTCCTCTGCGATTCTCATACCTAGTACTTAAGTGATGGCAAATCAGGATTTAAAGTGTGAAATTTCTGATAAATGAATATAAATAAAAATAAATTGTGAATTTTCTGGTAAATTAAATTAAATAAAAAAAATATTTTGGCCGCCCTCCTCTGCGATTCTCATACCTAGTACTTAAGTGATGGCAAATCGAGATTTAAAGTGTGAAATTTCTGATAAATTAAATAAAATAAAATTATTTTCAAGGCATTTCTTATGGGTTTTTTAGGATGCATTGCAATTTGTTTGTTTTGCAATAATTTTGATCAATTTGAGGAGTATATCAAAAATTAAATAAAATGCTTCAATTGCAAGTCAAGCATGAAAACAATGTCATAATTATGCATATTTAATAAGTATGTATTAGTATATATGTACGTACGTACGTATGAGAGAGACGGCTTGCAAAATTTCACAAGGCTGCCTTAATTTAAAGTGCTTATTAAAAACACAAATAATTTGATAAATGGTAGCAATTCAGCAATTTATTAGCTCGACAGAAAGAAATAACTTTCAGAAATTATAATTATCGCTAATTTATGAGCGTCCACTGTACTGTAGTATATCGCCAAAGAAGCGTTTAAATGAATACTAGAACAACAAAGTGGAATTAAAGAGGCTAATTTAAGGTGTGTTTTCTAGTATCCAATGATGCTTGAAATGATTCAGTTGTGCCTTCTACTTTTAGTTAATATGTTAAAAAGAAAAGAAAACAATCTTCATTATTATAATTGCCTTTAGAACCTTAAAAAACTAGCCTTTTAACCAATATTAGAGTGCTATGCTTACAACTTTAAGGATAAATCAACACATAACTCAAAGTAAATAGGAAATGGAAAAACTCCACGGCAACTTTTCTTCGTTTTTATACCCTGTACCCAAAGGGTGAAAGGGTATACTAGTTTTGTTCCTCTTACAAATGAGAGTTGAAATTTTCAGTGCCCTTTAAAGTTTACTTTCTCACCTCAAAGTCCTGTCCACCTGCCCTGTTTATCAATATTTCAATGTGCCGAGCCAAAGCGATTAATCCTCTGCCTTGTCAAATTACATTAGCATGTGGCTGCATGAACTGTACGTGGCTTCTGCCCCTAAGAGATTCCGTTTAGCTCTGTGGCTTACAATTCCGCTCCCCTTCCACTCCCACTTTCACTTTCACTCTCAGTTACATTCGCACCTTATCGTTGGAATTAGAGAACTGCTAGAGGTGCTGCTTACTCATGTCGTCCATACATAATGCCATATGTAATATCTGCATTAATCTGTCCACAAAAATGCCGCCTCATATGGACAATGTGCACGTGTCCTGCGGCTGGTCATAAAGTTAAGCGCCTGATAGGCCGCAGCATTTGCATAAGCCGTAAGCCGTTAGCCATTAGACCGCCTGACAACTATCTAATAACAAACTTTCAACTGGACATCAAAAGCTAAAACTCACTACCGGCCAGATGCTTCAATGCTCGTACACTGACAAAAACCAAAAGACTAGTCCCCAATCCAAACATGTTTCTTGTTTAATTCAAAGTTTTAGAATTAACAAAAAACTAAAGCAACTTTTTTATTCAAATAGGTCAAAGACTTGTTTGACAAGTCGATACATTAAATTAATTAATAAATTGTAGAAAACACATCAACTGTTAAGAAAAGAGTGGACCTGCAAAACTAATTTTTAATTTATTTATTTTATCGTATGTAAAAAACAAATCAAAACAATAGAGCAAGTTCACTAAATAAATAAAACTAAAGAAAAATAATAATAATAACTCGGTGGGGGAATTTTATTTGCCAATAATAAAATAAATGATATAAATAAACCGTTGCTCTGTTGATGAGATCGAATATAGATCCATCTTTATATAATCTAAACAAATTATTATAATGGATAATAAAGCCTCCGAAATGTTGTAGGAAATTCATTTTCCCAGCCGGCAGGCTATGTTTCATTTAATGAGGAAAGAACCTTGAGAAACGGATCGTTGATGCAGAAAGATTCGACATCCTACATACGATTATATTTATTCATAGACCCTGCTTGAGTAAGGAGCGACACACAAATAAGGAAACACTTAAGGCCATGATCCTGTGCGTTTCAAACAGATGAGCAATAAAACTATTAGCACAGGACATACAGGAGAAGTCGATAGAAGCTTTCTTGCATAAGGATTACAGATTTGTTTCAATGAGCGATTAAGGACCAGGATATGACTCGTGTTTAGAACGTTGATTATCTCTGTGTACTTAACAGCTGTGCGGTAGATTTTGGGTGGGAATGTGGTTGGAGGGGGGTTCGGAAGTGTGAAAACCGTCATTAAATGTGACTGCGAATGGGCACAGTTCATTGGCGCTGGCTAAGCCAGCCGTGAACAATTGGTTTAGGACCTGCCACCCTGAAGTGCCATAAATCTCTCGAGCTCACACACTTAATGACATTTTATGAAAATTCGAATTACACACAGTCGAATAACGGAAATCTGCGCATTGAACGTAAATAGATAAACGCGAATCACGTCGCGCTCAACTCCAATAAATTAATATGCAAATTACAAAATTTTTCATTTGAATAGAGGCGGGAAATTGAATTTCCTTTAGTTATTTGTTACTATTTCAACGCCAACATTAAAACATTCAAGGGAAGGATATTAAACATATATACACGTACACATATGTACTATATTGTCTTTAAATGTGTTGCAACAAAAAAAATGTAAAAAAAAAGTGAGAAGAACGGGTGAAAGAGTTCTACTTTTAAAAATTTAAGAAGAACAGCTATAAAATCTTTTGTGCGTTTTCCATTTTTATGATTTGATAGATACATCGTTTGACACTCTTCCCAATCAATCCTCCATACTCTCGGAACCCCATCTGAGGATAGCAGATCGCTAGATAAAGCCCAGCACTAAATTGGATGCAATCTTTCAAGCACACAAGCAACCAACAGCACTCACACAATTCATAAATCATTTGCTTAAGTTACCAAAGACATTCTACTATATTGAAAAATATTAATATACCCACTTAAAGCATAATCATTCACATTATTCCTAGCAATATCACTTTAGCTCTGCATAAATATGTAGATTGAAATAGTGAAGAGTGTATCAGGATTTCCAACAAATACAATATGGCTAGGGCGAAGGGTCTCTCAAAGAAATACTAGTAATTTATTTATAAAGAAGGACTCTATATTTAAATAAGTTGCCAAATTATTCCTGGATATATAGGATATACGATTTGGTCTTATTTAAATTATAAATTATTTGTAATTTGAGGAGCACTTTTAATTTCTTAAAATTGAACTTCCACTCGTTATTAGGCTTGACTAAAAAGGCTTACACAATCATTTCATTTATAAATGTTTCAAGTTAAAAATTCAAATATCAAATCTTATATCATTCATGATATATTTTTAAATAATCATGTAACAATAAAAAACATTAATTTCTTTCCACTTACACTTATCATTGCATTATTTAGTCTAAGATTTTAAATTTATAAAATAAAGTAAGCCAGAATTTTAGATTGTTTTAAAGTAAAATATTCAAATTATTATATTAGATTTTTGAGGGCAACAATACAGACCACACGCTTTCCACTTACACCCAAAAAAAAAAAAAAAAAAAAAAAAAAACACAGTCACTATTTAATTATGTTATTTAGTGTATTTGTAAATTTATAAATAAAGTAAGCCAGAATATAAGACTCTTTTAAAGTTTTAAAAATATTTTAATTATTATGTTGAAGTGAGGGCAACAATTCAGATCACACGATTGTTTCCTGCAAGTGTTCTTAGAAATGTTTTGTCCGGTTTTCTCCATGTTGAGAAAGGCCACCAAGAGCTTTCCTGCTGTTCTTTGGTTTCTCACAGACATAAGCGTATACGTGTTATATACCTATCAGAGCCAGACGATCGGCTGTGTGGCCAATGTCATTACCCAATTATCGGCAGCACCTGGCCAATGTCTTTGCCGGCAGTGAGTTACCTTTGTTCCCCGCTCCCGCCTTTCCAGCCACTGTTCTACTAGCTGTAGCATTAATAGCAATTAATTGTTCGTATATATATCGGGCAATAAAAATACATTATCAAAGCACGGGGCCGGCAAATGGATAAATAGAAAAGATCACACAGCCACACACGCACACACGCACACCCAGAAGTAGAAGCAGAAACAGTGGCAGAGATATAGACAGTGGCAAGGGCGGGGGGAGCGTCTAAAAGGCGCATCCATGTTTATTTACTCGAGGGCCGGCAGCAAAACAAACCAATCCATTCGAAAGCAAATTAAACCAAACCGATATGATGGGAACACGTACGCATTACTGTGACAGATGTGGGCAATATGCGGGACAGCCAGCGCGTCAATTGATTTCTTAATTTCTTTAATGCCGAGAGCAATCACTAAATCACAAATTAAGCGAAATGCAACAATCGATGAATAAGTACAAATAACCCAAAAAAAAAAAAAAACGTTGCACACAGACACACGCGATGGCTGCAATAACTTTCAAATTTCTTGGAAAAAATACATCTCAATATATACATATGTATATTTGGCAGATATCGAGATAAAACGGCTTTAAATTTTGCTTCTGTTTCGGTTTTCAATTTGTTTTGAGATCGGCAGCCAAACGAACTTTGGCGAAATTCGCGGAGCGCTGCTTTCTGTTGCGCGCGCTGCCAGCTAACGGTAACAACTGAGGCGACTAGTGCGTGTGCTTGCAACATGTGGCAACCGGCCAGCTGGCCACTCAACCAACCAGCCAGCCAGCCAGCCAGCCACTCAGACAGCCGCCCACCCTCAGCCCTGCCCCCATTGAAAGCTGCCAAAACAAATTTATGAATGAAAAAAGCTTTGTGCCAAGTTCAAGGTGAAAAGCGCTGAAAGCTTTCCAAATACCGTTACGATTGTTTGTATGTTTCGTTTATAAATAACTAATAATAATTTAATTAAACAATAAGGTAAGTAAAATAGCATAGCGCATCAAGGAAAACGGTTTTACAAAAAAAATAATAATAATATGCCCTAAGCTTTAACAGAAAAAAAAAAACAAAAAAAAAGTAAACCACGTAAGAAATGGAATTAAATAGGGTTGAGTAGTGCTGATTAGTAGTGCTGGTAGGCGTCGTGATGATGATGCTGCTGCGCCAGATTTGCCTGAGCGAAGATGTGCTCGATCTCAGCGTCGCTCAGCTGATCGAAGATGCCGTGACCTTGGCTGCTGGACGGGCTCAGCTGTGCCGCGGACTGCGACGTAACAGGCGGCAGATAGCCTATGAGAAGCGGAGAGAAAGGTGTTAGAGCGAAATGGAGATAGTGAGTCGTTGGAATGAAATGCGATTTACCCTCAGCCGGCGCTCTGCCGTAGGGAGGCTGCAGTGTGATGGAAGGTCGTTGAGGTGTCGCCGCCGACGACGGCGTTGATGGTTGAAAGAAGACCGGTCTCCATGGCTGCTGTGGCTGTGGCTGAGGCTGCGATTGAGTTGGCTGCGTGGGCTCAGGGTCCGCTTCTGGCACGGGCACATTCGGTATTTGGGGTGACGCTATGGCCGTACCGGTCTCCGGTTGCACTGGCGTAGAGCCTGGTAACGGGACTATGCCACCTGGGAATTGTGCTCCGGGCTGCACAAAAGTGGGTGGCTGCACACTGGCGGGGAAGAACTGGCTTGTGGGTGGAGCTGTTGGTGTACCGGGTACATTAGCGGCAGGTGACTGTGGCACCAGTGGCACTAAGCCACCTGGAAACTGGGCCTCGGGCTGCACAAATGTGGGCGGTTGCTGCGGCAGTGGTGGCTGCACGTTGGCGGGGAAGAATTGGCTGGTAGATGGCGGTGCCGGCTCAGCGGGCGTCTGAGGCGCAAATGGGAATAAGCCGCCTGGAAACTGTGCCTCGGGCTGCACAAATGTGGGTGGCTGCTGCGGAACCGCGGGTGCCTGTGGTGCCTGTGGGAACTGAGGCACTTGGCTCACAAATGTGGGGAATTGGGGAAAAGCGGGGAATTGCGGAAAACTGGGGAACTCAGCAGCCATCGGTGGACTAGCGGGGACAGGTGCGGCTGGCACGGGCGTAGCCACTGGCTGCACGCTGGGCACGGCGAAGGCAGTCTGCACCGCCGGCTGCACTGGCTGCAGTCCAACGGACGGCACAGCAGGCAGGCTAGGTAAGCTTGGCAGGGACGGCAGTGCTGGCAGTGCGGGACCAGCAGCTTGAACAAATGTGGGCTAGGGAATAGGACAATATTAACCTTTTACTACTATATTAAATGTTCAAGAAGAACTTACCTGCAAGGCGTGGCCATGGAAGTGAAGCGGCTTTACAGCACCAGCCACAATTGGTTTGCGGAAATGATGATGCGGATAATTGACGCTGTATGAGGAGACAAGGGCATTGCCCGGGCGGAGCACATACGATGGCGCGGGCACGGCGGGGGCAGCAGGGGCTAAGGCAGTGGCCACTGCCGGTGCAACAGCGGGTGCCAAAGCCGAAGCTATACCACCGATAGCGGGCAACGCTCCAACTGCCGCTCCAACAGCGGATGTGGGTAGAAAGGCGCCGGTGCCAAGAGGTGTGGCTCCAGCGGCTGCCAGCGCATAAGGCTTGTAGTGGAAACCACCATGGAACGGAAGACCGGCAGCGGCATACTTCACAAAGCCATGCGATCGATGGGCGGCCGGTGCGGCGGCCAGGAATGTAGCAGCGCCGGGCAGCTGCAAGCTATACCCGTAGTGGGCGGCATAGGTACGGGTTGGCCAGTGGGCCCCACCCAGAGCAGCACCGCCATGCAAGATGCCGCGCTTATGCTTGCTCGTCGGCTGCTCCACAGCTGACTCTGTGACCTCGGGCACTGTTTTCTTCAGTGAGTCCTCAGCCGCCGTTGTAGTGGCCACAGCCACCACGGTGGCGGGTGTGGTGCTGGCCAAGCGGCTCGACTGGCGCACACGCAATGCGGCACGTGCGCTGCAGGCCAAAGCAATCGTGGCCAACAGCACGCAGATACTCCTCGGGTTCATTGTCTAATCCGTGCGACTTTCGTTTTCGATGTGGTTGTGGTTGTGGTTGGCACTACTCGATATGGTGGCCGCGATTATGTCAACGCGTCAATTGTTACCGAGAAAATGAAATGAACTTCCTCGGCGTTTGTTGTATTTATAAAGCGGATATCAATGCAGTGGTCGGCCAATTGGCATTATTCCGTGCATACTAAGCAGCTGGACAAAGCTCTATGGCTAGTGCAGCGTACTGGGCCTGATCTGCATGGCTGACAGCAATTGGCCCTTGCACAGTGGCCCACCGAGTCGATTTTTGGACTATCCAAGCATTAACTAACTACTCCAATGCTTGCTTCTACTAAAATATTTGAATAAATACAAGTAAGTATAATCAGAACTTGCGTTGTCACTAGCATTAAAGGTTTGGAATTAAAACTAAAGCGATTTTAAATAATGATACATAAAAATTAAATTTTAATATTAAAAAAAAACTATTGCTATTGCTATTTTAAATCCGGTTCAATGAACTCCATTTAACAAATTGAATTAATGTATTTTTTAATTCTTTTAAGTTACGAATTTTTTTTGTTTTGAATACTGTTTTAGTTTTAAAGAAAACATGATTTTATTAAAATTTGACTGCAGCAAATAGTTTCAAATAAATGTGTTATTTTCATTTAGTTATTTATATATTTCTTAATTCGTTAAAAGGTATTATTAATAAGTATAATAATCTATATTTAGAAGTAAATGTGAATGCATTATTTCGACAAAGGAATGAAAAGTGGTAAATAGTGTTCAATAGAATTTATCTACATACGTACATACGTACATATGCTTCCATTTTAGTTATATTATTATATTTGATAAAATGAAATACACTCTTTAAGATATAGAACATAAAATAATGACCTATGTCCGAAAGTTCTTCATAAGGCATCAAAAGCTTATTATATCAAATTAATTATAGTATATAAGCTACTATTTAAAAATGACTTATGGCATATACATACAAATGTACTTTATATGTACCTAAATACATATAGTACTATATATACTATACATATCAGTGTATACCTGCCTATCCTTTATGGGTGTCCATTGAACTAATTGCGTTGACATTTTTACGTTATGTTTATATGGATCAAAAAGAAATATAGGCTATATATTATTTCGAAACAGTGAGTGGTATTACACTACTTTCCTTTAAGGCTATTTGGCGCCTACAAAAGCAACTACATACTTGGATACATTATGGATAAAATGTTGAATATATGAACATACATATGTACTTTGGATCAGCAAAACATAGCTATGTATATTTTAAAAAATTTCCTGCTGCGGATCATGTCTCCTATAAAAATGATCTAACAGTTTGTCCAGTGGCCTCGACTTTATGTGCGATCTAACATTTATGAGGAAAAAAAACATCTGTCACAAAAAAGCATCTGCAAATTCAATTCAAAGCTTTAGAACAAAACTTAATTTAATAGAGGTGTAAATTGAAAATTAAGTTGTTAAATAATTTTAATTACTGTACTACTCATGCACAATATTATGATATTTTGATACTTATTTTAAAATAAATTTGTTGTGTGGGTCCAGTGGCCCACAGTGCATTTGTGTGGGCGACGTTTTTTACACGTCCATTTCACCTGCGGTTGCCCATCGGCCCATCTGCCCAACGGCCACAACCGCTAGCTCATTATGTTGCCGACCATTGCTGGAAGCAACCACCTACGCATGCGCCGCACGTTTCTGCACATGCACAAACGTTTTATTATTATTATTTTATTATGTTCAATGTTTCGTTCCGTGTTTGATGCGTTGTTGTCTTTCACTTTCTTAAGCGACGCGCCAATGGCCAATGGGCCCCAAAAAGGTTTGTCATTTAATAGTTTTATTTACATATACATATATTTTTGCAATTAAGTGAAACAAATCTAACTGTGGCATCTTTATTATGGCAGCCCAGGGCCAAATAAGTATCGCATGTTACATCAGTGGCCAGAAAAATGGCTAAACAAAAGCTGACTGCTACAAAATCGAACATATCTGCAAACATACATATGCATGTATGTACATATATACATACATATATATGTATGTATAGAGGGGAAAGCCATTATCTATTTTGTATCGAATATGCAACAACAAAAATAATAACAATAAATAAAATAAAAATTGTACTTAAACGCCCATAAGAGGCGCCTTTAAACTGAATAATTAGCCAATGCGTTGCCGATGCCAACAATCAATTATTTTAATGGCATTTCATTATTGCTTTTGCACTACTTTTCATCACATTATCATTTCGCTTTTATTGGCGCGATTCGTTTTTAGTTAATATTCAACATTCACACGCATAAATTTCACTTGCACTAAATTTGATGACTGCCAAAGTGACTGGGGCAAGTCATATTGGCAGTGGCCGTCGCCGTAGCCGTCGCCATCGATGATGTTGAAGTGCGGGGGTGGGCTGGGGTGGGGTTGTAGGTGTGGGCCACTGACTGACATTATATCACACACCATCAAATGCGCTCTGTACATACATAAAATGAATGAATTTTCAATTACCCCACATTGTTTTCATTTATTTTCACTTTTTTTGTAAACGCTATAAAAGCATTTGGAATATTAATGTACAATTAACGAGTGGGGCAGGTGTTACAGCAACAAAAATTAGACTGAGAAATGTTGCGTTGACTTCAAATCTTATTGACATGTTCGCTATGTTGATTCTGGAATTGGGCTAAAATGTCTCACAAAAATTCCATCAAGTTTGTCATGTAATTTCTCAACAAGGGAAATAAAACTTTTATTTTCTTACAACTTGATGGGTTAAACGCATTCGGCGCATTCGTAAACGTGACAAGCATACTTTTTTTTTTTAATGTGCAAGAGTTACAAATTCCTAAAACATTTTTGAGCTAGGCACACTTTTGTAACAATAAACTAAAGTCCCAACAACTTTTTACGATATTAACTTAGTAGCTACCTTATCTAAAGCATAGATTTACACATATTTCACAGCTTAAAGCCCGAATGTATGCTCACAACGCCAAATGTCAGGTTCTCATACTCCACTTGGGAGAAGCCCGCCTGTTCGATCATACGCTTAAATTGTTCTTGGCGAGGAAAACGGCGAATGCTCTCAACGAGATACTGATAGGCATGCCATTGGCCAGCCAGTAACTGACCCATTGGTGGTATGACCTGAAACGAGTACTGATCGTACAGCCATTGCATGGTCTCATTTGTCAAGTGGCTGAATTCGAGGCACATGAATCGACCGCCAGGCTCAAGCACACGAAAGGCTTCGGAGAGTACCTGAAATAACATGTAAGATTGCCTCACACACTAATTCACATAATAATATCTATTTATGTTAATACCTTATCCACATGCGTGCAATTCCGAATGCCAAAAGCAATCGTGTAGGCATTAAAGCTTTCGTCTTTAAATGGCAGCTTCTCGGCATCCGCACACTGCCAGCTAATGCTCGCATTCGGCAATCGCTCTCCTGTCAAACCCAATCTACGAGCACGTTCCTCACCCACGTTCAACATGTGCTGATTTATGTCCGATATAGTTACATGGCTGACACGTTGCTTTGGATTTGACTGGTTGGCTAGATATTTCAAATAACGAAAGCTTATGTCCCCCGTGCCGCCGGCCATGTCGAGCAGACGCATGCCATGTGTGGGTCCCAGTCGTTCAATGAATATATCTTTCCACACACGATGTATTCCCATGGACATGGCATCGTTCATCAGATCGTAAGATTTGGCCACCTGCTCAAACACTTCGTGCACTATGCACGAAGAGCAATAATTGTATTACTTTATTTTGTAGCTCTGGTGCGGACATGCCTTGTCCCACCTACCTTTTTGCTCCTTTTCACTCTCCTTGACCGTTTGGTAGCCAAAGTGCGTAGTCTGCTCATCCCCTCTAGAGGCAGATGCAGTATTTGCTGTCGTTTGTTGCGCTGCACCTGCCGCCGTGCGTTTCAGCATAAGGCTTGCCAGTGTTAGGAATTTTACCTTACGTGTACTTTGCATTGTAGTTTTATTCAATAAAACAAATTTAATCGGGCGCAAAAATATCAGCAATGAATTATTAAATAACAACAGGCGGATGGTCCGCAGAATCAGCTGTTTGGCTTAAGGCTCAGTCAGGTTACCTGTTTCACTCGCGCCCATGTAGCCGGCGTTTGAGAACAGTGCTGCAAAATACCAACAAATGTTGCATAGCACCGAGCTTTTGGCTGCACAAAGGCATATGCGGCGCCTTTGTTTAAAAATGAAAAATTTGTTCGAATTTCGTCTCTTTGTGCATTTAACATTGCTTTTATTTCATGTAATGCGCATGATTATATGTAGATATCCATATTATATGCTTTTGCTTACAACTGCAGCGTATGTATACATATATTTATATAATATTCATACATGCAAGTACTTTGTGTTTGATAACATTAGTGGCTAAACTTATATTAAACATTTAAACATTCTAATTACAATCTTCTGGTTTCCCTGCTCAAATTATAACTTAATTTGAAGCAAATCAAAATGCCTTTTTGTCATATAGTCATTTAATTTAAAATTAGAAAAAGCCGCGCTGCGCTGCAGCATAAATTAATTAAAATTAATTAAATTAATTTATATATATATGTGTGTATATAAATAATTAAGAAAAAGTAGTCCATATTTTAAGCGTTTTCAAGTCATATCTTTCGTTCATTCTGTGTGGGCATGTACTCCTTATCTCATCTCATTCGGTTTTGCATTTCATACATAATTATTTGCAATACCATATAATATTTTACTTGCTATGGTTTGTAAGAATGTATATGTAGGTGAGTGTAAAATACAAATAGTTTACGTACGACTACATATTTAAAAAAAAAAATTAATAATAGTAATTAACGTTTAAGCTAATGCCAAAGCGCTTCTTGCTGTTCGTTCCATATCTTCAACACATACTACTCGCGAGATTATCTGTGTTTCTCTGTTTCCATATCCATTGATATTGCTTGGCTTTAAACTCGGAAGGAAATGTTTAAACATGTAACAATACATTTAACCAATATCTAATAGTTAAACTCCTCTTGCTTCTCGGAATCACTGCGCAGATCATTCATGAGCGGCTCAAAGCACGACTTCGGTATCATGGTGCCAACAATTTTCTCACCCTCAGTGGTCTTCATGCGTATCACTTGCATTTTGCTGTTGGAACGCGTATTCAATATATGCTCGACACGTCCCCAAACGGAAAGCACAGATCCGGCTAACACGTGATACAAACGTTGCCGCAAACCCACCTGTAACATCAAAATAAAAAAAATTACATTTTTAGCAACAGCAATTCAAATTCGATTAACATTAATTAGGCGACACACACCTCACAATCATTGCCTAGGTTCACATTTCGACAATTGCCATTCCAATACGCATGTGAACACGTCTGTACCGATGCATCATACTGTTCCGTCCAGTGAGGCTCAGCATCCTCACTATCCACCTTACGATACTTCTTCTCCAGCTCGAACAGCGATTCGTGTCGCACTTGTAACCCCGTATTGGGTCTATAAATCTGGCACATGATTTCTTTTTTGCTTTTTGGTTTTGATGCCTTCTTCTGCGCTGATTTGCTGCTGCTCTCTGAATCCGAAGTGGTGCGGGACTGCTGTTCGATGAGGACGACCAGAATGGCGGTTCGTTTGTGGTTGCGCAACTGATGGGACACATAGAAGCCTTCGTGCTCATTAAACAGGTCCGCATATCTAAGCAAGCAGAAGTGAAGAATATACTTGTAATATATTTTAAAATGTTCTCATTAATATTCTTTTCGTTTTACTGACTTGTCAATGGCTTCCTGCCAGATCATTCCGCGTTCCACCCGCACTGTGTGCAGCTCCGTAGGTGCCACACCTGTTGCATGTTTACGCATAAAGCGCACCAAGCGCACACGCGTCACATTTTCTCCCGCTGCGCCCAGATCTGTAAGCAAAATAAAAATTTATTATAAAGTGTTTCCTAAGAGGTGGTAGCTGGAAAATATTTAGCCCTCAATGGAGTCATTACTTGGTATTGCATTTAATTAAGCTTTATACTTTGTTTTTATTTTATTTTATTTTTTTTAACCGATTTACTTACCCACAATTCCCAAATCGAAACGTCCGCCACGCTTGGCTTGATTGATAATTGCGGTCATGGTATCGGTAAAATATTTAAAGAGACGATTCTGCAAGTCAACGGGACAGCCAAGTATACGATTGAGAAACTTGGATATGTTATTGTAGTCCTTGTCGAGACTGAGCACGCCCGGATGGCTCTCACTGTTCACAATAATGCCAACGCCCACCAGTGCACCCGCAATATCCTTGAAGAACTCGCCACTGTAATCTGTTGGCGGCGGCACCAGCGGCGTCTCGTAGCCCATTATGGTGCGCATTACTGTCTCCAGAGCCTGCCGGCCATACTTGTTGTCTATATTGAATTGGGACAAGTCTCGCGTTTCTGTTGCACGACGATCGCCATGCGTGAGGGCGCCGAGCGATTCAAGTCGCTTGGCCACCGTCGATGCGAAACGCCGCTCGCCGGCCAGATCCGAAATAAGAAAGATGTACTCGGGCGCATTAACTTGGTTGGAACGATGTGTGCGTCCGAATTGTTGTATGGCCCGATCGGCCGACCACGGCAACTCCAGGGTAATGTGCACGCGTCGTCGTTGGTTAAACACGCGACGATCGCTCTGGAGTGAAATGCCACTGGAAGCTGCCTCTGATATGATGGCCACATCTTTCTGGCCATCCATGAAGCGTTGCTTCTCTGTTATGTTCAGCGTCTCGAGCGGCACATCGGATTCTGTGCGGGACTCATACTGTATGGAGCCATCGTCGCTTTGGACGACACGTCCCCGACGACCCGTCATCTCGGCCACATTATCGGGCCCGCCCAGCTCGTCAATCAGTTGGTCGAGCGTATTGGGGGGCAAGCGTGAGCCCAATCGCTCAATTTTGCGCAACAGCTCCTCCTTCATGGTGCAGGCACGCTCGATGGCATCTTTTGGCGGTGGGCCATAATTGAGTTTGACGCCATTGACGCCCACGGGCGTCACAGTGCCTTTTAGCTCCTGTTTCTTTTGGAGGAAGTCTTGAATTTTATCCTGCGTCGAAAGCTGGGCTTTGCGACTCTTAACCGCATTTAGGGCTGCGGCCACAGCTGCAGACATGGCTACGTTTGCGCTGCCACTGGCATCGGTGGTCGTCGTGTTATTGTTGTTGGTGCCGCTGGTTGACTGTGATTTTGATTTGTTAGCCCCCTTTGATTGTTTCTTTGTTTTCTTCTTCTTCTTTTTGGTGGACTTTTTATTTCGCGCATTGACCCAGGGATCGATGTCGCTATCGGAACCGCTAAAGAATGGATTGAAATCGGAGGAGGCGTCACTCGCGTCATTGGCATCACTGTCCCCTTCTTGATCTTCGTCATCATCGTCATCACCATCGCCAAAGGGTCCATCCTCGTCACTGTTCGCCGCATCGCTATCGCTATCGGATTGTTGAAGGTCCAAATCGTTGGTGGGTGATAGCGCTCCTTCATCATCACTGTCGCTGAAGTGCCACGATCCGCAGCGCTTCTTCTTCTTACTTCCGACACCGCGGCTATCCGTGCTATTCCGCGCTGCGCCCTTACGCTTGCCTATTCTACTACTACTATTACTATTGTTGTTGTTCAGACTGGACGTCTCCAATAGCTTTTGCTTGTGCATAGAGACATCGTCATATAAACCCAAAATACGGTTGATCCGATTGCGATCGGGCGCTGGAAAGTGACGCTCAACAAACGACTGAAAGACGCCCCTACAAGACAATAGAGGAATGAAAAAATGGAAGAATTGGGCAAAGAGTTAACAAAGTTTTCGATTGGTGGGAATTTCTGCAGAGTTCACTTACTTGGCTGTCGATACAAAGTCGGTTAGCTCCCCATCATCTCGTTCCAACTGATCCAGGGTGCGCGCCTCACCCGTTGACTGCAGACCAATGACCACACACTTGCCATACTTGATGGACTCGCGTGCCACCTGCACAGCATGATTCACCTTGGCCGCTATACACAGATATTTGAAGAAGCGTTGATGCGACGACCAGAACTGACCCCACATCGTTTTCTTCATCCGACTCTCGGCATCGATTAGCTCGGCGGCCTCTGTAAACTTTTGCATCGCCTCCACCCAGAGCTCGACGGATTGATCATAAATTTTTCGAAATTCTTTGGACAGCGGTACCTCTTCAATCTTGAAGCTGACGCCTTTGAAGCTCAGTTGTCGGGCAATGTACATTCCACGCAGTTTCATGTCCATGGCCACAATCTCCATGGCGCCAACGCCGCTACAAAAATAAATAGTAATACATTTTTTATATAAATATTAAGGACTTTTTATTAAACACCTCTGATTTGAAACGCAAATATGTAAACTATGGTGGGAAATACTTGACTTGACTTACCGTCGTTCCACAGCCGTAATAAACTCGCCAAAATTTGCGAAAGCCGTTCCCTGACCCCACAGGCCCAAACGCACCATGTAGGCCATATTTTTGGGCTCGGAAGCGCCCGTAGCCGATGCATAGACGACACGCGCCTTTGGCAACTTTTGCTGCAGCTCCAGCACCGTCTGACCCGTTTTTGTGGGCTTACCCGATCCCACCGGGCACAGATTCTTCGCTTTGTGACACTCATCGAATATGATGAGACCCTCAAAGTCCTCGCCACACCATTGCAGCAGTTGGCGGAACCGTGAACGATACTTTCCCGTCTTGTTGTTCGACTCACCAATGAGCGCCGAGTAGGTGCTGAAAATGACGCCGCGCTTGCAATTGTTGTTGACATCCGAACTGATTTTGGCGTACTTGAACTGTTCCGGGGGGGATGGGTCAAAGCGAGACATTTTAGCGGGATCTTAAGACTGTGTGGGATGTGTTGTAACGCACCTTGTTTAGCGCATGCACCTCAATACGTGTGGCACCAATGTCGCTCAAGTCCCGCTCTGCATCGTACTTTAAATCGTTGGACACCGATATCCAGAGCGCCTTCTTACGTCCCTTCAGGTAGTTCTCATAGATAATGCCCGCTATGGTGCGACCTTTGCCAACGCCAGCGCCATCTCCGATGAGGAAACCGGCTCGACTGCCATCGGGCAGTAAATGGTCGTGAGCCTGCGATGCATATGTGATGGACTCCAGTTGCAGGGCGCTGAGCTGGCCACTATTAATGGTCTCGAAGGGTATAGAGAGCTTGTAATACACATCAGATGGTTCCACAGAGCTCAAGGAAGCGGTCTCTACCACAGCATCTGGATGCTTCCTCCCCAGTTTTACTGTATAATGGCGAAACAGCAATTACAACTTAAAGTATTCGAATTGTGGGGGAAAAAAACCACTTACGTTTGGCTGGCCAATAGTCGGCATAGGTCTCAGCTACGCCCATTTCCTCATAGTCCACCTCATCCTCCTCCTGTTGGACAATTGCCGCCGCAGCCGCTGCAGCTGCCACACTCGACTGTGCCATTGGCATCGAAATGGAAGGCATTGGCAGCGATTGCGGACCCATGCGCATAGGCTGCATAAACAGCTGGGTCATCACGTGGTTGGGTATGCCACTCGTCAAGTATTCCGGATGCAGGGCAATCAGTTTCTGCAGCTTGTCAAGCATAAGAGTGTTGACTTTCATGCCGCCACCACCGGCGCCGGCAGCACCTGCCGCTGCAGCCGCTGCTGCATTGTTCACCGTCATAGTGTTGCTCGACATTGGTGCAGTGCCTCCGCCGCCGCCGGCAACGTTCGCAACACGTGTGCCGCCTGTGGTGCCGCCGCTGCTAGCATAACTCACTGCAAGACAAGTGTGGTGTGGGATGTTGTGGTCAACCGATTTGTTTTTGGTTGGTTGTTGGTTTTTTTTTTTTTTGGAATGTTGGTTGTTTCATGTGGTTTAGTCGGAATGTTTGGGTAAGTGAGTGGAAGAGGGAGAGAGAGAGAGAGAGAAAGAGAGAGAGAGCGTGCATGATTTGCTTGTGATTAGTATGATTAAAAATTGGTTGGAATTGAGTTGCAAAACGCTTCTACATCGAACACAACACACATTAATTACATTATCATGCCTTGTTGGAAACAATTTAAGAACTTTCCGTTCAATAAGTTCCCATTTCGTCAAGCTTCAACCTTCACATTTCTTGGCATCACCATGCATCCATAAAAGACATTTTCATAAACGTGCAAATGATTTCAAGCAATCTTAACATATGTACATACATATGTTCTACTGTACAGTTCAAATAATAGAGGAAACACATGAAAAAGATGAAGACATATATGGAGAATGTGCCATGCCTGGCGACATTGTCTAGAAAAAGAACAAGAAAAGAATGCTAAAGTCGAGCAAGCTCAACTCTTAAATACCCTGTACCTCCCACCAAAAAGAAAAAAATGAAAACAAACAAATTTTTTTTATAATTAAAAAAAGTATATTATATATACTAATGGGATGTAGCTACATAATTTTAGTTCGAAATTTCAAGAACTACGGGAGTTATGGAAAAAAACACGAAATTATGGGGAGGGGGGGGGAGGGGGGTGTATCAGAGATAAAAAAATAAACTTGACCTGCCTAGGGCTTATGGGAATCTGTGTACCGAGTTTGGTTATTCTAGCTCTTCTACCTTCTGAGATCCTTGCGCTCATACAGACGGACGGACGGACGGACATGGCTATATCGACTCGGCTTGTCGGCCTGATCAAGAATATATATACTTTGGGGTCTGCCACGCCTACTTCTGTGTGTTACATACATTCGCACAAAACTAGTATAGCCTTTCACCCTTTGGGTACAGGCTATAAAAAGTACAATGGAGTAAGACATCAGGGTTGTCCATGCTAGGGACGAATTGACTCTTTTCTTACTTTTGTATTTTGAATCAATTAGGATACGTACCTACTAATGCCATTATTTTTCATATTTTGGCTTACAAATATTTATACATTTAAAAACAATATTTAAAAAATGCGAACTATTTAAAGCTTAATTTGTAATACGAATACGGCCAGATAATACAGCCCTGCTTGGAGCTCTATTCTAAAAATAAAATATATATGTTCTCTTTACACAGCTGGCAATATACTCGCCCATATTATACTCCAAAACTCACTTTTATATGGCTTTTAATTATGAGGCATTCGATTTTCAGAAATAATAATAAAACAATTTGATTGCTAGATGGACAGGCCCGGTTCAGTCGTAAATTTTTCAAATAAAGTTAAGCACGTATCAATAAATAGAAGCCAGCTTTTAGATTCTTAGTGGTGCTTGCAAGGAGACTAGAGACGAAAGCATGAGCATTCATATTATTGCACAGTTGAAGATATCTATTTGAATTATTACAAAAGTTTTGAATTTGCATTTCGATTTAAAAATGGAGAAAATAAAGAGAAGAATTATTTTTGAACAAAAATTAAAATATACTCCTGTGTATATCTATGAATATGAATATGAATATGCCTCCGTTAGCATCATTCTTATCATTTGCATATATTTTGTCACCACCAAACGAAGCTAGAATAAAGTTCATAAGAAGAGCCAATAGATGAAGGTTAATAATTATATGATAAATCGCTTTACGACCCCCATCCGCCACCTACACATTAGAAGAAAACAATTAAATTGTTGAACGCACTTAGGATCTATTCACGAGCTCTTTGAGGGGAATACAAGTATGTATAGCATTGTTCCATCCTTAGCTCTCAGAGTCGTTGTCACTACTACACAATGGTCGCTGCAGCTTGGTACCCTTATAGAGCGGATAGGCATTATTGTGGACACCCCAGTGGCGGCGCAGCGGAACGCAGCGCCTATAGCGGTTCAGGTGGAGAGAGAAGCGCGACTTCTTCAGCATCAACATGTTCAATTCGAATAATTGTTGCTCCAAGCGATGTAGCTCAGCGGGCGGAATCTCCTCCAAGCGTTTCAGGCGCGTCGACGATGTCTCTGAACTGCACCAGGCAGAGTTCCGCGGACTGAGGAGACTGACGAGCCGATTGCGCAGGGGCAGGGCAGAGCATTCAGTCACCAATTCATCATCATTGGTCTTGATATTCGAATTCGACGCATTCGGATCACAGTGTGGATTGCGATAGATGCACAACATTTTCTTAGTCAGATGTCCTCTCACCGATGTCAGGCTTTTTTCAGAGGCTTTTTGGCTGCTGTGGCGACTTATGGTTTCCTTGGGCTCCTCCAATGGCCCAGCAATGCATTTCAATGGTCTTTTGTGCGTTCCCAACGTTTGCCCATCTCCGCTTATTGACGAGATCGTCGGACTATTGCTGCTATGTCCACTGGTCGAGGAGAGCTCACATGTGAATTTGCTTCGTCGGCGCCCGCCAAAAACAGCCGCTTCGAAATTCTGCTTGACACGCCTCATTGGGGAGGTAGAGCGACGGGAGGAGCTCTGTGAGTCCCGCTGAGGACTTCTGCCTACATTGATCACCAGCGGATGCACGTTCTTAACGTTGTTCAGCAATTGAAGGACACGACGAATCAGTTGCTCCTGCTCCTCCCGAGTGACGGGCCTGTCACGGGCGGTCTGCAGGCGTGGCATCAAGTCCTCCATAATCAGTTGCTCCAGTTTGTTCAGCGCGCTCGAATGCACGGAATAAAAGTTATCCATGGCATGAGATACTTCGATTTTGATAAGACGCTGCACCTCGTCCCATGTGAAGTTAGCGGGTCTTGCCCTTTTTACCTCCCTCGAGACTGGCTCACTGGAGTCGCTGGTATCATCTATGGAGGACGATTTCCTAAACGTTTTTCCACACAATGCCATTGAACTCATGGCAGTTTCTGTGCGCTTCAACTGGTCTCTTTGGAATTTGGAATTTTTCTTTTCTTTCTTTTCTTTTTTGAATTTAGAGGCTATTTTCAATTTTTGTTTGTGGGACGTGCAATTTAGTGGGCTAAAAAACTGAGAAAACAAAACAAAATCAAGACGAATAATTATAACTCTTCTTCTCGAAACTATCAAAACACGACTAAACAAGCCTGACACACGGACAGAGAAGAAATATCAAAACAAAAGCCTGCTACCTTGACTACCTCGCCTAGGCAAATAAAAAGGAATACCCGATTTGGGGAAGAGTAATTGAAGAAATCGCTATTGAAATAGATGATGCAAAATATAAAAAAAATTAAAAAATTAGGGATTCATTTGTGGTGTGAGGTGAAAAGAATGGATCGAAATGAAAACATCGAAACATTTTATTTTAAAGATTCCTATCAAAAGAAATTGCAGTTCCGGACCGGAACTATCGGTTTTAGTTAGTTGCTCCAGCTATTCTAGACAGCTTTCGATGTTCCTATAAGCTTATAGTATGTATGTGATTCTTTTGCAATTATCTCAAAACAAGAGAGAACGCTACAGTCGAGCAAGCCTCACAGTAAAATACTCTGTACTCTCCACAAAAAGGAGAATTTAAAATAATTGCTTAAAAAAATTAATTAATTAAATTAAATATAAAATATTCAATACATATGTAAATAGATACACACATATTGATTGTTCTAGCTCTTATACTTTCTGAGATCCTTGCGTTCATACAGACGGACAGACAGACGGACATGGCTATAGCGACTCGGCTTGTCATCCTGATCAATAATATAGTATATATATATACTTTTAGGGGTCTGCCACGCCTCCTTCTGTCTGTTACATACATTCGCACAAAACAAGTATACCCTTGCACCCTTTGGGTTCAGCATATAAAAAATAAGTTGCAAAATATCTTAAGTTTTAGGGATTACTTCAGGATGCAAATAGACCAGCAATACTATGAGATATCAATAATTTTTCTCATATAAATAAATGCATACATATATAAGTATTAATAGGGTATATGGGGTATATAAAATTAACTCACCATGTGGAATTGACTTAAAAAATGAAAAATATTGTGAGGTTTGCAAACTTTTTAATAATTTTCGAATCGTAACGCCTGTTGTTGGCATCCAAACTCCGAGTAGAACAAAATCAGCCACAATACAAATGTATGCAAACAATATAAAAACAGGATAAAAACGAAAAACGAACAACCAAAGGCTTATACAAGCATATATGCATGTGTATGTACAAATGGATATAAAATCGGTATCTACATCAAATGTACGAGTACGACTACAAATAGGTTTCATTAAAATGCAAACTATCGATTGGTTTGGCATTCGCTCGGCCAATCTTGCGATTGCTAGATTACTTTAACCTGCTATAGTATATATAGTAATAACGTTAATTTCTTAATGCATTTTGCGCGGAATTCTTGGTTGTTACCAACATTACAGGACTTACTCTGCGCCAATAAAGACGCGGCCATATTAAAATTAGCAGCAGAGGCAGCCGAGCTGGAAGTCGACGCAGCAGCAGAGGCAACCGCCGGCCCCCCGGCTGGGTAAAAGTTTGAGGCGCTGCCAGCGGCAGGCGGTGTACCACCCTTGGAGGCAACATAGGCGGCCAGGCTCATTAGCTCGTTGGTGCTGAGGCTGTTCAGATAGCTGCCAGCGCCGCTGCTTAGATAGGCGCTGGCAGAGTTTAAGCCGCCGCCGCCACCGCCGCCACCACCGACGCCACTGCCGCCAATGCCACCGCTGGCGGCAGCAGTTAGAGCAGCGCTCAGTCCAGCAGCCATGGATGCTGTAGAGGCTGTGGATGTGGTGTTGATACCCGCACCACCGCCAGGGCTTGGCATTAGACTGTTCCTGGATGTGGCCAAGGCGGTGTTGGTTGTCATGCCAAGCGCTGCAGCAGCCCAGAATGGAGCAAAGAGTGAAGGCAGAGAGGCAAAGAAGGCGGAGTGGAGGAGCAAACAAAAAGGGGTGTACAACAACAAACAACAGAACCAAAGACAATAATAAACAAATGCAACAAAATTGAATTCATAATTGTATATAAAAAAACAAATGCAACATGTGAAACAGGAACGGGAGTTAGATGTAGACGTAGAGAGAAAGAGAGAGATAGAGAGAGAGAGAAAGAGTTGGGAAAGAGAAAAAGAAAGAGAACAACACAACAGCATTAATTTATTTTTTTTTTATGCAGCTTAGATTTTTTCTCTGCCAACTGCTTTCTGTCTTTTCTTATAAATAATAGTGGTCTTTGGAATGCTTGCATGTTGTGTCTGTCTGTCTGTCTGTGTGTGTTTGTGTGTGTGTTTGTGTGTTTGTGCCAGTGCGTAGTGCTGTTGTGCATGTCCTGTACAATCTGCGATGTGTTCTACATTTCGCTTCCTTAGTTGTGCAATCGCTTGAAAAAGCTACACATTTGTCAACTAAATGTCTGTGGTTTTCAGAACAAAGAAAAGAAAAACAAAACTAATATGTACCTGCATACAATTTTTCTGTTTGTCTTTTAAAACATCTAACTATTCCTAAATAAACGAATAATATCTTAACCCCCCAAACACCTTCATTTATACTTCGTTTATACGAGCACGAAAGCAGGAAATCCCTTCAAGATGGGCGCAAAATCTTGATTTCGAGTTAAACACAAATCTTGTTCATTTCATTCTTTATTTTTTTAGTGCTGCGAGAATTTAAGTTTATAGTATATAACTTATTTGTTTTTCTGTTAAAGTAACTAACTATTGCAAAATAAACAAATAAATTTGGAACCCCCATACACTTTCATTTATACTTCGTTTATACGAGCACGAAAGCAGGAAATCCCTTCAAGATTCGAGTTAAACACAAAACTTGTCCCATTTCTTTACTGCATCTGAACGCCAATCAACTGTCTTATTATCGCGCTACTTTTAAAATTTCTGGCAACAATATATTGAGGATGAGGACAACTAATTCAAGAAATCCTCATGCATGATCCTGATTTCGAATTTGCAAGTGTTGGCAGCTCTATGTCACTATTATTTGGCATCTCCTCCTCCTGCCCTATCATTGTCGATTAAAGCTGCGTTTATTAAAATGCAAATCTCATCAATTAAAACTCACGAAGATTCGATTGGGTTGATACGCTTGTTAGTAAATAGGTTTTGTAGAGCACCTTGGATTTGTAGTTTGCTTTGGATTTTAGTTGGAGGCGAAATGCAGAACACTTGGAATGTTGTAACGCACTTACCCGATATTGTATTATTCAATTTCTTTGGCATGTTGTTTAAACTATTCTCTAATGCTAATTTCGTTATCACTCCTCCTCCGCCAACTGGTGCAATGGGCTTCACTGTAATTGCGGCCGCCGGCTTTATCGTCGTCTTCGTGCCACCCACAACGCGACCGTCCACTCGGTTAATTCTCAGCAGCGAACTGCCCCTATTATTGTTGATAATTTTACTGGGGCCCAGGGTACTACTGCCGGTGCTGTTACTGCTGGAGCTGGCGGCGCTGCTGTTGGTAATACCACTACCGCCTCGTATATTTTTGGCGTAGGTAACAGCTGTCTCCAGATCACGACCACCACCTAGAATACAAAGTGGAGAACGTGGCTTTAAATAAGAGTCACTTAATTGCGTAAGTTCTTTTTTGTTTAGAAATCTCCCAAGTTGTAAGCTAGTCAGTTCTTATATCAGCAGAGCTTTTTGCTCAAAAGTGTGTGTTTTTGATTTTGAAAATTATAGATATTACCTTATATGTACGACTGTTGGAAGCGTACTAACTAGGAGCAGATCCCATGTTGAAGATTTGATTAGAATGAGGAGGCGAATGGCATTAAACAATTATTTATATGGCCATATTAGCTGGCAAAGAAATCCACTTACGAAAATAGTGCTTTACAGATTGCTTTAAAAAAACATCTGAACTATTTATGCCTTAAAACTATTTGTCGATGATCTTTTTTATGAGCTCTGCAGAGAATAATTTCCAAGTTTTTTTTTTTTTTTAATTATCTTTACAATCTAGATGTTATTCAATAGTATTTGAAGTCATAGATTATTTTAAAGGTCTTCTATTAAAGACTAAGTTGTACAGTGGAAAAGAACATTTCAAACAGCGGGACCAGTCCGCAAGGATCTATTTGAAATCTATGTCTTGCAATGGTTAAACAAAAATTCCCAAAAAGTTTTTATGGATATAAAGAAAGACTTGAACTTCTCATATTGGGGATATTTTTTTTATAAAAAAAATATATAATATCTAGTGTCGTGTTGTAGTTTCAGGCTGTAGCTTTGACAAAAATTGAGCCCAACTTTTATAGTTCTGTGAAAAATAATTATATAATATAGATATACTATATAGGTATAGCTTTGACAAATCGAGCCCAACTTTTATATTCTGTTAAAAATATTTATATAATATTCAAACTGTTTAAAGGTAACTACGACAAAGAATTAATGCGTACTCCAGTGTTAACTTATTAGTTAATTACTGGACTGGGCCGTTACTAGTTCCCTTCAACTGATTAATAGGTCTTACGCAAAACTCTGTTTGACAAACTGGAGAAGGTGTGGTACGAGTATTGGGGCTGGCAACTCATTATTGTATTAATTAGATTGCTCATTGCTTTCGGATCGACCACGACGATTGCATACTTATTAGTCGACAAGAGGAGAGGACTGCCACACAAAGCTCATACCATATACAAGTAAGTACATATGTGTATTATGTATATATGTATGTATGTATGTATGTATGTATGTATGTATGTATGTATGTATGTATGTATATGTGCATATGGTATGTTCTCGCGTAATTAGCAATATATGTGAAGGGACAATAAAGCAGGCATATGTATATCCACTTGTATATATGTATACATATTTATGTGAGTATGTACATAGGCAGGGCCTGGCCGTGTGGTTGTGCGGTCGAGTGCGGTTCGTTGCATACGAAGGAGACCACAGTCAGTTGCATTCAGGTGGCTATCGTCTGTGCAGCTGGCTCTGCAGCTGGCAGACCTCAAGACGCAGTCCCCGATGGTCCAAACCAAAAACCAAAATCTAACACGCTGACAGCTTCACACAAAACACAGCGATTTGCTTGTGGCCGGTCAATGGGGGTTCTGCTTAGCTTATTGTTGCTGCTGTTATTGTTGTTGTTGCGATTTTCGATTGTCTTAACCGTTTGTTGTTTATGACATCGAAATGAAAATTGTAGCGGTTAGCTTAGGCATGCATCTTGCATATGACAGTTTGACAAGCTCTGGGCCGATGCTGAACGCCTCGAGGCAAACAGGGCCCCGAGCTGTCGAGACAGGCCCGGTCTGGTGCGGTCCGAGCCTTGCATTAATTTAATTAACAGGACTAAACACTGCGGCAGTCCACATCAAAGTCCAGTTCAGTACGTGCATCTCTCCATACCCCCTTGGTTGTCGAGTGATGCGCAATAGCCTTGCATTCATAATGAAATTATATCAGACTTGATGAGTTGGTCGAAGCGAAATTAGCAGGACACGGGCGAGGCTGTGAAATGTATTTTTAGAAGGCAAAATGCAACAGTTAATCAAAACAAATACAAAAAAAAAGGTCATCTAAAAACTTAATCTGCTCTCGCTACTATTGCAAATTAATGCACACTTCCACATCAGACTTCTTCCCCATTTTTCCTTCAACATTGCAGATTAATTTTCACTTTTGTATCTTGTGTGGAAAACACTTTCGATTTTCATTTATACAAATACAGAGCGGCTGGCCTCGCTTCCTTTGGGCTGCAGCCACACTCCTCCTTGGCTTGGCCAGCAATGCCAGGCAATTGAGCGACCAAGCTATGAAAATAAATTACAATTAAGGACTATTTTTGTTGTTGTCTGACAGCACATTTAACCACACAGCATCAGTGGATTTGTGAATATTCGCCTTCATTGTGTGTGTGATGCACAGTGGCCTGGTCTTAAACAAAAGCGTAATCCGTATCGAAGAAAAACAAAACATAAGGCAAGCTATAGGTCCTTCAAAAACTAACTCTGGTAGCAGGACTATTCATTTAAGCAACATTGCATGCTGTTTAGTTATGCTTAGTACTCTTTATAAATATCCTTTCATCTATGATATATTTATTATTTGTTTACTTGTTATTTATTTATTTATTATTTGTTTATTTTACTTATTGTGCGACAATTAAACCATTGGTTTTTAAACAGAATTTATTTATGTATATAGAATGACATTTACATACTCAAAAAAAAAATAGTCTATAGTAATTGGAATAAGCAATTCAATAAGAAATATCGAGGAAAACGTACTGCAATCTCTCAACTACAAACAACTTTGTTGTGTCAATCATTTCTATAACAGAGTTATAAAGGTTACTTAAAATAATTCAGATGTACGATGTTGGCACCAAGCTTAATTTCTAAGGTGCTTACCACAATTATAAGACACCTCAAAATTTTAGTTTCAGCCTTGTATTTTAAGAAAAGTAAAAATATTATAGGTATATACTATAGGGTATTGGCTTTGCGAACAACCAAGTCATTCCTTATTTGCGATTTTTGCTTATCTGCAACTGATAATGATAAGATACATATTAAAAAGTGCAGCGTATGTAATTAGTTCAGCAAATTTTTTGTGGCTTACATTATAAACAAATAAAATAAGATATTTTTACATTTTGGCGCGGAAAACTTTTAACCAGCCAAGAAAAAGGCCTAATTATGGCGTATAACAAATCCGGATGGAATAATAGCCAAATTTCAAGAGAAATTGGACGAAGTCGCACTGAAATCGCTAATTTCTTCAAAGATATGGAGTTAAGCGAAGTTCTGGAAGAAAGCCAATATCTTCTGCACGCGACAAAAGGCAAATAATAAATAAAGCGAGCAATTTGAACTTCGACCAATCGTTTCTAATGCAGTTAAATGATATAGTAATCACATTTCGATGAAACTCATAAACACAACTTTAGCTTAAGATATCTTTATAAACAGAAAAGCTCTCCTGCTAAGGGTGCCACTCAACCGTTCGGTCTTACGGAGGCTATATAAAACAATGAGTACATATATGGGTTTAAAATAAACTTGCTCTGAGTTTGGTAATAGTTATGGTGAAAAGTTCTTGGTGCTCATGCAGACAGACAAGTCAATGCGGATCATTACATGAAGCCTGCCATGCCTTCTTCAACAAAATATCAACTGTGGTGACGCAGTTATGGCTCCAAAATTCTCGACGCTCATACGAAACATATGTCTATAGATTAATTTCGCAATGCTGATCATATATGTGGTTTAATTTATATTTCAGATAGTATTTTTGTATGCCTTTTAAAGACGTAGTTAATGTCTAGATTTTCAAAAGATGACAATCGGTACGAGTTTGCTAGACCAATAGTGTCTTCCCACAGTTAGGAATAGTATTTCAGAAATACATACTCAACAAGGGAGAACGTTACAGCCCAGGTAAACTTCCGACACTGCGCTATATGCGCCTCTAGCAGAAGCAAAAAGAAGAAGAAGAAGAGCGAACTTGATGCTGCAGCTTGTGGACGTAGTACTGGAGTGAAATTGTTTCGCTAATAACTTTTCAATGAATTAACCGATTTAGATGAAATTTGAAACAGAAGTAGATATAGAATATAGAATTATATAGAAATTGTGTGTGCAAAGTTTGGTTAGCGTAGCTTTTGAAATGTGGGCGGTATTGACGAAATTCTGTAGGGGGGGAAAATGCAAAAAATAAAATAAACTCGTCCTTTCTCGGACCTAGGAGAATCTGGATACCAACTTTGGTTATTCCAGCTCTTATAGTTTCTGAGATCCTTGCGTTCATCCAGACGGACGGACAGACGGACGGACGGACATGTCGAGATCGAATTCTCTCGTCATGCTGATTCAGAATATACTTGTATATACTTTATGGGGTCGGAGATGCTTCCTTCTGCCTGTTACATACTTTGCACAAGCCTAATATACCCTTTTTACCCTACGGGTACAGGATATAAAAAGATGAAATGCTCAGAAACTATGCACTTTTACATAATTTCTGTCAGATGATTTCTATTAAGGCATGTTCTTTTCATTTCAGGACTACTGTGCACTGACACGCTTGCCGTATTAGTTATAAATACTTGATTTCAAATTAAGTTTTTGGTCTAGAACAAGACTTGATGCCTACCAACTTGCGATCAGGAGAAGTGGGAAGGTGACTAAAATATGTATTGGGGACAGTTCGGGAAATGTGTGTATGTTTAGGGGTAATACAAAGCGTTGCTTTGTGCATGGCAAATGAAGTATTCGAATGTACATAAGACATACTGCTACGTAGGAGCATGCATTATAATTATACATATAGTATACGAGTATTTGCGTAGAGATTGCTATGAAGTTTGATTATTAACATGAGACGTGCGACGAATGGCGGTCTCTGTTCATAGTTTCGGACCGAATTCCATGTTGCATATACCTGAAGCAATACTCTACTCTGCTATATAATGAGTGGCTGGGGGTAGATGGGTAGATGGGTTGATGGGTGAATGTGTGGATGGGTGTGTACCACATAACTAGATTTTCCAACTGTTCGCTCACAAACTGTTTTAACCACACACACACACACACACACACACACACACACACACACACACACACACACACACACACACACACACACACACACACACACACACACATTTCTGTTGCTGTTGCTGCGCTGCTGTTTGTGTTGCTGTTGTTGTTGTTGTTGCTGTTAGCAGTGTTATTGCCAGCGTCTGGTCCTTCCCATTCTCCTGGTCCCAGACACGCGATACTCTTTGGCAGAGACATGGGCAACTAACAAACTGCCTGTGCTCCGTACATGACTCTATTTATATGTGTGTAGTTGTGTATGCCTTTACGTATGTATGTATGTATATGGATGCATGTATTTATGTACTTGGGGTATCTATATGCATAATGGGTACATGCTATATAGCAACTATCGAGCAAGTCTAATGCAAACAATCCACACATAAATGCAAACACACACTCCCACACACACACTGGGGCATGAAGACATCTTGCCTGGTGTGCCAGGTGTCCTGTAGGATGCTTGTGGTTGGATGGTGGTGGCTTGGTGGTGCAACCAAACAACGTTTAATGCATTGCCTAGTTGCGGTTGTTGTTGTTGCTGTTCCTTTTGTTGTTGATGCACTTGCTTTTATAGCGAAGCATAAACATGGGAGCAGGACTGGGACAGTGACAGGGACAGGGACAGGGAGAGACAGAGACTGGACACTCTTGGCCATGGCAGCTTGTCCTTTTGATTACAAATTGCATGGCATTTCATTAATGTTTCAGTTTATAATGCACGTTGACTTTTAATTAATATTGAAATGGACATAAGTAGATTTTGGATGGGCAATGGCGAACTCTCAACTATAATCATATATTTATATACACACACATATATATATATATATATATATATATAGCTTGTGGCACAAAAAACAATAGGCATTTGTTTGATGAGGACTATCTTTACATATAATACCTACATGCCCATATGCTAGAAATCGAAAACCAAATTAATTTGCCCAGACACTAGTGAAGTGCTAGGCTTTGTTTCTGTGCGAGAGCAAGACGACGTCGAAATGGATGTGGATTGAATACAAGTATAACGTACAGCCTGTAAGGTACATAGTTGCCCCCTAACCCCAAACCTGCACTACCATAACTTTTATTTTACTTCCAATCGTTCAAAAGGCAGTTTGACTCATCTTTTTTGAATATACTGAGGCATTACAGGACTCCTTTACAAATATATTACATTTAGTTCCAACATCGCAATAGACAGAATAATTATTTCACAAAGAATGAAATGATTATTTTATAATATAATTAAGCTCTAAATGGTTTGTAATTCGCTTGATCTGTTTATGCATAAGTTATCCATGGCTACATCGATTCGGGCTGCGCTTCTATCTACGTCTTAATCATATATTCAGACTTTTTGATATACCCTTTCGCCGCTCGAATTCGGAAAATAAAACCGTGAGAGTTTAGCAACTGGAGCTCATAATTGCACGTTTTCTTGAGCCTTATTGAGCTTTATATGTGGCGTGTTCCATGGCCCTGTTTGAGTAATAAATAGAATATTGCAAGAGTAAGTAAAACTTCCCCCATTGCATTTAATGTAGGTATTCGATTCGGGTCTAATAATGTCTTCATTTGATGAAAGGGTATTTCCTATTTACTCGTCAACTGCATAAATATCAGCCATAAATCGCTCTAATTCGGCTAATTCTATGATTTTGCACTTTTGCTTCAAAGATGATAGTTTATAGAAGTTAAAAAGTAGGTCCTATTTTTCAGGTAACCTCCTGCTACATGAATATCTTACTATAATGATGGATAGTTTATGCCAGCTTGAGACTGCTTATTAAATTAGTTTGTATATTTACATATTTTCTTTGTTATTTTTGTGTGTAACTTCAAACTCCTTGTATACAAAGTTATTTAGCTATTGCTTTATTTATGACCTAGTTATCGTTAACTTAAGATTGAATCAGTCTTACGAGCTCACCAAATCGTAAGTTTGAACCGATAAACCGTGAATAATATTTAGCTTGGCTCTTTACTTAATAATTGAAAACAATATTGATGTTTTACATTTTATACCAAGATATTTTAGAATGATCTAATATATTATTTCATTTCAATTAATTTGCCTGTAAAATGGAATGTCTTTTTTTTAACGTCGCCATTATATGCTTTGTAGAAAGAAGAATATAGTATTATATTTTAGCTTTATAATGACTAACCAGATTAGAAAGGGGATTGATTCCCTATGCCCGAAGATTTCCGCCCAAAAATGTTCAACTTTTTGCTATTTTTTCAAAATATATGTCAGCTTTTCAGAATTTTGAATTGAAGCTGTGCTCCTTATATTGAGTGTATACTGTAGCTGTGACTGTGCTCTCCTAAATTCCAGTTGAAATTGGTAACTAACTCAACTGCAGTGCAGCTTAACGAAAACTATAGGGAAGATTGTGGCACTGCCACCAAACTTTCCAGTGAGTCGCTGCTCTGAGTGCCCACCAAACCACCAACAGCATCAACCCCCTTGATTGAAAAGCAACGTTTACGCTTGTGTTGCTGCTGCCGTCAGAATTTTCCTAAACAATGGAACTTGGTAGGACAGAGAAATCCCCACAATCCACTACTGGCATGCAACTGGGCAGCTGGCAGCTGTTGCCCGTTTGTAAGGAAAAAGGACCGACAAGGGAAAATCATCAAACATGGTAAAGTTTTGTGCAAGTTTCATCGTGAAAATTCCTAAACTTTATATACGTACTTATGTACAAACATAAATGCATGTGTATATGTACATATAAGATTATGTATGCATTTGAAAGTGTGCAAGTGGTGTCAATTCTGTTGGGCAACGGAAAGCAGTGAATCCAAGGAACAAACAACTTACCGGGCACTTCTATTTTATCTGGGTCTTCATCATCATCGAAATCTGATCCCGAATCATCATCGTCAAAATCGATCAATTCGTCGTCGAGGACTAACAGGCTTTTTCGTTTTTTGGATGTCTGTAAAAGCAAATCAAATTTTTGTTGAGAAAGAGAGATCCAATTATGTCTATGTATGTAGATTATTGATGCATGACAAAACAATTACAATTACTGAATCGCTGTTCTTATAGACTAAGGCCTAACATTGCTTTTAACTATTGATTGTGTACCAGACACCAGAAATCTATGTACATTAATATATCAAATACCTAATAAACAAAGTATCCAAGCAATACACTAGTATTAGTAGTATCAGTACCTTCGCTTTTTCGCTTTCTTTGTAATTTTGTTTAATGCAGAATTTGTAAGATCTATTTCAAAATTTGCAGTTAAAAGGCACGAAGAAAATGTTGTATACATATGTATGTAAACAAAAATACAAAACCACAACCAAAATAAACAAACACGTGTTCTCTCCACGATCGTTTTTAACGGCCTTTTTTATGGAATCAAGTTACATGCTCAACGAGCCAGCAGGAATCCCACAATGTGAGTTCGTTTCTTGAGTAGGCACTCGGTTCGAGGTTCACGCCGCAACTATCATGACAGAACATGATTAAAAATTGTCATAAAATTTAATATCTGTTCCACCTAGGACAGATCTTCAAAAAAGATTAAAGATTTACAAAAAAAAAGAAGTTACAAGCAAGCTTTCCTCATCGATCATGACTCTAGCCGCTTAATGAAATTAATCATAAATTGTAGATTTCAAACACAAAACTTTAACTGCTGATGAAATATAGTATCCATACGGACATGAAGAAGTATCAACATGTCTATACAGATGTCTATTTTGATTATACATATATGTACGAGCATTTAGGTAAAAAAAAGTATTCATCAACGAACCACATTCATTTGGTTTTACTTTGTTCAAAATGATTGGCAATGGCAATACTTTCAGAAAGGACTTTAAATCCTTATTTCATGTTTCGAAATCGTATAAATAGGTCGATTTACCGCAACATTGTGTGTCAACTTAACGGGGGAATCACCAAAAACAAAGCGGGAGAGAAATTTAAAAAAAAAAATCGTAGCACACTTTTATGCGCCCACCACGCGTTTCTGCAGTCTCCGTTTTTTGTTGAGCAAACACACATACATAGAAGAAAAATGCGAAGCGAAAGATAAAGGGAGAGAGCACAACAGTATGACAGTACAAAAAAAAAAGATTCGCACTGTTTAGAAAAAACGGCACAAAAAGTACGAGCAAAAAAATAAGCACAGCATGCTTTGGAGCGCTAAAAACGCAGCAGACAGGCACTCTTACACACACACGCCTGTATTTGATGTACGTGTGTGTGTGTGTCTGTTTGCCTGCATGTGCATACATACATACTCACACACACACAGAGAGCGGATGAACTCTTTTTTGGTTGGCACTTGAACTAATCACAATGCACGACTGATATTATTATTATTATGAGTATTATTATTATACTGGCACTGTGCTGATTGGGACTGCAATTGCGACTGGTCGGGCGCTCGCTTTGGACGCAACTGCTGCGACTTGACTCGACTCGATTGTGTGGCGGCCAGAGCGGGCATAGAAATTTGACAAATGAAATTTTGAGCAATACACGCTTGCAGTTTTTCGGCGGCGGTCGACGGCGCCAGCAGTGCCAACCAACAATATACTGGCTATGAGTGCGATACGACGGACGGATTTTGCCAAGGCTCTACACCCTAGGGGCACGCACCCTTGCCCTGACCGCACACGGGAGCAGGGCTGGCACCGGCGCTCAGACTGAGGCTGAGGTTGAAACTGGTGAGCGCGGTGGGGCAGGGCGAACGGGGCGTGCGGGGCGGTGGTTCGTTGGTTGGCCAACTTCGAACGGACAGCCGAAATTTTCGCAGCACTGCGAACAACGTCGAGAAACGCCGATAAACATAGAGAACAGAGCAAAACTAGCAATTAAGCGCAAAGCAACGACCAACAGCAACAACAACAACAACACTACCAACCCCGTTCGATTGATGTGCGTGCAGTTTGGAGCGTGGGGTGGAATAGTAGGATGCGTAGGATGGAGAGGGCTAAGGCAAATACTTTCAAAATTGGGGGGTGAGGCACGCGCGACGTTTACGCGCTTAAAACACATAGTTGTACAGTCCCCCCCACCCCATGCCCCCTGCTATACACACCACCAACAAATACTCATGCCACGGCTTCTTGATGCATGTGCCCCTTTCGTTGGCACAGTGCACAGTGGGCCAGGCCAACCATGGCCATGAAATCGTCTCAATAATGCGTTTGATACATTTTCCAAGCTCCAAACTCTCCTTATGGGTGGGTCGTTGATTTGTCATAACTATCATTAGTATTATTACTATCAATCAAACAATACACAATATTGCTACAGCAATTTTCCCACAAAAACGTTCTTAAAATATTTGGAACAATCAAACAAAATAATTAGAGACAAAAAAGCTGGCAGTAGTTTCTGTCGTACTTGTATCCCCATTTCTACAGCATTTCGGGTTATGCGTCTTCACCAAACACCTGCAATATCCCTTTCAGACCCTGATGCATCGATTGTGCGGGTAGGTTCTGACCACAATATTTCCATTTATTTTTATCGAATGTTAAAAAGACAATCGATGCATGATTGTGCATGTTATTGTTTATGTTTGTTTCCCACATTGTTCCCCAGTTCGCTTTACCGTTAATTGAACATGAGTGAATTTCTCGAGAAACTTCTCAGTTTTGACAAAATAAGCTGTACAAGTAAGAAGACACTTAAATTAAAAGTTAAAATTACAGCGAATAAATAGCAAAAATACCGCATTTTAAATTTTTTTAAAATAACTTTTAGTGTTTAAAATGAGTTTCAGTAATTTGTGGCAGAAAAAAAAATGCTTTTCACCTAAAATTTTAAACGGATGTCCTGAAAATCGACGAAGGATATTAAAATTGCGAGACCTAGACATTGAGAATATTTTCATAAAATATAAAGACCATTTATTCCAAAAATCATAAAATATATATTTAGTAGTTTGTGGTGGGGTCTGAAAGGGACATAGTTTTGTCGAATGTTGATAGAGCTGGCTGTGTGCAAAGGAGTTATGATTTGATCTCACCGATTTGTGTCGAATAAAACAATCATATTGTTACTTCACAGGCGTGTTTTTTGTATACACAAATATTTCTATTTTTTTATTTTATACATTAATAGCAATATCTTGAGGCATTGAAAGTTAAAAAAGAAATATAGGAAAACAGCTGATGCTATTTGGATTCTCAACATTTGTCAGCAAGGGAACTAAAGTGTCTTTTTTAGCTACTCTATGAATCAATAATCTTTCTTGAACGTGTTAACAAGTATTAAATTCAAATGACTTTGGAGCTTCATAGTATCATATTTAAATTAAATATCAAAGATATAACCTATTGCATTGAAATAAATTATATTGTCCATTCACCAAGTGAAACATTTTGGTCCACTGTGCAAGCGGCCAAACTAACGGTTGGACAGTTCAGCTGGCAAGCTTCGGCTGTAGGTCGCTACACCGTCCTTCTCACCATCACCCCCCACCCCCCCCCCCCCGGCACCCACCCACCAACGCGCACCACTCACATAGCAGAAGGGTTGAATGTTGTGTTTGGGTGCGCGCACACACCACATCGTGCTCTATGAACAAACTTGAAGGCAGGAGAGCTGATGGAAGGCGGGCGGGCGGACAAACAGTCGAAAATGTTTGGCATGCACAGATACTACAAAATATGCATATACCATCGCTCCAACCCTCCCACACACCCTTGCCAATTTCCAGCCCACCTCTACTAAAACAAAAGGGTTGCTTTGCCTGCCTAACTGGATGGCTGCCTGGCTGCCTGGCTGGCTGCCCGGGGTAGGAGGTGTAGTTCTCTTGGCGCTTGTATGCGTAAGGCATGTACAACAATTAGAGCAAGATAGAATGACTTGCCTGCTGGGTTGGCTGCCTGGCTAAATCAGCGACGAAAGTGGGCCCAAAAGCAAAACACGCGTGCATAGAGTGTGCAACGTGGCAGACGAACACACAAATGTGTAAGCAATTCAATAGACGACGACAGTGAGCCCTATAAGATTGGGACTGAACTGGAAATACTGTGACTACCGCTTTATGTCAGTATTGGCGAACGAAACTCCTATGCTAACAAAAACAATTCAAAAAAAACTTCAAGCTTATTATTTTCTTATCTTATTTTCTTGCATTTTTACGTTTAAATCATACTATTTAGGCTACTCATTTTTCAGGACTGAAAGCTTACGTCAGGTCTTACTCTTGTACTCTGAAAAATCAAATTAAAGTGACTCCGACCAACAAATACAAGCAAGGGCTTAGCTTATTCCAATACTTAACATAATAAGGAAAACATTTGTATTGCGATCTTATAAAGGAATAATTTCATATAAGCTAATTAATCAAGTCTTTCGGAATATATTAGTAACAATTGGAGTAATATGCAACCATAATACAAATTGTTCCTTTAATCAATTGACTGAAATAAATTTTCAGCAGCCCTTTTCTCACAGACTCCTTGGGTTTCTTAGCCTATACAGAGAAATGCATACATTCATTTGAAGTCGATATTTTCTTGTAAAGGCTATCTTGTTTCCCATGAAACAAATTAAAATTTTGTCAATTGAAGTGCTAAAACAATGCAGAGACCCATATCGTACAGTTTTCAAGGAAAAATCAGTCTAGAAATCAATAGACATATGAGAGAAGGCTGCACATCCAAAAATTAAGCCTACATGCTGTTAAGATTTACAATCGCATCATACATATGAATACAGACATACACACATACATATATAAATGCATATACATACGTAAGTATATACACCTATGTACATATGTATAAAAACAATAATTAATAACTTCGTATTAGATATTTTTATGAAACAGCCTCAGGGACTATGTGCAAAATATGTTTAGTTTAAATGCATGTGTGTTGCACACATCATATGTACTTCATCCATTAATCGAATTATTTTTCGATCAATACAATAATTCCACTTGACAACTGCAACGACAGATAGATAGACAGAATTCGAAATATACGCCTTCACTAATCCATCTCCAATCCATCAGTCTCTCCAGCAGTTATTTCTCATCAAATGCACACTCATTTTAATCAATAACAAAACAAACATCTATCCATCTATACAATCCATTCCATCCGCCCCATATTCAAAAAATAATAAAAACACATGAGCTACATTTTTCGGCTGACACACAAAATAAAATCACAACGAATGACCTTGGAATCAAGGAAGTGAGGAACATTTTATCCCAAAAAACATGTGTTTTACATTCCCATCCGTCCGTGCCTGTGTTTATACATATCTATGTATGTACGAGTATGTGCGTGGGTTATGCGTGTGTGTGTATGTGTCTGCAGCTTTCAAGCATTATCAGAAGATACGTATGCGTATGTATGTATGTATATATATGTACATCAACATGTTGTTACAAAATGAAACGAACGGCGATACGAAAACAAAAAAAGCGCGCTAAAATTATGGAAAAAAGGCATACAAAAACACAAGGCAGACAAAACAGCGGGCCGGGCAACAATAAGAAAGGAAAAGAAAAAAAAGGAGCATTCATTCGTTGGAATTTTTAAAAATGTACCAAAATGCACTGCACTGGGTGGTGGGCGGTACACGAAGGGGTTATCTGCTTTAGCTCCACATCCTGAGGGTGATTCAGGAGGCGCATGCGCCAAGCTGGACCTGCGAATGCAACAAACAAAACGAACAGCCCGATAAATAAGCTGCTTAGGCTGGGGAAGTGTGAGCCGCCGAGCAGAGCAGCGCAGCAAGTGGGAGTGGCATGCAACGCAGTGCGTATGCACTGCACATTGTACATAAAAACACAAGTGTAAATACATATATACACATGTATGTATGTACATATATTTACACATTAAAACTTGCTAGCAACTTCGTGCATTTCATAATGAGATTACCAGCTAGCAACAGATCTTTAGCGGACGCAACAGAAGTCGCAATAAAAAGTAAACCAACAGTCTTACACAGCGTTTTTCCGCAGTCTTCAGCCAATGAATGAAGCTGTTTTTGAAAAGTAAGCATTACGGGCTGACCAACTAATACAAAGTACTTACTAGTGTATGTACATATACATACATATATGTAAATATGTCAACTTTTTTTAGGTGCTTGCACACACTTACACATAGTGGACTGCTGGCCGCAGGTTCATGTCTTTGCTAAGCAACAAGTGCAATTGTAGCACGAGGGTCAACCAACCAGCAAACTAACCTAACCTAACACAATCAAATGGCACTTTGAACTCAATAGAAATGTTAATAGAGGGAAAAGCATATGTCAGAACAATAATAAACAAGGCGCGCTTCGTTTTACCCTGATGCTTCACCATGACAACACATGGCCTTAACCCTAACCTAGCACAACTTTAGCGTGGGCACTGCCGGCAGTAATCAATTAATTTAAATTGCTTGCCTACCATCTCGCGCCGTGGAAGTGTCAAAAACTATAACCACATTAATTTGTTTTAAACACACTATGCAAGACATCAGATTAAAACTAGCTAAACAATTTCGAACGTTATCCCAAAAAGCGCGATATTTGCTTGCATAAACATACGTACATACAAATGTACATGCACACATATATACATGCAGACATATGTATATATGCATATGTATGTACACAAAACTGAATGATTTTAGTTTCTTGAATTAAATGTTTTGTTTTTGGTATTTTTTTCGCGGCCTACCATGTGGCCAGACACCATGCGGGAGCTAGAGCGAGACAACTAGCTCGTATACGCTCAGCTGCTGCTGATGTGTTGGGAAAATATAAAAGAAATATATGTATGTAGAAATTGTGTGTGCGTACAAAAAGAAGAGTCATATCCTATATGAACAGGGAAAAGTGTGCTACTAAAATTTGCTTACAAATTGCATTTTATATTTTATTTTATTCAAAAAAGAACTAGCACAAGTCATGGAGTTGTATGGCTTGCTTATGGTTCATAAAATTGCAGCAAGAGCTGGGCAAAGGGACGCGACAACGACACAGCATGCGCACACACAAACACATGGCCAGACGTCATATCAAGCCACAACAACAATGCCAATGCAAATGAGCCATATTTTGGCATGCTTATATTATTTATTAACTTACCATTTCACTTCAGATAAAGTTGCCTGAGTTGTCGCAGTTTTAGAGATTTTTGTTGTTACTCCGGTTTTCCTCGCCGTTGTTATAGTTATAGAACTTTTGTTGGCGCTAATGCCGCTGCCGGAAGAGAACGCGCGCGTTTGGACTTAAACGGCGACACTTCCAGCCACGCATATATATATTTTTTATTATTGTACAATTACTTGCTTTTTATCAAAAACACACGGTTTCTTTCGTTCAGCTGGCCTCAAAAACAACAAAAAATCGCGTCAAATGCGGCACGCGGGGCGAATTCTTTCGGTGGCTACTACTTTTGGAACCCGCGCACAAACATACAGACTGCTATAAAATGCAATGCAATTATTAGCACACAGGTAAAAAGCAAATAATTGGATATTTGTATTTAAATACGCAACGCAAAAAAAATAGCAGTATTCTGCTACTGCAGCCACTCCAACGCAGTCACGCACAGACAATAACAACAAAGGCGAACCCACGTAACATACTCTCTACGATAACGATTAACGCGATAGGCGGTGCTAATCGAGTACTCATACGGTCACCGTAGTAGTCGCTTTTTTACACCACACCTTCCATCGCATTCAACTTATTCACCTACAGCAACGTAATGTTTCGTCAAAAGTTTCTCCTACCACTTCACATAATTCCCCTGAAGATATATTCCAAATTCTGTGGACGGTGTCAGCTTAAACAGTCCCAAAAATAAATCCATCTAACGAATAGCATAAAATTATGGTCGCCAAATACCCAGAAACCTTTACTTTGTAATCATGTTTCCTAAATCAATTCATATTCTGTTCTATATACATATGTACATATTTCGTTTGTTGCAAATATATTTACACCTGAAAGTATTACATTCTACAACAGCATATTACATGTGCCTTGTAAGCCTTAATGTTAATCTTACTCCGAAAAATTATTTTGTATTTAGAATATCTTATCTTAATAACTTAAATAATTTATTTTTGGCGCACAGTATGTAATTGTTACGTATGTATGCTTGTGGTCGCACATCCAGAATAGCAATGGAACCAAAATATAGCGTAATAAAGGAAAATTGATTTAAGTAAATGTACTTATAGTATTTACATAAATCAGTCTATTAGTCTTCCTAAAAGAGTGGAACCTGAACTGACGAAATATATAAAGGGCATCCAATGCAACTAGTTTTAAACATATAAAGTTTTTGAGCTTCAAATATATAAAATATAAAAATAACAAAATTTGTAATAACGATTCACTGAAATGACTTTTGTGTTTCTGTCATTAACTAGTACATTGTCCCCAAAATCAGGTGGCAACGCTAGGAAGAAATGTGGCAGCCCGCCTGTGCTTGACTCATTTACTGGGTCGCACTGGCGCCACCAAATATTTAAATCCCATTTTAATTGAAGTTTCAGTTGCATTTCAAAATTTGAAAGTGCCATTAATCTATAATACTTAAGATTGTTTATTTTCTATGCCTGCTTACATTACATGATTTAAAATGTACGAGCTTTAATTCTAATTTGCATAAATATACAAAATAAATGAATTTGTCTACTTTATCAGTACGTAGAAGGTAGTTGTTAATAAGGCTTTTCAGCAAAAAAAAAAAAAAAAAACTAACTAAACTGTATATATATATATATACATATATATACATAAATATTAAAAAAACCAGCATAGACACATACATGCACATAAATGTAAATGTCTTTGAGTGTAGTTTAAATTGCAATTAAGTAGGAAATGGTGCTTGGCTGTTGTGTGAAATCATAACGCATGTCATTCGATCATTCTGCCAATAAATTGGTTCGAAGCTTAAACGGCACTGAGTGGGCGAATCCTTACAACAGGCATGTACACATCAATCATGATTTATGGTAATGGTTATATTTGTGTGTATGTTTGTGTTTGTGTAACCGCCTAAAGTCGGAGCAAGGGGTAGGAGCCTATATCATATAAGTCTTTTAAGTGTGGGGGGCATGGGGCGCATACATAAGGAGCTGCATCATTATCTAAATGTTGTTGCGGCTTCGATTGCCGCCACCTCCGCCGCGTTGATTGCGGTTCGCAACGCCACCACCACCCCCAAAGTGACGATTTCCACCCCCCTGATTATTCATACCACCACCCCCGCCGAAGTTTCTCATCGGTCCAACACCAATTCCATTAAAGGGCACGCCCAAGTTTCCAATATTTACAGGACCCATGCCAGGACCAGGGCCAGGACCACCCCCTCCGCCAAATGGCTTGAATGGATTATTAGCCCCGCTCCCGAGACCGGCCATCATCATATTGCCCACGTTTCGCGGCATGCCCAGCAGGCGGGGCCGTGCATTCGGAGGCGGTTGATTAAACGGCGGCAATCCCATTTGGAGCAATGTAGTCGGCCCCATTGGTCCACAAAGATTGGGCGGGGGCTGGCGAATCAGATTTGCTAAATTTGGCGGCGGCTGTGACATGTTGGGCAACATGACCGGCATATTTGGGACGGCAGCGGGTGTATTGGCCGGGCCCGCACTGCCGCTCGTCGGCGGCCCATCGTCCAGTAGCTGCACCACCAGGCCATTGTCATCAATGTAGATGTGAAGCTGGCCGAAAATCTGCTGCAGCGTCCGATTATTCACAATAAAGCTCACATCGAAGATCTTGTTCGGCTGCTCCAACTGATGGAACTTCTTGAGCTCCGTGAAGACAAGCGCCAGCTGCTGATTCACCATTATTTTGTTGTTCGAGCCGAGATTCTTGTACCAATTGGATGCCTGGAGTACGTTGCGTATTTCACCGATTTGCCGGTTACCGCCGCCGGATCCAGCCGAAGCTGCAGCCCCTCCTGCAGCGCCGGCATAATTATTATTACTGTTAGCCAGATGGGCTCGCCGGGGATCACGACGCGGATCTGTACGTACTGAGGTGGCCGACGTTTCGGTACCGAGTAGCAAATTTGGCGGTGGGATGTTCATAATTGGCGGTGGAACAGACATAGAAGGCAGATGTACTGATGGCGGTGGCGGCGATGTAGGCTGTGCATCTCGCCCGGATGGCGACATTTGCACCGATTCCGGCGATGATATGCAGGCACTGGTTTTTCGCTCACGCTCCTCATGGGCCAGGCCGTCGGGATGATCGGGCAAGCCGAGGACGCGACGTATGCGCGGATCACGTATGTCGCGCTCTTCCTTGTAGGCAGCAGCTAGCCGGAGCTCTGCATAGGAGGCCAACTCCACATCGACCTCCTGCAGCTGCCAGCGTATTGGGCTGTGCGAGAAGATTGCTGCATCAATCTCGGTGGCGGGCAAATAGTGTTTCATGGGTTCGAATGGCAGACGCATGTCAATATCACGATCTGTGCCCACGCACATTTGCGGTCGCAGATCCTTGTCCGCTTTACGTGCAGCTGCGCGAGCAGCCTGCTGCTCGACCCTCACTGGATCAAAGTCGTACATGGTGGTGCGCGTGTAGAGCGATGGTTTGGCTGGTGTCGCTCCTCCTCCTCCGGCAGCAATCACTGCTGCTGCTTCCGCAGCTGTTGCTGCTATTTTTCCAGCTAAAACCTCCTCCAGCGGCTTGGGTGACTGGGAGCCCGGCTCGGGTGTGCTGGAGGAGCCTGTGGGCGTTGGTGTCAGCGAGCGTGAATCATGCTGGGCGTAGAACTCACCACCGCTATTGGAATTGTCATTATCAGCATCGCCGATGTGCGTTTTAAAGGGATTTCGAATGATATCGCGATAGAAGGCGGCCCGGGCCTCAGGATCCGGGTGCTTATCGCCAAAGATTATTTTGCTAAATATTGTAGCGCCGGAGTTATCGGCATTGGCTTTTGTCTCGCTCGGTGATGTGGCTGAGGTTAGTGTTGTTGTGCTGCTGGTTGGAAGAGCTATGCTTTCGCTGCTATTGTTGGCTATTGTTGTGGGTGGATCGGCCTTATTGTCCTTAAGCATGTTGCTCATAAACGAGGGAAGATCAAATACGGATGGCAAAGGTGTATCGTCCTCGTCTTGCAACTGTAGGGCAGACGACTTCTTCTTGCGCTCGTCTTCCGACTCATTCCCATCATCAATGACCAGCTGCTCCTCATCGTCACAATCGTCCTCTACTGGAACAAACCAAAGATTAGAAGATCTGTTGCCGATGCTAATGCTTCAGCGGCACTTACGTGGATCGTTCCGGTCGAAGTTCACATGAGCATCCTTCAGATATTGTGTGTAGTCTACCATAATAAAGCCATTGCTATTGCTATTCGAATTCGATGATGAGGCGTTGTTCACATCCGTCTCCGGTTTTTTCTGGTTGGAGCTAAAATGTCCATGGCAAGAAATTATAGCATCGATGTGAAGCGTAAGGTATTTTCAGTAGTCATATAACTATCGGAATATATATACTATTATTAAAGTACTGATCACTATCTTATCTTGCTAGAAGAGACACGATTTACAGGCCCAGAGCTCTCGCGAAAGTGACGAAAACTCTGGAAATCCTTTCTAGCTATTATAATTTACACAATGATGTTTGTGATTAAACCGGTTTTAACAATTCTGCAAAAAAAAAAACTATTCCAAAATCGAAATAAATTTTGCAATTAAAATCTGCTTTAAGATCTTGAAGAGAGTTCTGGAAGGTAGGAGAACCGTTTCTATTACTTAACGATACCGCAAGGCTGGCAATTATTGTACTTTCTTTTATGATGCTCATAATAGTCTCTTTAAAAACCACAATGTTATTAGAGCTTTGGGTGTTTGGAAACCCCAGATCATTACGTGAACTTTTTAAGATAAAATTTGTTATAACAATTCTCCTAATAGCGTCTTCCATAATCAAAATAGTATTTCAATTGAAATCTGCTTCAATCTTAAAATCAGCTAGAAGAATTCCGTAAATTCTGTGCTTTTTCTCATAGAAGTACACTTCATGAAAATATTAGCAAATAATATAGTCTTCAATACTTAAAATAGTTTTGGATCATGCACTCACCCCGTGTCTGGGTTGTCGTTTTGCTTTGCAGCTTGCTGATCGGCTGAAGTGTCGGCCACCGCGGCGGCCTTGCGCTGAATCTCACCAATCTCGACGAGCGTTAGACCCACCTCGGTTAGCTTACCGAAAGGCACTTGCATCATCTCTTCCAGATTGCTGATTCCCAGTTTATTTAGCTTCGACATGTGATCAGCGCTCAACACATTTGTCAGATTCTTCAGATCCAGATGGGCAGGTAGCTTTGTGTCCGAAGATTCACAGGTAGATCCAGCTGCGGGGGCGGAACTCGTCGCTGATGTACCAGTCGCAGCTGTTGTTGGTGCTGAAGCTGTTGCTGATGCCAGAGCCGCTGCTGTTGTCGAGGACTTATTAGCAGTAGACTTTTCCGCCCAACGCGACTTACGCTTTTTATCCGCCTTGTCGGCCAGATTCGGTGGCGGGTTGATGACCATGTCTAGCAGCGAAGGTATGGGCGCCAAAGTAGCCGCCGTTTGCGCGACTTGTGGTGGCGGTTGTGACATCAATTGTTGCTGCTGCTGCTGTTGCTGCTGATTCTGCTGCTGGTTGACCTGTTCTTGTCGTCTATTGTTGGCATTCGCCAAAATGTTGTTCCAAGTGTTCTCCACCTTGTACTCCTCACACAAGGCCTCGTGCCGTCTCGTCATCTGCACCATGGCCTGATCACGTGAGATGCGCTTGAAGTCGCCAAGAATCTCTTTAGGAGCGGTCTCCATATGCTTAAGCAGAATATTCCGCAGCTGCTCGGTCAACGGCTCCCCATGATGGAAGAGGCAATCGTCACCAGCATGGCACTCCATACCCAGGTAATAGTACTTACAGGGGAACTCCTTGTGCATGTAAGAGCATTTGTCGCGCTTGGCACAACAGTCCATTAAATAGAATTTGCAAAGCTCCAGTTTGCGGGGCTCGCGTTTTTCCTCAATGGCGGTGTTGCCGCCCGAATCGCGACGATTGCGTTTTCCATCGTGTCGTCGATCATTGTCGCGATCACGATCGCGTCGCTTCCGACCGCGACTCTCCTTGTCCCGGCGTTGGCGCCGTGGCTGATTGGCATTGGATCCAGGACCGACAGTGTCATCGTCCGAATAGGAATCATAGGAGCTGTAATCTTGGGCCGTTTCGTAACTTATGCCACCTTCGGCCATATCCGCCCAATCGCCGGGAAAACGGGGCAAGCTAGACGGTGGAACACCACCTGCAGCACCACCCGGCGGTGGACTACCACCTCGCACATTCATCATTTCGTACTCGTCCATATCCTCGCTGCCCGGTGCCTCTTCCAAGGAGTCTTGGCGCGGTCGTTTCTGCTAAAAATACAATAAGTGGATACACATACATACATACATATATACATACATAAGTGGAGAAGCCAGACAAAAATACCTCAATGACGCAGATAACCGTTGTTTTTTTTAAATCGAAATGTTAAAAATTTTTAAACAACGCTTTTCGGTATTCAAAAACTCAATTTATACATACACTTAGATACGTAATTGGATTTTCTTTTATAATATTAAAACGAATTTCACGCTCCAAAGCAAAAACTCATCAACTATTTCGAATTGCGAAAAAAGAAGAAGAAAAGTTTGACAGCTCAAACCTAGAGATTTGCAATTAATTAGGACCTAGTGAGGAAATCCCATCCCTAGGGACAAGAGTATTATAAAGTATACTGAATGTGAAGCTGGTCGGTAAAACTAGAACCTAACCTAATGTTCGAAAATGTTATGCACCTAATGGCTGATTAATTATGTCCAAAAGCAATGCCAAATGCGGTCTTAACCTAATACCAAGCAGTCAATAACAATTTAAAATAGTTTAAATAACCCAAGTCTCAAAAATCATATTGCTTTGATCTTAATCAATATTCTACACTCTCTAATCGTCTCTGTATTTACAATAATCATCGCTTGAAACTATATTCATTTACATACATATGTATGTATATGCCCTTAATAATTATTATCATATTATTCTAAATAATGGATATGCAATTGAAAATAAATACGTTAAATAGATGTAAACATGTGGCATGAGAAAAATAGTTGCATTTCTAAAAAGTTTCGGTAGATTCAACAATGCCCTTACTAAAGATATTCGATAAAAATATCTTATAATGTACATAGTTAGTCACCATATCCATGCTGCAAAATGAGAATGATATTATCTTACTAGATGATGGGTTGTTAGTAAATGAAAACAAAATTTGAAATAAATCTTCCTTTTTTAAAAAACTTCACTATGGAGAGACATTTAGAGCCCCCGACTGACCTTTATACCCATTGCTAAGGAACTGAAAAATGTAAAATAAACAAGACAGTCTATAACTTTCCCAATTTTACACCTAAACGCGCATGAAATTGTCGATTTATTTTATATATGAGCCAAACGGTTGGTCAAGGGACTAAATGACCAATAAATAAACGCGTCATGTTTAAAGGTCTGGCTTGAATCAGTCGCTCCGTCTCTTACCTTGTGCTCTTTATCCTTCTTTTGTTCGCGTTCCCTTTCCTTTTTGCGCTTCCGTCGGCGACTACTTCGACTTTGTTGTTGCTGCTGCTGTAAAGCTTTACTGGAATCGGAAGTGGGGCCATCTACGGAAGCAGCAGCACTTGTCGTTGCTGTGGCATCGGATTCGCAACTGGTGTTCAACATTTTGGGCATTGGCGGTTCGATACCCTTCTTTTTTAATGCATTGGCAATGGCGATTTCAATGCTGACCGCATGATCGTCTGTGGATGGGGATTTAGAGTAGAATTTTGCTCGAAGGGAGAGTGGGGGTATTGGTGATGGTATATGGCCATCAATGGGCTCTTTACCTTCCAGAGGTCGTGGCTTCTTTGATTTACTGCTGCTGCTGTTGTTGCTGTTCTCTGGCGGTGTTGCAGCTGCGCCGCCGCCACCACCACTGTTGACCATGCCCATAAAAATAATATCATCATCTGGGTTATGCTTGTCGGCTGTGTCCATGGCCACAAATTGCACATCATCGTCATCGTGCTTGTCTCGCTCAGTCTTTGATTTGCTGGAGCCAACCAGCTGTGGCTCATCATCATCATCGTCATCAATCTCACCATCCTCAAGATCCTCATCCAAATCAATGAGTGTTGTCACAGCGCTCTCGCTGTTTGTGGCCACGACAGAAGACATGTTGTTATGTGTACAGTGGGTCAAAGCCAATTTGGCATAGGAACAAAACTATGAAGTATTTTCTTGATTTCTTATTTGATTTTCGATTTGGTATGCTTAACGTATCACGACTTCGCTTGTTAATTGTGCTGTAAGGTGTGAAGAAATATCTGGTATTAGCGTTACGCATGAACATACATACATACATTGGCAAACATATGTATACATATGTTTCCATTCATGTACATACATATATTAACTATTTAACTACTGTTCCAACAATGAAGCATAAATGATGTTTGGCAAAAAGTCGCACTATGTTAAGAACTGCAAAAGACATTATTGCATACATATGTATATACATATGTACATATGCATGTATGATGAAGGTTTGTATTTGTATCAAATTTCTATACATACATAAGTATGTGCATGTGAATGTAAAAACAATGCTACATAGAATATTTACAAATGTATGTAAGTACATACATACATATGTACTTCGAACTTTTACTTCAATGTAACAAACACACATACGGATGTATTTAAATTGGTGCAACACATACATACATATGCAAACTTCAGAGGTTTTCTTTTTTGTATTTTTTTACATTACAACATGTTGCAACGCGTGATATTTACAAGTGCGTGACTAACAGCGCACTGTTAACAAGAGTTGAGAGCGCCATTCACCTATTAACAGCCCCTATCACTATGTTACACCTGAAAACAGCAGGTGATTAACTAACATCAATTGTTCCTACAAACACATACTCGTACATAGATTATGAAAAAGTGCAAGCATTTTGGCATGTTAATAAATACTTCCGACTCTCTCGCTGTGCAAAAAAACCTTAAGTAAAACCAGTTCCCATGTTCGATTGAACAATAATTTCAAACTTTGTTGTAAGAGCGGCATAGCAACAGCTTTTTTATACGCTGTACGCCTCTTTTACATTATAAGCGGAGCAACTACACATACAGACATGCTTGCTCTCCCTACTCTCACACACACAAACATACATGTCACTTTCCCATCGTTCAATTCTGCACACATATTTTTCTAAAAATTCACTCACTTTTTGTGTGTTTCATTTTAGCAACAACAATACACAGCAAGCTGACAAGCAGGTATGATGAAAGGGACTTTGCTAGAGATTCGCAAAATGCATACATATGCCCGCAATTGTGCTGTTTAAAATATAATTTTGTACTTGTGTACGTGTGTGTATATGCAGTTTACTTCACATACAAAAACAATGCTCTCAGACGCTCATTGTGAATCATTTGTCTCACTTGGGCGCATGGGTTTAGCATAGGTCGTTTAGAGAGCATACAAACAGACATACATACATACATACTTGTTGGAAACAAGCGCCGACTGACTGACTGACTGATTGACAGAATATCAGATTTTTTGATTGAACGTAATGGATAAAATGCGTAATTACAGGTGGGATTCATATCAACGCAGCTGAACTTGTTGTTGTTGTTATTGCTTCATGTTACACTTATTTGTGATGTTATTTTTTGAACTTTTTTCCATTTGTTTGCATTTGTTTTTCTACTCGATGCTACTACTTTGGATTGTAATGGTCGAAAATTTTCCCTTATTATAAATACATATGTACAAATGTGTGTATGTACATACATATGGATACACATGTATTTTAATTAACCAATGTGCCGCTTCACCTCCCTTCGACATAGCAATGACGAATTCTAAAATACGGACGTAGCAGCTGCGCAGTTTACTATATACATACATGCATACAAATCTGTATGTATGTTTGCACATACATACATATCTATGTATGGAAGCGCATAAGGCCCCGTGCAAGACGCCTTTGTTAATTTTGCAACAACAAAATGTAAAAACGCTTGCTGGGGTATTTGCGTGCGTTGTACAGTTTACAATGAAAAACAATACAAATGTACGAGTTTCATACTTTTAGAAAACTTTAAACTGCTTGCCATTTGCTGCGCGACAGGGCGGGGCAGGGCCTGAGCTGGCTGACTAATAGTTTGGGCATTGAACATTTACGTTTAACATTTAGGTTTTGCATTTGCAATAAAATTAGCCACAGCCTTGAAGATATTTTCCTTACGTTTTAGCGATCGATGGTTTCAGAAAATTACAGTTTATAATAGTTTATAACATTTCTGTTGGTTTTTAAATAGGTTATAGGTTTGTTGATTTGCTTTTCGTTTTTGTTGGCGATCCCGCTGCTTACATAATGAGGTGGTACAGTAGGTGAATAAATATATATGTATATATAAAGTACATGATGGTATATAGACATATATATGTATGTAGCAATATGTGTACATATATATGTATACATATATGAATTGATAAATAATTTTGTTCGTTTTTATACTATTATATATGCAAGCTGTCGCTGTCTCTTTCTGTGGCCCTGGCCTCTGTATATGTCTGTCCCTTTCTTTCTGTTTCGCTCATAGACAGAATACAATATGCAATACATTAAAATAATTAAAACTTCTTAACATGAGCGTTGTCGTTGTGAACAATTGAACCAATTCAACTTGAATGAAAAGACGCCTGTGACCGAAAAAGCATCGATACCATAGCAACACCGATGTCAACTATGTATCGATAGAATACCGATACCAAAAATCATCGAAGCTTTTAAAGTCCTTAGAAAAATGCCACCCCATTTAAATATTTGACCTTTAATAAGCTTACATATGCCATTATACCTTACCTGCAAGTTTGCAATACCAACGTGCGATAGGAGTTTCAATCTTGCAAATGAAATTGCAATAAATATTTTCATAGAGACTCGGCACAGTGAAATTGTCAGTGACAATACGTTGCTGTGCTACCTAGATTACCTTATCCCAACATTTATTGCTTAATTATATCCGTGCTGTTTTTCATTTATGTCGTAATTTTTAAGTCTACGATTAATTCATGCAAGTAAAATATTTCCTTATTGCTATGATTTGAAACTTAATTCAATGCAAATAACATTCGAAATATGCAGAAATGTTTGTAGTACTTTAGCTCTAACTTCAGAAATCGCTGCTTATCGATAACTGTAATGTAATAAGTGCATCACCATGGATGCGAATAAATCGAATCTTTTACACATCTCCATCCACAAGCACACATTCGCGTTTATTTTCTGATTATATTTTAATAGAAACCTTTACAACAAAATGTCTAAGGCACATCCTCCAGAGCTAAAGAAGTACGTAACGTATTACATTGTTAGTGAACGTGTTCTAAGATTCAATAATGGGCGTCTTTCCTTTTAGGTATATGGACAAGCGCATGATGCTCAAGCTAAATGGCGGACGCGCTGTTACCGGCATTTTGCGTGGATTCGATCCATTCATGAATGTAGTGCTTGACGAAACCATCGAAGAATGCAAGGACAACACAAAAGGCAACATCGGCATGGTGGTAAGCCAAACATATTAACCATCCAACCTATTATAAATAACACATACTTTTTCCCTTTAGGTCATTCGCGGCAATAGCATCGTTATGGTCGAAGCACTTGACCGGGTTTAACACTAGGATTGGTTGCTGCTGGTGCTGAATGATCCATAGAAAATAATTTAAATGTAACAAATATTACAAATTAGTCGTAAGTGTCAGAAAAACACTCACAAACTGCAAATGAAACAGAAATGCATAATATGAAGAACGTGTAATTTTGTATGTAGTTCGTATGCATATTCATTTACATTCTTTCTGAGTGATAATAAACCGTGGCGAGTTAAATTATTAAAATGGAATAAATATAAATGCATTTTTCTGCAGTCGGATCTCGAACATCAAATTAAGCTTATTTGTTACAACTACATATTTGAAGAGAAGCCATCATTATGCATATATTCGATAAATACTGCGGCGCGATTCATATACTTATAAAAAAGGAGCTAATCTCAGCTGAAACTTCCCATAAAAAATAATGGTTCCCACTAATTAAAACATGTCGGCCCGAGTATGGATTTAAATGTTTAACTTAGAATGAAATCTTTTATGTTTTAGCGTACGCACTAAAATGAATTTGAAAACATATAGTATTTTATGCGCAAAAAGTTCCGACGAATATATGTACAAGTATGTATGGGCATTGTGAAATTTGTCTCTTCATTACGATGTGCCGGACCAATTCAAATATGCGATACTAACTACCTTATTGAAAATATATAGTTCTGTTATACATACATATATAGCAAGTTTGCATTTCAGGCTTTGAAGCCCCAGCCTCTAAATTCTCATGCTGTGTTTATTATGAGTTTTAATCTGACTATAATAAAGCTTTCCTTTAGTTTTGACATTTTGTGGCCATTATACGAATGTATTTTCTACCTTCTAGCAAAATAAATGAAATACACTGCATCTCAGTTATAGCAAATTAACTTGCGAATTCCCAAATCCACATGAACTTGGTGCATAACTCCTCTTCATGGCCATTAATGCACATTTTAAACTTCTGCAGCACGCAATAATATACATTTCTTTTTAAATGTTGCACCCAGTCATTTTAATACGATAACCACAAAGGAACAATTTCACATATTTACGCTTTTTTTGTAGAATTTTATGAATAGGTTATATATTTTCTTGTCTCTCGTGCAAACAAAAAAACGCTTACAACAGAAGTTCGAAGATGTTTTCCCATTTCAGCAGGAGCTTCTAATTTTCCCCCACACAGGAACGCAATTTTTACTTGGAAATAACGATGGGACCAGACTGTTTGGCGGCGTCACGCTGCTTAGCAACGATTTGGTTGGCAATGCGATCCAAATCACGCTGTCCGATGGAGCTCAATTTGCGGCCACCCTCGGGGTGCTTCTCGACCAAGCGAGCGTGTTCCAGAGCTTGCAGGGCCTTACGGGCAGCACCGTCGGCGGCGCGGCAGAAGTGAGAGGGGTGCACACCATTGCGCTTGCGGCCACCATAAATTTTAGTGATGGAGCCAACACCAGCTGGGCTGCGGTGATACAAGTGGCGCAAAATCGAAGCGCAACGCACGTAAAACCAGTCAGGGTCATAAGGGGCCAGCTCCTTGAATTTGGCAGTCTTGATGATGTCCATCTGATCGGGCACCTTCAATTTGCCAGTCCTAAACAAAATACAAACAAATTATATTGTGAGGTTATGGTATGGTATATATTGGATCGTTTATAAAGAGGCACTCACTTCTTGAGGAAGACGGCGACCGCCTTGGTAACGGCATGTTGATCAATATCCTTCACAGTGACGCCTGGCATCTAAAATGCGAGAGGAACATGAAATTTGTTAATACTAGGATTTATCAAAGCACGTTAGTAGCTGACAACACTCGCACACGCTTATCCACACTGACGCACACAAACATGCAAACAGAGACACAACAAAAACCCTATCGCTCCATGCGCCTTGATTTAACGTTAATTTTTGGCGCGCCCGTGCTTTGGAACTCAACACAAATTAATTATTTGCTGTCAGCCAATTTCATTACAACTTTTTCATTGATTCCATTATGTTTTTAGCACTATTTCAGCGAATATAAAAAAAAATCTTGAAAAAGTACGCGAACACTACCTTTCTCGCTAAAGTCAACCGGAAAAAAGAACAATACGCGTGAAGTTGGCTGCGCTGGTCATCGATGACATATTACGGATAAAGTTGCCATACTCCTTGAAAAACAGTGCTGACAGCTGATAGAGCTAAGCTTTTAAAATTCGATAATCAAAGTATCGATTAGTTTAACAAGTTAAGAAATTTACGTTTATTTTTAAAAATCATATATTCAGGTAACATATTATGATTAATCACGACTCAGTGCAGTCATATTTCTTCCAGCACTCGGCAAATGCTTTAACTTTGCCAATTGAGTTTTTTTCCTTAGAAGGTTTTCGCCATGTATTTGGACTAAGCTCGAGCATGCCGCCAATTATTTCCTAAAAAACATCAGAATGAGAAAATTTGTGTAAACATACAAGGTATATTAGACAAACCTGAGCAAAATTAGATGGGAAGCGATCTTCATCCTCAATAACGTGAGCAAATCCAGAATCCATGCCGAAATTCACCCACAAGTATGGCAAACCCTTTGGTATGGCAGAGCGTACAGATTTCTTACGCAATGATACAAGCTGTTTATTGATGCACCACTCCTGTTCAGATTCCTCGATGGCCTTCTTGAAATAAAAAGGAGCCATCTCAGCTTGTGCCTCCGGTATGGGTATGCAGTGCAGGGTGAGATGCGGACGCTTGTGCAGCTTGTTGGCTATCTCATAGAAAATTACATCCTTGTTCTGCGTCGCAAACATACGTGTAAGAGCTTTGCGAAAGTTATTCAGCTCCTCCCAAGCGTCTTCGTCCAGCTGAGTGCAGCAGCTAACATGCTGCATGGTCGTCAAAATGCAATGACCGGGCTGCAAGCCCACGTGCCAGGGTAGAGTAAGATAGATTTTCTGGCCCATGGACACGAGAAGCTGCTTGTTTAATTTCTTTGAATCGAAGCAGTGCTCACAATTCTCCAAAGTGGCTGTAAGTTTCTCGTGGTCACGTATAGCCTGCTGCATCTCACGCTTATCAGCTTTTTCTTCCGAAATATTCTTGCGCACCTTGTCAACAAATATGTCCTCGAGATCATCGTTGGGATTTTTGTGCTTGGACAGAATGTCAGCAAATTGCATATTGGAATCGGCAGCACTTGAATGTTTTTCGCGTTCAAACTGAAATAAAATTTAACAAAATTAAAGCTATTGAGTTTAAATTAATTGGTGAATTCTTCACATACCATTTGCTTAATGTCATAACGATCATCGTCTGCAAAGTAGCGAACGCGTTGACCATCCTCATGGGTTTCGACCTTCTTCTTTGTCTTGCCACCATGTTTCTCGCCTTTCCGGCCCCCATATTCGCCATGGCGTGCCTCTGAGCGCGACTGCATTAGTGGTCGGACATTTCCACGTTGGTCTGTCTGTGTCAGTAGGACGTGGTCTGTAGATGGCTTTGATGGTGCCGACGATCGTTTGGAAATTGGTTTACCAGCTGCTAACAGAGCCGCACGAACTTTTCGCGCATTTTCCAGCTGTTGATTTAAGTTTGCTGCTAACTCGTCTTTGCCTTTGAGTTCAGCTTTAATGGCTCGTGCAGCTAATTCATTTATTTGCTGGTCGTTTAAGCATTTAGGCCCTTCTTGATCATCTTCCTTTGACTCTGAAGGTGAACTTTTTTCGTCGCTCGATGAACCCGAAGCACTATCATTGGATGATGAATAATGGCGAGGTGATTTTGTCGGTGGGCTTTCAGGCTTTTTATTAACGCAGTCCTTGGATGTTTTCTGCCAGTTGCGTTTGCCTTCAACACGATGTGTTGCACGATGTGCAAGTCGATCATCGGCCGCATCATCATCAACTTTAGGTTTTTGAAATTCTGGTAGACCAGTGCCGTTACTTTTCCAATATGGATTCAGTTCGTGCTTGCTTCTGGCCGGATCATAGGCATCTATTTTCTGTTGTCTTTCGTTTGGCTTCGTTGGTTCCTTGCGCTCGCGTGTGAATGTCTTCAGTGCTAATGTTTCTGATGTCATCCAGCTGTCTCTTTGAAGAAGTCCTGCTGTGCCACTCGACGACTCCAGCTCCTTAGCAGCCCCTGATGGCTTTTCTATCCATTCCTCTTCGCCTTCGCTTCCACTGTCGCTTTCACTATCGCTTTTAGTTTTCCTGCTTTTTTTCGACTTCTTTTTGTGCCGTTTACGCTTCTTTTCCTCCTCGCTGCTGCTGTCGGAAGAGCTTGAAGAGGAACTGTCGGTATCACTGCTACTGCTTTTACGCTTCTTGCGTTTCTTTTTCACAGCACCTGATTTTATTGAGTGTGACTTGGACTTACGCTTTGCTTTCCTTTGTTTGGATTTTGAAGATGCATTGCTCAGTTTATCCAGTTTTTTTGTCATTGCCGGCAACATCCAGTTGCTTTCCCCACGCAGCTCATTTCGTAGCTCCCGTTGTTGGCGCTGCTCTGCTCTTTCTTGCGCCTCTTTGAGCAGCTCCGCCCGTGCCTCTTTAAGTTGTTGGCGCGCCTTTTCCTTTTCACGTGCGCTTTCAAATTTTATGTAACTCATATTTGATTTAAAATAAAATTGTAAATACACAATGCTATTAGCATTGCTAGTTTTAAGTTTTCACAGACTAAGCGTTGCCACTGCGACTATATTCTAAACTGTATACGTTGGAGTAAACAGCTGATTTTGTGTTGGCGATGTGGCAGTGCCGCCGTTATATCCATATGAAGACTTGACGATTTTGTTGTTTGTTTGGCGGTGGAAATTAATAATTATTATTTTCCCGGTACAAATACTGTACAAAAGAAACATTGAGAGAGATGCCGCTTTATGAAAGTGTAATTCAAGAAAAGCCACCAATTGTGCTGGATATTGGCAATGCCTATACAAAGTAAATAAACTTCACGGCACGGGCTGGCAAGAATGATATCATCGCTTACATTTTGGTGGCTTTCGTTTCCGTTTCTTGCAGGCTTGGCTTTGCAGCCGAAGCGCATCCACGTAAAATAATACCCACAACTGTCGTGCTGTCTACCACAAGCGAAACGAAGCGGCTCTTTGATTTTGCGGACACAACCGAGTTTTACGATCAAATAGTGGATTTTCTGCAAATGATATTCTTTAAGTAAATCCATATAATGTTAATTGTATAGCTATGGTTTGAAATTAATGATTGAAATTTACATTTACAGACACCTGTTGGTCAGCCCCAAAGAGCGTAAAATAGTTGTGGTGGAGAACATCTTTGGCCAGACTGTAACTCGTGAGACTTTGGCACGTGTGCTCTTCAAGCACTTCGATATGTCTTCGGTGCTGTTTGTCCCAGCGCACTTAATTTCGCTCTCAACTCTGGCGCTGCCCACCGCCGTTGTAGTGGACATTGGTTACAGTGAAGTAACCGTGATGCCAGTCTTTAGTGGTGTCCAAATAATGCCCGCTTTTATGGATCAAAGCTACGGCGGCTCTGCTGTCCACAATGAGATTAAGCGTCAGTTGGTGGCATCAGGTATCAAGGAATCGTTGTTGACCGAAAATGTTTTAGAGGATATAAAAGTGCGCGTGTGTTTTGTGACCACCTTTGAGCGTGCACAGGCGCGTCTGAAGGGCAACGAACCACAGCCGACACCATCACCCAGCGTTGATTATCCCATTTGCGATTATGACACGATTATCGAAATTCCAGGCATCGTACGTGAGACCGTCTACGAGATAATGTTTGAGCAGAGCAACGAGCGTGACAGTCTGCCACATTTAATACTACGCGCCATACTCGAATGTAGCGTTGACGTGCGTCGGGCACTGCTTGAAAGCATTTTTCTGATTGGTGGCGGGGCTATGGTAATGGGATTACTGCCGCGTCTGAAGCAGGAGCTGCAACATCTGCTCGAGACAGATGCATACTACAAGGACCGGTTTCATGGGGAGGTGGAGTTTAAATTTTACAAGCCAATCGGAAAAGAGAATTTTACTGCTTGGCTTGGTGGCGCCCTTTGTGGCGCCACCGACTTAATTCAAACCCGTTCGCTTACGAAGGATGCGTACGCAAGAAACGAACATGTGCCGGACTGGACCAATCTCTGCGATAATCGACATGCAGGCTCCTAGGCTTAGTCATACCTATCATATATGTATTTATTAGAACTGCATTATTTATACTATTCTGTTGCAGTGAATTCAGTATGTCAATATCTTATTTTTACTTCAACTGGAAGTTGGAAGTCCTAAAAGCAACAACCGACTTAATAAATAAAAAAATAATAATTAATAATAAAGAAATTAAATTTAACCATAAATCTGAGACTTCAGCTCTTGAGCAGTGTTATAATTTCTGCCCTTGAAACAATTTTTAAGAGATTGCTAATGGGGAATAAAAAGCATGCACTTAAGCGCATTATTTTTCCATTTTAAACATAATATTAAACTTCCTTTCTGGTTCTTCATTATTCGTTTCTTTTTAGCCATGCGTTAAGGTAACTCCCAAATAAAATGTAACTTCTGCAGATTACAAAACATGTTCTTCAGTTAAACATTATTCTTTTCTGAAATCAATATTTCTAATTCTCTCTTCCATAATAAATACAATTTGTAATCGTTTTAATTTATAATTTTTATTTCAATTTATTCGCTCATTTCGATTTGTATGATTTTTCGTTTTTATATAATTTCAGTATGAATATTATATACTCGTATTATATTCCCGATGTGTTTGGGTGTATGTATATTTATATATGTATATGTAGGTATAGGCTTGTATTATATAATAATAACTCGTTCTTATTAGCTAGGGGGCCTAAGCATAATTTCAAAATTTCCTCATAATAGAAAAACAATATGCAATTATATGTATGTATATTATGTATAGGTGAATATACAAACAATAAACATTTTCTCTATGTTAAATAGCTTCCTTGACGCGCATCCGCACACATTTAGAAAAAAAAAATCAATCAAAATTTTAAAAAACCGAGATAGCCATAGCCGCCACTGGATATTAAAATTTGTTGGTCTAATTGGTATAATTGTTTTTCGAGTATTTCCGAATGTTGTTTTTCGTTTTTGGTGCGTATAAAATTATTTAAACAATTTTGAATAATAAATATATAACAGTAATAAAGTTTAAAATTATAACAAAAAACCATTGCTTGTGTTTTTGTTTCAGGAAGGGGCCGGGAGTGTTGCAGATGCCGTCGATGATTAGCAGATAAAAACACTACTGGCTGCATAGGAAAGGAATTGTGGGGCCAACAACAAAATGTTTTATATTTAAAAAATAAATAATAGATAGGTAATAGGGTAATAGATAGGGCAAGCCCAAGCTGAAGCTGCGGATGCGGATCTTAATAATGCGCTTGCACAATTGGCTCGTTTAACTAGTTTACAATTAAATTAAGTTCAGTCGTCGTCTTCGTGGTCCTCGTCGCCGCATTCGCTGCCAGTGTGGTCGCAGCTCCGCTATCGACACCTTTGTTTGTGGTGGAACGATGGCGGCGGCGACGGTTTTGTGCCTGTCACTTTTTGGTGGAAAACAATTTGCTTAGATCCGCGTTTTGATTGCTGTCCATGATGTCCGCTGCTGTCTTTGTTTTAGGCTGCATGGGTGGCAGATTGGCAATTTGGATTTCATGGCGGAACAATTGATTGACACTGCGGCCAACTAATTGGGCAGTAAGCTTCTTGAATATATCTTTCTTGGCACGATCCACCTTGTTGCCCTTAACGGGCGCCACAGAGATTTTCTCGTCGAATTTTTGTATATCAGCCGCATTAACACTGGGAATGTGCTGCAATACCTCGGTCAGAATGGGAAATTTTGGACGTAGCAGTTCATAGAACTGAACACCGAGCGTGACCAAACCAGACTGATTTGCATCGTGCTGACCATGCACCTGCATACCCTGAAGGACAGCTGTGAAGGCACTTACCGCCTTGTTCTCATCCATGAGCTGCTCAGCGGCCAGGAAGCGCATGACAGGCGCCGCAATATTAACCGCCTTCATACTGCACATACCATCGTTCCAGGCAATCGCATTAAGCAGCGTCATCAGTATGTAATTACTCATCATGGTATTGCGCAACAGCTTTCCACCGAGATCGCTGATAATGTCAGAGAGCAGAGCCGACTGGGAGGCACGCGATTGGGGCACACTATCCATGGAATGTTCCTCGTTCTCCATGGCCACATCGTTGCCTACTCCTCCAACGACATGGGCAACGCCGCTGCCCGAACGATCCACGCCGCCCACATGATCGGCTCCGATTTGGCCACCCACTAACGCAATTTTTAACACATCCAGATACTCACGTGTCAGCGTCCGATTCAGCTGATCCTCGAGCACCTCTTGTGTGTCATTGACCTCGCCATTTAACTGGCCGGACTCGTACAGCGATGATATGTACACCCAACGGCGGGTTAGACGCTCGCACATTAGTGGCGTTATGTGGGCAAACAACGGCACTAGAACACTGTCGTAGAAGCAAGGCGGGCAGGAGTAGACGAAGGGCTTGAAGAACACCCGAATGATTGGGCGCAAGCGGTAGTCGGGTATAATGTCTATGCAGCTGAACACATTGCTTATGATTACATCCGCCAGGCCCACCAACTGATATAGGTCGCGACCCAGTGATGGTCCTGCCGATCCCATCAAATGGTAGCAGCCCTCCGTCACCATCGCCATGAATGTTTGCATTTTCTCAAAGGGCGTCGGATCACTCTTAATGGTGGTGTCCAGAGGATCAGCTGGTATGGCGCATACACCCATTAGTAGCTTCTTTTCGTGCTCCAGCATACCGTGTATGTTGCGATAACTGCAAAAATATCAATGTTTACCTTAGGATTTTCCATTTAACAAACTTAAAGCTTTAAATGTTGAATTAACAAGTAAAAAAGCTAAAGTCGGGTGTCCCGACTTTGAAATACTCTGTACATATGTTTACAATAATTATAGAAAATAAAAAAAATTAAGAAAATAAAAAAAAATTTGATCGATTTTACCTCTCTCGGTATTCGAACTCACGTAAAGGGTTTATAATTGCACATTAACATAGCAATTGCGTCTGTGTGAGTGTATGTATGCCTATGCGCATCTATTCGTGTCTGTGTAAGCATTTTCGCAGTCAACCAAATAGCAACATCAACAACAGCCGCGGGCAGCGCTTGAGCAGCGCTGCAGCAGCAAATATATTTATGGCTATAACTTCTTGTTAAATCGGTCTATCATAGTGAAACTTAGCATACGGACACATAATAACTAACTGGGGGTATTTGCAAAATTTTAGTTCGAAATTCCAAGAATTACGGGAGTTACGATTTGTGGGGTAGAGGGGGGAGGGAGGGAAATTCCAAAATATACATTTTCTGCGTATTCACATAAGGACTAAAATTTGGTGTTCCTAGGTCTTATAGTCTCCGAGATATAGGCGATTATACGAATGGAAAATCGGGAAAACCCCCATAGGGGGAAGTGGGGGGGAAAATCAAAAAAATAAAACAAACTCGTATAGAATACACACATAACGCATCTTTGTGCAAAATTTGGTGTCTCTATCTCTTATAGTCTCTGAGATCCAGGTGTTCATACGGACGGACAGACGGACAGACAGGGCTAGATCGACTCGTCTCGTCATGCTGATCAAGAATATATATACTTTGTGGGGTCTGCCACGCCTCCTTCTGCCTGTTACATTTTTCAGCTCCCGCAAACCTAATATACTTCTGTACATTTCATGTACAGAGTATAAAAACTATGTATGTTCTTCAATATTCGCAAAACTTACCCTTCGGACAGCGCCGCTAACGCCTCTGGTCTGAAGAGCTCATTGAGCACCCGCATCAACGACAGCAGATGGGAGAGTAATGGCACCACGTGCTTCGTGGCCGGATTACGGCATATAGGATTGCCCAAATCAGTGCAACCAATGACGAAACCACCACGTTGTGCACGATCCGGATCATCAGGCCAGGTGCAGCGTTTCACGACCCCCAGTACTACGTGCAGTGCGTCCAGAATACGTGAACGATTTGTTAACGACGGATCATTTTCTATGGGATACACTGGTGGCTTATCTAGACCCACAAAGCGTTGGAAGTCCAAGGCCGTCTTGAAGGCTTCGCCAAAAGCCAACCATTCGGATCGTTTCTCCTGAACAATATGCTCAACGAAGGCAGTCTGGCGATTGAAGTCACAAAAGTGGTTTGATATTAAGATGAGGGCCTCCTGAAGCATAGTGCGCACCAACCGGCACAGATTATGCTGGTTGGGCTCCTTGAGCAGGCACTCAACATTCGTATTGATCTGATCGAAGACTGGCAGCAACAGTAGCGGATATTTGTGGGCCAATTTGACAAGCAGAGAGGCGGCATGTCGTTGCAGATTCTTCACCGACTTTATTTGCACCTTCTCTAACTGATTAGATGGCTTGAGCACCAACGCACGAAAGATTTTGTCGAGGACACGTGGTAGCAACGTCACTCCGCTCATGGCTACACAATTGTTCGGAGTTATCTGGCACGAGGACATGCTTAGGAACACAAACAGTGCCGATATGCAGGACAGCAATATGGAATAGATGAGCGGATTAGTTGTTTCCAGCTTCAGGCATTCCTCTAAAAGCCGCAGACCCGATGGCACCGACGGCCGTTCCGCTACTAGCAAAATGCGACTCAGCACACCATCGATGACACATACTAAGGCATCCCACTCCAAATAAATGGGATCTAGAACACTGCAGGTGACATTGCCGGTTTCGGTAAGGGCATTGCGCAAACGCTGCTGTAGCCACTGCTCACAATACCCATAGGTGACCAACGGCTGCACAAGAGTGGCCTGCCGAAAGATCTCAAGGAAGTCGGTGCGACAGCGAAAGAAATAAACGGCAAACTCCTCCTCGCTATCGTACTCCATGCGAATGTATGACTCTGTGGTTACACTTGTTGCTGAGCAGTGTGTGCTAGACGTGGGATACGGCATCTTGACAATGCGTGGAGCTATTGTGTGTATCAACTTGGGAATGTAGGCGATCATGGCATAGTCTTTAGAGCAGAGGTCGTGCTTGAGCAGTAGCTGCCAGATTAGCGTCGCTCCATGAGCTACCGTTATTGATGGGTGCTGGACAAGCAGGAGCAGACACTCGAACATAATTTCAAGATGTGCAGGCCGCTGTGTAGTATCATCCTTGCCCCAGAGCACGGTCAACTGCTGCACCATGCCATTGAGTACCTGCAGTAGCTTTTTTAAGAAATTGTGCTGCTGTTCCACGGCCTGTGCTGAGCTGGTGTCGGCTGGAATTTGGCTAGCGGAAAAGATGTAGCGCAGCAGCTCCTCTGTATACAAATGCAACAGCGGCTTCCGTTCTCTCACCTGACCCTTGCGATTGGTGATTTGTGCGAGACACTCAGCGGCATTGCATTGGAATGCTTTGTCGTTCAGTAAAATGCATAGAAAATGCATTAGTTTGCCATTGCTCGACATGATGTGCTGTATGCTAACCCATTCGACAAAGCCGCTTAGTGTTAGCAGTACCATCTCGACGACACGGCTGTGAGCATTCGCCTGATGGAAGTTGCCCAGTCGCGTAGTCTCGCGAAATGCCGTCACATGTTGCTCCACCAGGCGCAAGAAGAATTCGAATATATCGGTCATATTATTGTTTAATGCCTGATACATGTCCTTGCGTCGTTGATTTGATTCTATTGTCTGCAGTAGAGCCACATCCTCGACGAGACGGAGAAAGACGAGCAGAACCAACTCCGTTTGGGCCTCGCCCTTATTGCAGGCTTGCGACAGTTCGGGCAACAGATCAGACCATTGCTGTGGCCACTCGCGCTTAATCATTTCGACAATAATGCGTGACAGTGCATCCTTTAAATGCAGCAAACTACGATCTTCTGCCGGTCCGACGCCGTTATATAGCATTTTTATGGCATTGTCTTTTATGAAGACTTTCTCCTCGTGTGTGATACAGTTCCACTTAAACTTAATTGTGTACTCAATCAACTGTAGGCCAAAATGACGTACTTGCTGATGATATTGCACCGAGTTAGCCAGAAATAGTCCGACTTGGGCGCACATGGGCGACTCCTCTTTAAACCGCTCGCAGGCCATGTAAGCTTCCAAGCGTGCCTGCTGGGGCGTCATTGGATGCAATATGAGGTCGACCGCCTTTGCCAGCTCTGCGGCAAGGGCTTCTGTGCCACCGTGCTGAGCCATATCTGCCTACCGAGTCTTCTCTCTTGGCCTCTGTAAAGAGATTAATGTGCAAATTAAAATACGTCGCGTTTTACACGAAAACTTCACTATATTTATTTAAATTGTATTTTTTTGAAGTTTTAAATTACCTGCCCGTGAGCTACCTCTGGCCTTTGTATTCTTTCTGCACCTTAATGCTTCTTTTCGGGCCACCGCACGTTCTTTCACTGTCAATTTTTGTTGTTGTTGTGTGTGGATTTGCTCAATTTTTTGCCAATGCGGTTAGGGCCAGACTTTTGCGAATATTTGTAGAACTCCTAATGATGCCGAATACAACAATATATTTAATATTTACAAAAAGTTTAATGTTGTGCTTAGGCCAACAAAAATTCATTTACAATGGAAACATTTCACATTTATGCTTGGATTCAATAAAATGGTGTATTATTCCGGCAATTCTGTCGCGTTTAGAACAATGTGCAATGGGGTCTAGGATTTCATCAGACATTTCCCAGCACTATTGTGAATTAAGTGCTGCCACTTTTATTGCCAATCATGTAATGTTCCGGCCCATTACGAAATGTCAACGAATCAAACATTTCCTAGCAAAAACAACAAAACTAAAAAGGAAAAAAGTGCTTATGCAAGTTTCTGATTCGATGGTGTTATGTATGTAGCAAGCACTAGGCTTATAGCGCAAATAAATGTTAACCTTAAGCAGACATTTCTTGCTTTTCAACACTCTTCTTCAACAGCGTCTCATTAAAAATCAACAACATACACTACTTCTGCAACCGTCAACAACGGAGATGGAAAATCTTATTGTTAGTTTCGTGTTTTCTAATATTTTGCGTAATAAAAAGTATCGCTACGGCAGAGCAGTAAATATTTGTATATTTTTTTTACCGGGAGAAAATTGCATTAGGATATCAAAAAACTGAAGAATCAAATAATTTGACGTTTAAGTACTGTTTACCATATTACACTGAGGAATAATTAAAATAAATATTCAGATTAGCAATAAAAGAAAACATAATATATGTAAAATTAAATTTCTACAATATCAATTCCTGAAGCACCACTGGGATGTTATATCAACTTTATAACAATTCGTTATTTTTTTCACTCACAGTAGCTATAAACTTGATTGCATGTGTTTCTCTATTTACATTAGATTTTACTTAACCAATGTTCTTAACAAATTATGAAGTAAATCCGCTTGTTTTTATCTTAGGAACTTAGTTACCAATAGATAATTAAAAAAGAATTGGAAAGAGTTTGTTTTATTTATAATTTACCACTGGAAAATGCCTTACTTCACAGCATTGAATACAAGATAAATTTAAATGAATTGTTGTAGTATAGATCGAGTCTTAAAATTTAATTAATTTTAAAGAACTGAATTTTGATGTAGTTTTGTTTTTTAATAAAGCTATAACAAGTTACAATAGTTTCAGAGGTTCTAGCACCTGTACATTTTAAATAAATGACATTGCTTTCACGGATAGCACTGTTTCAAATTTCAGTTAAAGTAACACATATTTAAGTTCGGTACTTTCCTTGTAAAAATTACTTAACAAATTTACGCCATTCTGTTCTCACTCATTTTTAACAAACCTTGGTTCAGCAAATACTATAATAGAACGCGAGAATCATGCTAAATAACCACCTTTGGAGTGCACACGGTTTTGAAAGGCTACTCTGGTAAAAATTAATGTGGTAAACAGGGACATGTGGCTCAGGTAATGTGCTGAACAACGCATATTGTAATTTTATTAAATATTTTAAATTCAACAGCACAAGACGTTGCACAACACTATTAAAATGAAGGGCAGCTTACCATTCCTTTAGCAGGAGTTTTAAGCACAGAACGCAGCGACACAGACTTTTTAGAGACAATCAACATATGCATTAAATTATATAGTTACCATTTTCAAAAAACTTGTTAGCGTTTTTGGCCATTTATTTGTTTAGGCCTTTGGGTCTAAAGTAAGTTAATTGGCAGGAAAAAAAGTAGTGACCGGCATACATATGTGGTGAAATGTCAAATTAATCGTGAGCGATAGGTATTATTAGTAAAAGTAATAAAAATATATTAAAAATGGACTGGTATGAAATTAAATTGAACAGCAACCGGTCCGCAAAATTCCCAGAACGTGCTTTGCCCGGCGGCAAACCGGACCCAGATGGTAAGTCTTTTAGGCAGAATTTTGAAGAGATTTCGCAAATTAAATACACAACAATCGCATTGGAATTTAAGGAATTTACATTGGTGGCATCATTTATGACGAAAAATGGGGTTGGATTACGCGCCAATACTCGTCTGACGCTACACTACTCATATGTTGGCTGGACACTGGAGACTGGGTTGCCAGACACACATTTACGAATGAACGCGGCGACTCCGAACGTTGCAATATTCGGTGCGTCGAGGAGATCTCCTCTAAACATGAGAAATTAAAGCTTCTAGGTGTTTGTGTCGAAACGTGGGATCTGCCCGACGCGCGCCCAAGCGACAGTCGACGCGTTAAAATGCACATAGCCATCTATTCGCCCACATACAAGCAAGTGTTGCGCTTTGTCCAAGTGGATGGCCTCCATGTGAGCACTCTCACATGCATCGATTATGAAGTCTGCCGTCACACGTGTCTGGAACTGTTCGATGGTTGCCTGGCCATAGGTACAGATGAGGGGACTGTTCTGCTAATGGACATGAATTTTCAACATATACTTGATTCACGCAATCGCAATATACTTTTGCCCGCCAATAAAATTAAGTGCGCCAACATTAAGCGTATAAGCCCTTTCGCTTTAGATGAAACATCATTGTCACGTTGCAGAAAGGATGACGAGCACTTGGTGCTCGAAATGAGTGGTAAGGTTACACCTTAACCATCAGAGTCACTAAATCTAAACTCTGTCTCTCTTGATATCGCCAGGTCCGCAGCCCAAAAGCGCTGTACGGTGCCTAGTGCCTGTTGAGATGATATCGAGCATAGCTGCTGGTCTGAACGATGGCCGCATTGCAATATACGATCTGAACACATTTAAGTTAATCTCCGTGGTAAAAGCACCTGAAGAGGAACTTCAGATGGCAGCTGAACGCCTTTGCTGCATTGTGCCGCAAGATGATCCAGCGCCCTGCTTTTATATATGCGCTATGTACAGCAATGGTGATAGTCTAACAACAGCACTACATTCCGTGTTCTACCAACGCTCCCGCGTCGATTCTCAAAGCAATAGCATGCGTTATGAGGTAAGTCTAATACCAATTAAATTTAAGAAGCTTTTAATATATGGATATACAAACATATCTAATACCTTTCAAACAGCGTGTTCTCACCTGCTCTACGCGTCTACGCTTGCTGCTAGATAGCAGTTACCCGGCCGCTATAAACTGCAACGTAGTCTCCACCGGCCCACGTTCCGGCGACAACGGCGTTATTCTGGTCGCTCTTAGCTGGTATTCGCCAGCTGAGCGTAAAAGCAAACTTGTCCTATTTGACATTAATCAATGGTATAAGGAGGCGCTGCCCAGCACCATACGTCCGGTTAATAAAAACGTGTATATGGCGGGATACATACTGAATGGATTGACCACGGGTCTGGCGTTATTTCTAAAATCCTCCTCTATCAGTCATTTCAAGGCCATGCAGCGCTACGATGAGCATTTACATCCAAGTGCCCTGACTTTTGGTAAGTTGTAAACAATTTTGTAACACCAGTCAATCAAATGTTTGTATACATTATTCCAAATAAGAGGCATTAACTCCTACCTTAGTCCCTTTCCTGGAATCCTGGAATCTGCTGATTGAGCAACCATTTTTCCCTGAAGAAATGAGATCGTTTTTCAGTGTAGCTCCCCACTGGTGGTTTCATTCGATGCTGCAAAACTTTCAAAAAATTTAAAATATTGAAATATCATTGCATTTTAAAATTTATTTCGCAGAGTGTTCGCTTCTGACCATTAAAGGCTGTGATTATTATACGCATGAAGGTGTACAGCAGCGGTTCCTGAACATGCTGGGATGTCAGAATGCTTCGTTATTTCTCAATCCTCAGCCTTGTCACGACGAAATAATGCGCCTTCGTCTGATTCCTCAGTTCTGTGAGCTAAATCCGGATGCTACATTTTCCAAGGTATTGCCCATGTCTCTCTCTCTCTCTCTCTTTCTCTATCTCTCTCGCTCTATCTGTATTTTGTCTTCTCTGTCGTTTTTATTGTCATTTTGTTAATGGCTGTTGACATTTTGTTGATCTTTACAGAGCGCCATGTACGAAGTGATATTGTCGGTTGCACTGGAAAACAGTTGCATTGGCTTGTTGAACGATTGTGCCAGGAGGTGGATGGATGGCAGCTACCTCTGTGACAAGCGCGATCCCACAGAGCTCTCTTTATCGACACTTACAAACTGGATAGTGAAACGGGCATCCCAAATCAAAACGCGCTCCATTGAAATTTTTCAGGAAATATTTGATCACGGTGGCTATCGGCTCGACGACGCTGAGCGGAAGGAGTTTCAGGATCTATCGTGGCAGCTTCGTCAATTAAAAAATGTGCAGGAAAAGATTGTCAATATGGGCAAGGGAATACTGACGAAAAAATGTATGTTTTCTGCATGATCCGTGATATAGAATACTAATTATTAACTTTTTTATTGACAGTGCTCAACGATCTAGTCGACGTGGAGAAAGCCATTGGCGTGGTCTTCGAATATCAGCGTGTACTCTTTTGGTTCGTAGATCGTGACGTGTTTCCTGAGATTCAGGATGGTGCAGAAGTTGGAAACCGACCTTTGGAGCTAATTCGCAACTTCTACGGGCGACGTCGAACCGAGTTGGCCAAATTGCCAAGAGACATTGACGGTAGAAGTGGAAGTACGCTGTACATTGATGCGCTGCTAAAACATAGATCCTTTGGAGAAGGATTGCGTGAGCATTGGCTACAGAATGGTGGCGATGGTCTCTATCCGCCTACGTCGCTGAAGGCCATGTTGTACGTAATGCTCACACAGGAGGAACAGCTCGAACAAAAACACGAAATCATCCTATACTTTTTGCTTGATCTCAATGAGCAATTGGGTTACAATGGATCGATTGCCATGGATTTTGAAACGGCATTTCGCGTTAGTGAGAATTTGCGTAGATCTGTAAAATCCTTTTGGCATTTGGATCACGGAAACTATAAGGTAAATAATGAACAAACGCATTTGCAAATTCATTGACTCACATGCAATCATCTTTCATATTTAGGAAGCTGCCAATGAGTTGTTTGGTGCCTGCACCAGAATTCGACACTACCAGGAGTGGCAAGTGAAACTGCTAATCGATGTGCTGTTAGCCCATAAAGCCGTCAACCTGGCTGCCCAGGTAGTGAACCTGCCTCCAGGAAACGTGTCTCCGCTGCTGCGTCTGCGCGTCCTACTGGCCAATAACAATATGTCAGATGCATTTTGTCATGCGCGTCTATACGACGACGATGACGGTCAGACGCTGCTTGAACGATTTTTCCGCCATTGCATAAGCAACCGTAAATATAAAGTCCTTGCAGAGCTATTTCTGCGTGAGCACGAGCAAAGGCTTGTCTATCGGCTGCTAAGCGAAAGCAAATCGAAGGATGCTGACTGTGTTCAGCTTATCTTGCTGCTGAAAAGGTCAAAGTATATCGAGGCTGTTTCTTTTATGGATAAGATCGCAGCGGAGCCCAACAATGGAGAGTCTTCCAAAGATATTGTGACCGCTGGCAGTAACTACTATGACGTCTCGAACACGATTTTATCAGCTTACAGAGCCACAATGGCGCCAGTCACTCGAAATATTGCAGACACGTATTTCAACATAAAGGACAGACTCGATCCATCCCAGCTAGAAAACAAATCACCGGTCCCCTTCAGCTGTCAGCTCGTAAAACAGAATGCCAACAAGATGCTGGGTGGTATATTTCAAAGCTCCGCTTTGAGCGTACATTGGGCGACTCGGTATCAGGGCGATAGCGCGATGATAAGCACTGATAATGTTCCTTTCTTGCGCCATCCACAATACGGAATGAGTGCGTGTCCAGAGGTGGCGCCGAGTCGACATGTGGTGCGTCCCACGCCTTTTGTGGACACAGAGAAACGACAGCGTGATTTAGAGGAGGAGGGAGAGGTGCCAGTCCAGAGAAATATGCAGCCAAGCAAGCGTAGGCGTTTGCTCGGCGATGAGATCAAGCATGTCCACGAACAATACACAAAAAAACTAACTATGACCAACCAGCCGAGCAATTCTTTTAGTTCGGCCACGTCTGTGTTAGGATACTGCCCGCTGCCTCCACCTGCGCAACCACCAATACTGAAACGGCGTCCAATTGACAATACCGTTGTCACAGCAGATGAGAGACAGGGCGAGGAAATGGAGGTGGACAGCGATTCGCAAGGTGCCGATGAAATTATTCTAGAAATTGAACCTGCCGTCTCGGACAGCGATCAACTGCAGGCTTCAGAACAACTTGAGACGCCCATACAAAACAAATCAAAAGGCAATCGGACCCTATCACCATCAGCTTCTCTCTCGGATTCCGAGTATCTATCACCACTGTCTTCGGCCAATGTCTCATTTGCGAGTCCACCGCATCGTCAATATTCTGGACCAAAGCCACGTATCTCGCTGCTGGAGGTGCGCGAACCCATAGAGCAGACGACGGCAGCGACTAGCAGCGAGCAGGCTAGCAGCGGCATTGGCAGCTTTGAGCAACCGGAAGGTGCCTTGCATGTGGCCAATACCGTTTCCTTGCGACCCGGAGAGTTTGTTCCCATGGTGTGCTCCTCAAAGATGCATGATAGCGGTCTTTCGCACGCCAAAATGTCGGAGCGCACTACCATATGCGTAAATACGCTGAGTTCCAACCTTTTGCGAGAACCAAGCTCTTTGGCAGAGCCGAGCAGTGAGTACCGCTTGCTAGAGAGTGCTACTAACTGGGAAGCGGTAGCGCAACCAGTCCAAATGCTGAACACTACACTGGGGATGTCAAGCTACGATCTGACTACGCTAGATGCAACGCATGCGGTGCAACCAGCCCCCGAAAGCGATGTGGAGGAAGTAGCTCTAGAGTCGTCTAATGCTCCAATGGAAGAATTTTATTATGAAGAGCGCGTCAGCACTCATTCTCCCAATGAGATGGTAGAGGAGCAGGACTTGGATTATAACTGCTTGTCTACAGAAGAACTTGAGCCTAGAGAGCGCGTGCCCTCGTCCAGCTTCAGTCTGTGCAGCGACATATTGGAGTCGTCGTCATCTGAGGGGGACAATCGGCGAACCACGAGCCAATTGCAGGACGATCGCATGTATTGCATAGTTGCCGACTCGACCGGCTCAATCACCACCTCGCGTTCCGTCACCCACACTCCCACATCGTTTCTGCCCAGCGATACAAATGTTTCGCAGAACTCAAGTCCACGCGATGCACATGGGGCTGGCGATCGTTCCCCTAGGTCCCTTTATGGCGCCAATAGCTTGGAGACGGTAAACGATCTGGACACCACGAAGGGTTCGCTGGAAGACGAGGAGGAGGATGATGATTGCGTGATCGCGTTAGATGGTACCGAAGTGCGGAGCTATGTGCCGCGTCCGTCACAAACCGCCGAATGTAGCAGTGCCGAATTGTTTGCATTTAAGGATGAGCGCAAAGAGGAGGCCGAGGGAAAAGTACAATCGCCAGAGGATGGCACGGCCAACAGTGACTCTGTCATGGTCCACATGGACAGCAATGACGGTCACGCAGGCAGTAGTGGCGGCACTCAACAGGCCATGGAGGAGGGTGCTTTGACTCTCTCAAATGACGCTGCCTCCAGCAATGCTTCTGTGGCCACAGTTGCGTTCAGCGAAAACAAGCAGCTGCTGACCGATGGTGACGGAATGCAAGCCGAAGAATCAACTGATTCCAAGGCTGTCAATTTCGAGCCCAATGCAGCCAACGAAGCAGATGACAGCAAGGACCCCGATATTGCAAACGCAAGTGAAGATACTGCTGTTGATGCGTCTGGGCCTAAGGATACGTCAAAAGCCCGGAATCGGCGTAGCAACTCTGCACCGCCTGAGTCTGAGAGCAGTGGACCACGGCGCTATGCGCTACGTGCCCATGCTCCCATTGACTATGCCGAAAAACGCAAACGGCGTTTGAGCAACGACTCCGATGACATGTCGCTAGAGAGCGGTACCAGCTCAAAGACAAGTAGGGGTTCTACGCCACTAGTTTCGACACCCAAGCCACGCAAGCCAAAGCCAACTAAGAAGTTGCTCGAGGTGATCGAAGAGGACGAACATGAGTTGTCTATCAGCGTGCCCCTCAAACGTTCACAAACGCGTCTCAATCTCACAGTCGATAGCGAAGCCGAGAAAACGCCAGTTAGCTCTCGCCGTAGGCGAGCAACTTCCGTAAGTGCCGATCAGGATACCCCGCCAGCACGCCCGTTGCATAAACTTCGTAGCAATAGCGAGTCGTCGTTGGCTGCCGGCACGAAGCCACCGACACGAGCCCGCAGGAGAATCTCGCAGGATGAACAGGCCCCTCCGCCTTTGGCGGGTACCGAGGAAAGCGACGTGGTAGTAAAAACACGACCGAAGCGGGTTTTAAGACCACGCACTAAGAGCGTCTCCTTAGAGCCAGAGGCCAGTGGTTCCAAAACACCCGAGAGCTCAACACATATGACACGTATAAGTGGGCGTGGTCGCAAGCATTGATAGCATTATAAACGAATATTTAACACCCTTGTTTTTACCACTCAAGAATCGTGCTCCCAAAAAAGCAAAAACATCTAAATTGTTGACAAAAAAAAAATGTACACCGTTCTGGAGCAACATGCGCATAAAAATAAGAGTTTTGAAATTATGTTTTTTGTTAATTCAGTAGAGAGTTGGTGAAATTAAATGTTTTCAAAGAGTTAAAACCGTTTGTATGTGTCTCATTTGTTGAAGAAAAGGGAAATGACGCACTATCCGGAAAAGATTTGCAAGAAATATAGGCAATGGCCAATTTGTAAAACTTTTGGATAACATCTGAAATCATCTAAAAAGAAGGGACCGAATGTAAATAAATGTATTTTTAAATCTTACGAAAACTGTACTGGAGCGAGAAATCTGAATGAGATATCCAACTTAGTAATAAACGTTTTCAAGAGCTAATATTCTGGATCAGCAAAGTTTTGTGGCCCCTTTATACTTGAAGAGCTAACCAAAAAAGATTAGTAAGAATAGCACCTACATGGTTAAGATATCTACGGTATGTACAGACATTGTTTTATTGAGAGGCTATTGAAATAGATTTTAACAAAACACCGAACAATCTTTTGCTGAAGAGTAAGAGATGAGAGAGATTCGAGATTTCAGAGAAGGTAACGCGGATTTATAAAGATATCTACAGTTTTGAAATAACTTCCGAGGCCGACCGCTATTATTTAATTTTCGATTGAAGGTTTTGTCTTTAAAAAAATAGTTAAATGAAACAAAGATAAACCCTCCTACATTCTAGAGCTTTGGAATGCTGATCGAACTGCAAAGATTTTGGCGCAGGCGTGTTCTTCGGCGTCTGAATTAACAACTCCCGCAAAACGCAGTGACTCGTCTCAGTGAGGTGTGATTAATAAATATGTTTTAATTGTCTTAAAAAAAAAACAAAAGTTAATAATACAACATACATGGGCATTCTTATGTACAGCATTGCTCGATGCGGCTAAATGCGAGTTCTAGCCAGCATTGAGCCATGTTTTCGATGCGGCAAGAGGGTTTTCTTACGCTACGTTCTATGTCTACTTATCCCGATACATTTACAAGCCGGAAATAAAGTCTGGTTTGAGTTGGGCTGGCCTGCTTCTTACGCCTTAGACCAAGGTGGAGAGCTCGTGCAGAGAGATGTTCGTGATGTTGCTCATGTCCAGCATTGGTGGGCTAATCGAACCACTGGCTTCGCGACCCACCATGCAGGCGCCATTTCCGGTACTGGCTACTGGTTTGGGTGTGGGCGGAGTGGCAGTCGCTGGACGGATAAGGAACGATGAGTTGACGGCGCCGCCCCCAAGCCCACCAGCAACACTTGTGTTGCCCACACAGAGCAACGGATTAAAACTACCATGCGAATGGTTCGGCGAAACGGGAGTCACTGATGTGGGCTGCAGAATAGCGTGTTGTGAGCCGGCCAGTCCCTGTACTGTTTGAGGATATAGCTGCAAGACCTGATGCGGTGACAACGACTGTGGCGGCCCCTGGGCCAATGGATGACAATGCATGGATGGCAGCTGTCCACCAGATACAACCGAGACATTCAATGGAGCACTGCGATAGCTAATTGTCTTCTCCTTTTGCCAGACAAATACATTATGTACCATCGCGCCGCCACAGAAGACGATCCCCACACCAATCAGAATGCTGGTTATGATCGCCGGCGTCGAGTGGAAATGATTGAAGGTGTACAGTATGATGCCCGTGAGAAACACGGGTATCGATATGAAGAATCCACTGACGGCGCAGGTGCGACTGGCGCTAGACTTCTCCAGGTACTTATTATCCCGTCCATCGAACATCGGGGAGCGCACGAGCTTCACTGCGAAAAGAAATTGGATGGCGCACACCAGCAGGCAGCACAGATTCAACGACAACGAGAGGGCGCACAAGGCCAGCGTTACGTCGTACACGATTATATAGTCCTCGTTATTCACGTTGCGTGTCATCGTATCCTCACGACTGTTTGGCGATATTTTCAGCAAAAAGATCAACGACAACAAAGCAAACAGCAGTGAAACTGAGAGAGAAAAAGAGATGATGCCGAGAGACAACAAATAAGTTCAAGCTTGTTCAAACATTGGATAGTTATCTGATAATTTACCCAATTCCTAGATGTACCCTATTCTTAAGTTCTTCTCCCCAAAAGAGTCAGTCAGTCAAAAATAGATAGATACTTATAGAGATCGGATATTCAGTACAGGGTGCCGAGAAGCGAGTTGATTTTTAAAGAAACGTAGAACCTTTAAAGGTTTATAATTTTTAGGCTTTTTCTTCTACCTTTTCCCTCTGGACGGGCCTCCTGTTTTAATCCCCAATAGGAATGATTTAGTGTGAGCTATAAGCAATCTATTTCGATCAGTATTTCTTTAAACGAGGCATAATGTCTTTATATAACAACTAAATGAAGGGTTTCTCACTTTTTGAATACCTACGATCGAACCCTCATTTTTCAACTGGTTGACAATCATTTGACAAATTGCTATTTGGTTAATTCGAAGAAATATATAGTCCCTGGTTATAAAAAGTACATCAACAACTTTTTAAGGTTTCGAATTTTTAGGCTATTTTTTCTCCATTTCTCCTCTCGACAGTCTCTTTCCAAAATCCCTAGTTCTATGTAATCTGTCTAATAATTTCGTAGAAGAAATATGTAATCCCTGGTTATAAAAAGGCAAGGACAACTTTTAGTCTTCCTGCCAAGCTATATTAAAATTTTTAGGATTTGATCGGTATTTGTTATGGACTTACCCAGACATAGGAGGCCCAGACTGGTCAGGGCCTCGCGCGGACCAGGTCCGTGCTTAACTGGTTTGTTGATGCTGTGAAGTAGCCCCAGTCCCTGCTGGTGATGTTGTTGCTGGTGCTGCTGCTGTTGCATCAGGTTGGCCGTTAGGTTGTGGCAATTACTGTAGTTGTGCAGATTGCTGTGACTGTTGTGGTTGTTGTGGTTACTCTGGTGGTGAAGCTGGTGGTGGCTGTTGTTGTTGTTGTTGTGATTCAGGTTGCTGGCGGCCAGTATGTGTTGATTGGTGTAGGTATGATGATGCAGATTGCTGTTGCTGCTGTTGCAATTTCCATTGGGGGTCAGTGGCGTGAGCGGCGTGAGTGGCGTCAGCGGCTTCATGGGCGTTAGCGGAGTAACCATCGAAATGGGTGGCGCAATGTTGAGCAGAGTGGAGGCATTGCCAGCATTGGAGATGCGTGCGCCGCCATTGAGCAGCGTGCCACAGGTGGAGCCGTTCATTGATGTTTGCAGCAGCGATGCGTTCAATGCGGATATGTTCAGCGGCTGGGGAGGACGCAGGTGTATGTTGCGTGCTGTAGTTGCCACAGCGGCAGCAGAAGCAGCGGCCGCATTCGTCCCATTCGCTGTCGCAAGGGTGGGTGTCGATGTTGCCGATGTTGCTGTTGTTGGGTTCGCTGTTACTGTTGCAGTTGCGTTTGCATTTGCGGCTACAGCAGCGGCAACTGTCGCTGAGGGTGGATTGCCGCCGTTGCAGTTTCCGTTGCTGTTACTGTTGCTGCTGTTGTTGTTGTTGTTGCTGTTGCTGCTGCTGCTAGTGGTGCGGAGCAGCTGTCCATTGAGTGGCACGGGCGGAGCACCGCTTCCATTGGAAGCATGCTTCAGCATTTCCGCTCTGTGTGCAAGTGTTCAGCACTTGTTCGAGGTCGTCGGGGTCGACTGTAGCGCCTGATCTTGTCCGTAAGTCTGTTAAATGGCGCTATGCATGCCTCGTTGCTTGTAAACTGCTATGCCCTCTGCTAGGCTAAGAACTGACCAATGTTGTTCACATAATGAGCGTTAGCTGGAGCTGTCCTCTGAAATGGAGTATTACAAGTTCGTTTAATTTATTGCCTATCTCAATACTTAGCTCTTCAATCTAGACTTTATCAATTAGCTATTAGAGATTGTAGCAAGCGAAAGAAATATTATCTTTATTTCAAAGAAGAGCTTTACTTAGCCAGGTTCTCGACTCACTCTCCATTTGGTGAAAGATTGTATATAATAATTATAATTTTATTACATTTTGAATAATGCTTGAAACCTACACCGCAAGCCCCTGTTTTCTTTCCCTGAGAAATTAATATAATCTACTTTAAAATGAATCCTATTGGTTCCTATACGCTTTTTTGATGATAATGTGCTAGAGTCGGAACAGAAGCTAGTTATGATAATTGGAATTCCAACAGTCTCCTTCTTAACTCAATTTCAAGTCTGGAAGATCGCGCATAAACTTGAAGTCAAATATAGTGTCAGTACTTAACTGTAGTGTTATGGCCAACATTTGCTGGTAACAATTATAATAAAATAAAACAACTTTGTATTGTTTTCCTTATTGTATTATATATGCAGACACAGATTAATTTTCAAAAATGGTTTTGTAAATAAATAATAAATATCCAAATTTTAGCAATTTAATAAAGAAAAGTCTCAAACTGAAACCGAAAAATTACTATAATGTCCGAATAGAAGGTTAATTTGTCAAGAACTTGAAAGATTTTGTACAAACTTAATGGCTATGTAGTATAATTTTTATAATTGTGTGTATTAGTTTTCACTCTTTCAATTAGAAAGAGCTAACTCGTTAAGCAGATGTATGTATGTATGCTATATATAAAGTAAATGGAATTTTTGCATGCATGTGCTTAAAAGTGCAATTAGCCTAAGTTTAATGATGAAGAAAAAGGAAAAGCATACATTTTCGCACGCTGAAGAGGCGAATGCGTTTGAAATGGAAAATGCAGAGCATGTTTGAAATGCGGTAGAAACGAAGAAGCTGGAAACTGGAAGACGCCGCCTGGACGGCTAGGAAAATGTAACGGTTCAGATTTTAAATACTATCTATCTTACAGGTGAATATATGTATATGTATATATAAATGTATAGAATTATGAATGTCGCATACATATACGAGTACATACATACATATGTATGTATGTATGTAGGTACATTGCTGCATTTACGTTTTTTTGTGCTCGTGGATTACTTGGAATTGGCCTTGGCCCGTTTACCATTCGCAGTATGTTTCATTTGTTGGCTTACTTGTACGAATTAGTTGGAAGTTTCTTTGGTGTATCAATTTTTGTATTTTATTTCTTGCTGACACTGGGTTTAATTATTTGAAGTTGGGAGCGCTGCAGGTGCCGGACTGCCGATTTTTAAAGCGCTTCATTTTCACATGCACTTGGAAAAACAATAAACAAACATGTAGGCACAGGCACACTAACACTCATCCATATATACACACGGTCACGCACAATTCGCTGAGATGTACATATGTACGTGTGTACATACTTGTATGTACATATGTAATTGCCGTTTGTTATGGGCAATGGAAAACAAGTTTACATTTGGATTTTCCGTTCTTTAGGCTATTAATTGGCCTGACATTTACATAGTCACAAACTTAAGGCAGTAGTAAATTATATGCTTCGATCTCATCATCATCAGCATGGCTGCTATGGGCAAAACTTGATCAATCCGCGTTCCTCGATGAGCAAAGATCGACCAACAACTGGAAGAAAAACAAACGCGCAGCCGCGGCCAGTGGTGGCAGCGAAAGAGCGACGGAGAGACAAAGCGACAGACAGACAAATCGACAGAGAGAAGGCAGACAGCCAGTGAACGATCAAGTGACAAACTACATACATACTGTATATGTATGTATGTGTGTATGCATATACCTACATACATACATACATGCATATATATTTCAGAGGCTGCCTTTGCTTGGCTTGACTTTGGTATCAGCCGTTGGTTCTAGCTGCAGGGACTGCTGCCGTTGCCGCTGCTGATGAAGCCAAAACAAGCCGCACTATTCGCACAACCAGTTAACAAGTGAACGGGCGGTCTCTCACATACACACACATGCGCAAGCGCAAACGCGAGCGCAGGAGGCAACTGCTACCACAACAAACAATGCACAGTGGTAATGAAACAATAATAATTGATAAAAATTATCAGGTGCAATAGCACTTTAAGCCAAGACGCAGCTGCAAAGGTCATGTGTTATGTTGATACGAAAAGCCAGCTGCAACATTTGACCGAGCATAATGGATAAACGATAAGCAATGGTATCTTTTGTATTTTGCTTGCCGTTTTGAGCCACTGTTTTGCATAGGAATAAACGAACCTGATCAACACTGGACTCACACATACAGATGCAAAGAAAAGCAACGTGAGCGTATAATTGTCTGTTACCTTTACCAACTCAACTTCTTCAACTTGCTGGGCCACATTCCGCGGGTTCCGGCTGGAAGGTGAGCATTTAGTTCTCAACGTAGCGCAGACGGGTGGGCTGCTTGGCCGCTAGCTGCCGTTGTCAGTGGTTGCTATGACTTGATGTTGTTCTTGTTGTTGTTTCTGTTGCTGCGGCAACTTGCCGCAACAACATTTTGTGCCATGTTTCCTTGCATGCCATACATTCATGGCATATGTGTGCTCACATATCTATGTATTTATGCAGATATACAATGTTCATGCGTGTGTGAACGTACGTTGTACATTTGTGAGCTGCGCACACCTATAACCTGATCTACCCTGCGACCATTTGGGAACGCAGGAAGCGAGGTCCCGCCAAAAAAAACTAATTATATACTGAAACAATAAATGTTTTTACATGCACACTTACAAAAATATATGCCAAAATACATTGAACTAAAACATCAATTCTACAATATAGTATGTATGGCTTTTCTAAATGGCAGTTGCAGTTATCACATTTTATTTTATGACTAGCAACGGCTATAAGACCAATTAGTAGACAGAACGAATTATTTATTCACCGAAGGCAATTGATTTAAATTCATCCATAGCCTAAAATCGATGCATGTTAAAATATTTGCACTACAATTTATAAAACTCACCAAATTAAAAAAGAAACGTTCTATTCGCACAAATTTAAAAATCAACATCGATTTCAACGCGCTCCATTTTACGAATGTTTGTTGCCTGCTATCTCTAACCAGCTGTCAGTGCTGCCGAACATCGATAGTGAGGTTTGAAACGTTGATAGGTAGCACTGTCACTCGTCTCATTGAAAGGCAACAGCTGACAGTCACACACATACTCTTACAGATAAGTTGCACACACATTCTCATATATAGTGCTTGTGTATATTATTAGGAAAAAATTGTCATAGTCTGTATTTGTAAAATTGCTGTCACTGCCAAAGAGATAAAATGACTGATCGGAAAAAATTGGCCATAGCACTGGTATGCTCATCGAATCTAAATCGCAGCATGGAGGCCCACAATTTCTTGGCCAAGCGCGGCTTCAATGTTCGCTCCTACGGCACCGGTGAACGCGTGAAGCTGCCTGGCCTTACGTTTGACAGGCCAAATGTTTATGAGTTTGGGACCAGCTATGAAGACATTTACCGGGACTTGGAGTCCAAGGATAAGGAGTTGTAAGTGCACACAAATACTGTTTTCGTAGGCAGTAAACCGAAATACGTCCTTCGTCGTATCGCACTCACCTGTTCAACCAGTTACACACAGAACGGCCTGTTGCACATGCTGGATCGGAATCGGCGAATCAAGAAGTGTCCGGAGCGTTTTCAAGAGACCAAAGAAAAATTCGATATCATTGTTACCGTTGAGGAGCGTGTCTACGACTTGGTTATACTGCACATGGAGTCGATGGACTCAGTCGACAATCGCCCCGTACACGTGTTGAACGTTGACGTTGTGGACAACCATGAGGAGGCTTTGATGGGAGCGTTCTTGATAACGGACATGCTAAATATTGTGAGCATGGAGCAATTTGATTGCCGTCGCTTATTGTGATCATACATATATATTTATATATATCTTGCAGATTTCAAAATCAGACGACATAGACAATGATATTGATGAGATTATACAAGAATTCGAAGAGCGTCGCAACAAAACAATTTTACACTCGGTGATGTTTTACTGACGATCAACGCATCGAACAAACTCAACCTGCGTTAAACATACATATATTAGACCCTTGATATGGACTCTACATTGCAATTTCCGCATTTGCCCAAAGCGAAAAAGAACATTATTTACACACACTAACATACGTATACGTAAACTACACTGTATTCTTGCTTACATCACGAATTTCACAAAGCCAGAATCAATACTATTTACACATGCATACTAATTGACACTGCGCTATTCGTTTGGTAGGAGCCATTGCAAAGGATCGTGCTTTTCATTTACCCCGAATTAAATGTAGCGGACAGCAATACTATTTATACATTCAACTGAAGACGGCATATTATTCGAATTTTCTGATCATACTAGTAGCAATGAAATTAATTTACAAGACCTGTGTATATTTACATATTTATAAAAATTTATATATATGTATCTGTATCTGAGGATGCGTGTCCTTATGTCCTGTTTTATGTTGCATACGTACATATGTTTATACTCTGAGTAAATAATGGCGATATATTAATCTCAGGAAATATTGTTTAATGTTTTGTTATCTGATTCTAAAACTCCATCGAGGCGGGATGTGGTGTATGTGTATCCCGATGGCATCTCACAATCAACAAATATAAACTTTTTTAATCGTAACTTTTTGTTTATACATTTTAATTTTATTTTCTGTAAGTGCATATATTTACATATGCATCAAATACTATACATTCAAATGTCGTATGCATTGATTTAAAGTCAAATATACGTTATTTTGTATTTTATGAATTTTCAGCGGTATTTTTCTCATTAAACCAATATTTTTTGAGGACTTCAGAGAATAACAGAACTAAAGTGTTATGCTGTACAAATAAATCACTTTTTCGTTGTTATACATGAGCCAAAGAGTGGAGATAATTTTTTTTCTAGCACAAAAAAAAGAATAACGTATTATAAGGGCAATGAACGAAGAAAAATCGGTACTTCAATGGATCCTTCATACTTGTAGTAAAGTAAGAAAATATATTAATTTTCCCATAGTTAAAAAGGTCATACTAAGCAATTGGTATGTTTGTTTGTCTGTATGAACGCATCGAACTCGAAAAATGCAATAACTAGAAACAGATACAAGGATTACAATTTTTTTTTTAATTGTCTGCAATTGCTCTATGAAATATTTTTTTTACAAATAATTATATTTCAGATAGAGTGTATTGGTGGATACTCCATGCGTTACTCCAGCATTTTTATTATTAGAGAGTGTTCTTAAAGCTTTTATCATTCTTAATTTAGCAGCACAAAAACAGCCCGGTGAAGTTCTTAGCTCAAAATTCAAGAATCCAATCTTGTTGCCAAGTGTAAAAAGAGAGAATTATCAAAAAACAAAATGATGAAACTATTCCGAACACCTTTTTAACAAATTACATTGATATGAACATAGCTTACACACATACATATGCGTATGATAACATTACATACAATATGTACTTGTGTGTATGTATAATTTAATAAATTTCCAATTTCACGCTTTGGGTGCTATATATATACATATGTATGTGTGTATGTATGCATGTAAGTACATTTGTACATTGTATGTATGAGCATTCAAAAGCAAGAGCAGGGTTAGCATTATCACCGAGAACATGTGCTTTAACACTTTCCCAGAGACTTCACACTACACATACACACATCTATCTGTATGCAAGTGACACTTGGAGAAATTCAACCAAAAGATCTATTTTAAAGCAGAACAACCTTGTTCGGTAACTCTTACATCATTGACAATTGTACATATGTATGTAAGCCACACATCTTGAGCGATCTTATAGGTAAAAAAATGTTCTTTTTCTATATTATTATGATTTAAATTATTGTTGTTATTTTTATTATTATTATATATTTGAACTTAAAGTTAGAACGGCCATCGTAACATGTTGCTAGCCTTGCCTGCCAGGGTGTGTACATTTCACAATTGATATATCCAATTCTATTGATTAAATTTGATTTCTTCTATGTTTTCTAAAGGGGCGTTATCGATATTGTAGAAGAAAAATCCAGGATATCAGAACATGTTGCACTTTGTTTATGGAGCTATGACAAAGCTGGCAGTTATTGTTTATTTGTTACGTTTGTGCTAAAGTGCTTTCTAATTAATTATGTTTAAATCAACTTTTCCTTACTGCCTTAATTATTTTCAAATTCCTTTTAGTATACAATCTTTTGTTAAAAATATTGTTGCATGCAAAAAAAACAAATCAAATACAATAATTATAAAATTATATTTGGGGTTTGGTAAAATTCAACAATAATTGTTGCAAATGTAAAATGTAATGAGAAAAATTAATAATTAAATATTTTTTGTTTAGTGTAAGAAAAAAGTGCACTTGTAATGTACATTTGTATGCAAGTCAAATATGTATGTGAATGTGTGTGTGTGTACCTGTGGATTGTTTTTGGACATTCATACAAGTATATACATAAGCATGTCCGAGTACATATGTAAGTACATACCTTCGAAGGTAGTTACTAACTCTTTGTTTAAAAATTAGACGCGCTTTCAAAACTCTTTTTTCCCACAAGTCAACATTGGCATTGTGACACACATTTACACACACCTGAGCAGGTGATGCCCACACACACACTCACACTTACACACGTCAGTGCATGTGTGCACACTGCATACATACATATGTACACATGTATGTATGAGACGTAATCTTTATAAAGCAGAGAACCGGCACTCGCACTCGCGTTTAAACTTAAAATATCAAAAGTTCGTGCGCTCTTTGTGTTACAAAACGCGTTTTCTCATACCCTTTGCTCGTTGGATATTAGTTTATGAACAATATATGTAACGCATACGATCATTTATCAATTAATCGCTGTCTAATTTTGCAAAGCTGTTTGTACATTTTACATATAAAGTTAAGGTTGATCGAAATTAGATAGCTTTGAAAACCCTTTCTAACACACAGTAATAACTTCGGTGTGATTATATTTTAAAATATTAAATACATATATTGAAATATTAAAAATTATTTTCTAAAATAGGCGATAGGAAATAATAATTATAGTAAAAAAATCTCTCCTTATTCTTCCTTCGGACAGACAAATAATTTACACACAGATTTCTAGGAATTCACAAGTATTCCGTGAATATAATGGTAAAGTTTTTAGAGCAACAAATTAATTAATGCAAAATGCCGCAAATAATGGAAATTGTTCTGTTATTTCGATTGTAAATGCCAATTGAAATGCGGTTGACATTGAATTCAATGCGAAAAGCAGAACAAATTCGATTTATTATCTTGGTTGATTGACTTTATTTGGAGATATGCAAACATTTTTGGGAAACCGGCATGAAAACAGTATTAGCTGGTCCATTACAGTTTTTCCGTTCAGTGTTTTAGAGAAGCACACAAACTCAAGCGATTTGCATTAACACTTTTTGACAATATCTTACAAGTGTAGGGTATGTCTATGGTCGAGAGAGCTAGACCATGCGCTTCATAATGTTTTTTTTTTACCATTGTTGTTGTTGTCAGTGCTGCCATTGGCACTTCGTGCATGGTTAGTCTGTTTGCGCTGGCGCAGTTGTGTTTCGATCGTGTAGAGCTCTGTACTGGATTTTTTGAGGGCTCGCTTCCGTTGGCTTTAAGACAATACAAGAAGACGACCAAAACGCTCTGTGCAAAGTTTTATTCGTATAAGTATAAACACTTACAGATTTTATAAAGACTGTTTAATTATTTTTTTTAAATATTTGTGAGTGCATTTCGGAAAGCAGCTCAACAGCCCACAACGATTGTTTTAAAGATTTCGCAACATAACATAATCTGATTAATTGCAACCGCAAACAACAAACTGAAGCAACAGCGTATTAACTCATTATTATACATACATACATATGTACATGTACATATAGCCGCAATATTTGGACGAGTACATTTTTTGGGACAGCTAACGAGATCTCCACAAAATGGCATATCTAGAAGGTGGTAAGTTTTTGAATTATGCTAAATGATTATGCTTTTATGATCTTGATCTTAAAATTATTTGCTTGACCATGTACTCAATGCGATTTGATTTGGTTTTAAGTGATTTCTCATGACCCACACCACGCCCACTCCCCAAAGTCCGCTGCCTTCAGTACGCTCAGGGTCACCTACAAAACAGCTAATCGCATTCTCAATCTCCAGCTACTGCATTATAATAACCCATTACCATATTTTCATGCCCATGTATTCACGTTGTTTATGCGTTTTTCGCAACCTTTTGAGGGAATGCTCTTTAATCACAAAAGGAATACAAGTGAGCTTATCAAGTTTTTCAGATCGAACTTTATTGATTAGCACAACAGACGAATCGAGTCTAAAAATACTTAAGAGGAAAATACAGCGAGTTGATAATAAATAAATAGTTATGTATATCATGCCACTCGTAAAATATTCTCAATGATACAGAAAGGTGAAATGGTATCTTACTATGATAAGTTCTTTTTCATTTATAGCTATTTTTTGAGCATTTTTACGAATTTTCAATACAAATATCATTGATCAATGGTTAATAAATGATATTTTAGATTAAACAAAACCAGCCTTAATCTTAATATTTCTGTTCCCATGTTGGATGTTGTTTTATGAAATGTATGTACATACAAGTATGTAGATAGTAAAGTTGATTAATGCCGACGACCTTAAATGTATAACATTTTTATTAATTTGTGTCTGTTGGACACAAAGCTAAAGAGCCTTTCTAAATCGGCATATATATATATACATATTTATTTAAAATGCTTTCGAATTCAGTGAAGACCTTTATTGTCATTGCAACATCTATGAATCATTGTTCACGAATGCCGAACAGCTTTCAATTTAGTTGCGATCTTATTAATTCGAATGTTATATGAACAGTCATTTATAAATTCTAAGATAGCTGGAAGATATGCTTGCATTATATACGGGTATATACATATTTTATCTGGTGCTTGATGTTAAAATATCGTACTTGCTTGAACAGATAAGAGTATATTTTATAAAATGTTTATATATTAGACCTCTTTGTGTACATATAGTATGTTGGCTTAAAATGCGGGCTGAGCTTATCGAGTTTTTTCCATTCCCGACTGCTAAACTTGTTATTCCCTTGGTTCCAAGGCGGCCGAATTTCTTTCGCTATGTCATACAAATATTAATCGTATATACATACATACATATGTATATCAAAAGAGCGTCAATATTTGTTACAGAATTGACTTTTTGGCAATCTTTAAATATAATATTGTCATCAAATATTTGTTCAAATTGTTGATTGAAGCCATATCCACAAAAGTTGTTCTAAATATTAAAAAAATAAATATGATTTTAAATCAGTAATTAATTAGCAACAAATATTGTTGTTATTTTGGTGTGCTCAGTAACATTTATTTTTAGTTCCAATTTATAAAATCTTTTATGCAAACAAGATTTTTGTTGAAAATTATATTTTGATTTTACCGATCAGCTGTTTTTAAACATAACAAAAAGGTGGAGTTTCCATTTTCTATTTAAGTATTAATTAGTTTTAAACAAAATCTAGTCTTACACGGCAGTTATCAATACATAATAATGTTGAACTAATTGGAAAACATTGACTACAAAAAATAACAAGAAAAGGGTCACAGTATTTGGATTGTTTGCGATATTAAAATTATTGCGAATAATTGTTGTATCCCCCATATCATATGTATATCTGCAGCTGCATTTGAGCTTTTGTTTTCCAACACCGGCAACAACTTATCGCTCTCTGTCTTTCTCTGTCTTCTTCCGCATTTGAAAATACATGAGCGCGAGCGCGCTTTGCTGTGTCAAGAGCAAGCGGTCATTGGATTTGTGTGCGTGTCGATATCAGCCCATTGACTGCAACTAACATACATACATACATATGTATGTAGCCCCTTCCGCACTCTACGCCTCCTATAGCAAACGAGGCGTGTCCCTTTGCACAACAGCCTTCAGTTTGTATGCACATGCAGATGTACATACATACTATGTATGTATGTTGTGTGTAAATATAAAAGTACATGCGATTTATTCTGTATCCCTTCATAAACATGTGCATTTATAAAAGAGTACAAATAGATACATATGTATGTATGTGCTCATTTATGATGTAGATATGTACATACATATGTATGTAAGTACAGTTAGACCTCTAATAAAACGTATTTATTAAAAAAAAAGTATTCTTTATAATGGAAGGCTTAAAAATGATCTTACAATTAATATTTATGCTTATATTTATGATGATTTAATGTGCAAATGAGAGATAGAATTGAAGAATTATAGCTTATTATAGCTTATATACGAAATATGTATGTATGTTTGTAAAAATATTATGGTGTTGAAAAACCAGGAGCATTGTTAGCTATTTTGAATCACACGTGAAAATATTTCTAAAATTAAAATATTAGAATTTTCGATGTGTTCAGCTTGAAAGACGACTTGGGTGTGTATGATATTACGGGTAGTATTGAGAGCCGCACTATACGGCGTATACTTAACGTTGTTGTTGTTGTTGTTGATTTTTTTTGCACTTCGTGTGTTCCCACTCACTGTCAAGATGATGACGACGGCATCGCAGTCTGCGTCGCTGCCCCTGCTTACATATTTCAATGACAAATACGACGCCACAGCTTATTCAGTTTTTTGCAACCACATCGACAGATACACCGGTTATAGCCATCCAACAAGCCGGGCCCAGCCAATTGCAGATCAGCAGATAAATTGACCTTAACCTTCAAGCCTTCTGGCGGCAATAGGAACGAAGTAAAAGGTGCATTCACAGACTTTTAGTAATGTCTTGAATGTATTTAGAGTTACAAACGGTTCGCAAATTAGGTTTGGCTAGAACGCAATACACCTTTTCCAAACTGTTTCTGCCGGTATCTCTCTTATGGCTAAAAACGTCGCTGAAAGACACATTTGCCAGCACTTTTGGGCATTCAAGAACGTACGAATTTTCAGTAATAAAATGATCATTGGCTTGTAATTCACAGATCACAACACCCAAGGGACATTGGACCTAATAATTAAATCGCTGAAGTCACCAAAAATGATATGTGAGGGCATACATTTTGATAGAAAGATACCGCATACATTTGTAATATTTGGCGCCTCGGTAGAATACATTTCTTATTTGAAAATATATTTGGATACATCAATATTTTTTGCTTTTGCAGGGTGATTTGGCCAAGAAGAAAATCTATCCCACACTATGGTGGCTCTATCGTGACGACCTCCTGCCAAAGCCCACCAAATTTTGCGGCTATGCCCGTTCTAAGCTAACTATCGAAAAATTAAAGGAAAACTGCAAGCAATATATGAAGGTATTTCAAAGTATTTTATGGTTTTCTTGGTAATAGATATGTACATACATGAATATTATTTGGTTGTACTATGATCATATTGTTTGAAATTTTATTAAATTTCCCTTAAAGGAAAGTTGTAACAGATTTTTATTAGCCGAGCTCAACTTTCTATTCTACAGGGTGCGCCATCTTTTATGTCGGTATGCAAACATTGAATATCCTTGAAAATAAACAACCGATTTTTAAGTATGAGATATTTTTATTTAATTTGGTTCTGTACAATTTCTTGAACTGAGGTTTTCAACACTGGTCTACTCAAATCAATCGGTTCACTAATGACAAAGTTATTCAATATCTACATACCGACATAAAAGATGGCGCACCCTGTATATTCTTAAAAATATACATATGTAAAAAATATACATATATGTATATTGAGTCGTTGATATCAAATAGGGCTTTATTGAAAAAAATAAATCGATTGAACATACTATATATTGTATTAATTGTAACTTTCTTGAAGGTTTTCATTTAAAAACAAAAGAAATCTTTTGATCAGCTGTATTTTGAATGAAGGATCAGTTTAGGACCAGTGCTAATTGATTCAAGTACTATTATGAAATCTGTATATATGTATATATTTATTATATGCAGGTACAAGCGCACGAAGTGGACAAATATGATGAGTTCTGGGATCTTAATGAATATGTGGCTGGCAATTATGATGGACGGACAGGATTTGAATTGCTTAACCAACAGCTGGAACTGATGGAGAACAAAAATCGGGCTAATCGCATATTCTACTTGGCGCTGCCCCCAAGCGTTTTTGATGAGGTGACGGTGAACATCAAAAATATCTGCATGTCGACTTGGTAAGTCTGGAAAATTGTTTGATTTAATGAGTGGTTTGTCAACTGTTTTAAATTTTTTAGCGGCTGGAATCGCGTCATTGTGGAGAAACCCTTTGGGCGAGACGATGTCTCGTCAAAGGCATTGAGCGATCATTTAGCAGGACTTTTCAGCGAAGAGCAGCTCTATCGCATTGATCACTATTTGGGCAAGGAAATGGTACAGAATCTGATGACAATACGCTTTGGCAACAAGATACTCAGCTCGACATGGAATCGTGAGAATATCGCTTCCGTTCTGATCACATTCAAGGAGCCCTTTGGCACACAGGGCCGTGGCGGCTACTTTGATGAGTTTGGCATCATAAGAGATGTCATGCAGAATCATCTGCTGCAGATTCTCTCACTGGTGGCCATGGAGAAGCCGGTCAGCTGCCATCCCGACGACATACGCGACGAGAAGGTGAAGGTCTTGAAGAGTATTGCGGCGCTCGAGCTCAAGGATATGGTGCTGGGCCAGTATGTGGGCAATCCGCAGGGGCGCACCGAGGATGAGCGAACTGGCTACCTAGAGGATGAAACGGTTGACAAAAACTCTACCACGCCCACCTATGCCTTGGCCGTGTTGCACATCAACAATGAGCGCTGGCAGGATGTGCCTTTCATTCTACGCTGCGGTAAGGCGCTAAACGATAGAAAAGCCGAGGTTCGCATTCAGTACCACGATGTTCCGGGCGACATCTTTGAGGGAAACTCGAAGCGCAATGAGTTGGTAATACGAGTACAGCCAGGGGAGGCGCTCTACTTCAAGATGATGACCAAAACTCCCGGCATCACTTTCGATATTGAGGAAACTGAATTGGATTTGACATATGAGCATCGATATAGGGGCTTCTATTTGCCGGATGCCTACGAGCGCCTAATATTGGACGTCTTTTGTGGCTCCCAGATGCATTTTGTACGCTCCGATGAGTTGTGTGAGGCGTGGCGCATCTTCACGCCCATTTTACACAGAATCGAAAAGGAACGCATTAAACCAATTCCCTATTTGTATGGATCGCGTGGTCCCAAGGAGGCGAACCGCAAGTGCGAGGAGAACAACTTTAAATATTATGGCTCCTACAAATGGCATGGCAACAGAAGCACCTCGAGTTGAGGGATTTCTTGGGGTACAGGAGAACTGGAGTACTGGGGGCGCATGTTTGGGGTTAATTGGGGTTCAGTTATCAACTGTGTGGGGTTGATGGCGTGTGAATAATGTTAAAATATCGTTTAAAATACATACATACGTTGTATGTATAATTCTGGTTTGTACAGCTTCTTGTTATTACTATACACAATAGAATCTATAAATATATAAAAAATTCAACTTATTTTCAACGTATTCTTTGTCGTATTTAATACCCGCGCCTGGCGCCAATATAAGTTCAATATAAGTATGTGCGTACATACATACCCTGTATATACTTGTAGTATAGTAGTATACTTACAAACATACTTGTATACAAACTGCAATACATATGAACAAGAATAAGTGTATAACGATCTATACATACTTGTACATACATGCATTAACCGTTCGTATCAACAGAATATCAACGATCAACAACAAAGGTCGTTAAACATGCCAGAGAGTTTTCGAACAGTACAAACACCAAGTAAAGGACCGGTCGTATGACGTCACAATAGCATCTGCGATATAATCATAATATTGGCATTGTGGCTTTTTCATGCGTCCAGTTTGACTTGCAGTTCTGTTCAAAAATATTGCGGTTATATTTAAAGGTTACTAATACATACACAAATGATTAATTGTAATAGACTAAATAAAACAAGAGAGCGCTACAGTCCAGCAAGCCCGACAGTTAATTAGATGCTGCAGCTTGTGGGCGTAATACCGGAGTGAAATTGTTTCGCAAATAACTTTTCTTAGAATTAGCCGATTTAGATGATATTTAAAACAAAAGTAGATTATTATAGTATAAATTATGTGTGCAAAGTTTGTTTAAGGTAGCTTTTGAAATGTGGACGGTATTGACGAAATTCTGTAGCATGGAAAGGGGGCTAAAATTAAAAAAAAAAAAAATGAACTCGCCCTTTCTTGGACCTCGAAGAATCTGGATACCAACTTTGGTTGTTCCTGCTTTTATAGTTTCGGAGATCCTTGCGTTCATACAGACAGACGGACGGACGGAGGGACATGTCTAGCTCGATTTCTCTCGTCATGCTGATTCAGAATATATGTATATACTTTATGGGGTCGGAGATGATTCCTTCTGCATGTTACATACTTTGCACAAACCTAATATACGGGTACAGGGTATAACAAGCATCATTTCGGAGATGAGAGCACAAGAGAGTATAAATACTTACGCGGCGGTAATTGTGACGTATTGCGTAGCGTAGAACATTAAAGTCGCCAGCTCGACTCTGGTATACCCTGCACTCTACCCACTATTTTTAAAACTACTTGTATTTTATTAAATACCCACATATTTACAATGTCGTAGTAAATAAAACAATTTGGAAACAATATGGATTTTTATTGCATCCGATGTTAATGTAAATTTTGAAACAAAACTCATTAAATACACGATATCCAGTATACCCTTGACCATTCGAGTACTGGGTATAATAACTGCTATGTTCTTGGTGTCATGAGAATGCTCAATAAAGACAATCGATTCCCGTCCCGAGGATCATCGCAATATTGTTGGCTGTTTCCAGTGGGTAAGTAACCAGTTTTGTGAAATGCTGCTGCCGCCTTCGGAGATATATAACCTGTGCTCACCATCATCGCAACGTTTTCTGGTATACTTGAGTCCCGGAACATGTGTAATTTATTTCCCATTATTTCCGGTTTTGTATAGCCGTTGTTGGCAGACGCTGGTGTATCCATTTGGGAATTCGCTGACATCATTAGATAAGGGTCAGTAAAGCAACTGGTAGTTAACCTACTATCATTCTCATGTATGTATTCCATTTGGGTTTGATTGTTAGCAGGCGCTGGTGAATCCATTTCATAGCAGTCGGGGATTGTCGAGCAACAAGTATCTGAGTTAATATCATTGCCATTTCTATGTTCCAATAGGTTTTGGTTCTCATTTCGCTCCCCTTGCTCAGAGTCAATTTTTGACAAGCTATCATCTGTTCTTTGCTCCTGGCTCTCCCTACGCAACATGTCCCTTATGCCTTCGGGTAAAGTGGCCTTCGCAATACGCTCTGTATTAATTTTTGTAACAATAAAAATTATAAATACAAATATGGGAAAAGCGGCGAGTATTGAATATTTCTGGTGGGAGGTAAGAAAGGTATGTACTTGTACATTTCGCAGACCGATGCCTTCTGCAGTCGATTTATGTAAATGCCAGATCATGCCTCCACTAAGGTTGTCCTCATAAATGGCCGAGATAGCAATGTTAATGGCACCCTCCTGCCGTTTAACAACAAACGAACTCCGACGACTAGTTATGTTCTCAAAACGTATGGGCTCATCATCCTTGCAATCGGACAGATTTTTTGGATTTACGTGACACCAAAATATGGTATAACCTCTTAAGCCAGTTTCATACTTCGGCGGCTTCCATGTCAAAGTAATAGTCTCATCAAAATCAATATTTTGCACTACGCGCTGCTCAAGATCAGCTAAAGTTATGGCAGGAATATTGAAATGGCTTTCATTTATCGAACTTCCAACTTGATTCTTGCTTCTTAGGGCGATAGTGTGGTTGGCAGACATGTCCCAGTTCCGTATGACAGCCCAGTTTTTGTGCATTTCTATTTCTGATACATTCCTGAAAAGTTAAGTATAATGATAGAAATCAAATATTATAGAATTTTTTTATAGTAGGTAGCTTTATTTTATGTTCAATTTAATGAGATTTACAATACATTTCTTAATTTTTTATAGTTACGCCAAAAAATAAAGCTATATTTCAATTTGATCGACTTGGTTTAAAAAACCGTCTGCCGATCACCAACAATTACGCTAAACTATATAGATACCAGATCGTTGGCAGTGCAGTTCGGATAACATGTTGGTGTTACAGCAAAACTTAATTAACAATTAATTTACCGCCGTCAGCCATTGTTATTTATTTATTTGCTTATTTATTAATAAAAGTATTTTATTTTATGTCATTATATTTATTCCTTTCATTTTTATTTGATTAAATTTAATCAAATGTTATATATTTTTTATTATGATTCAATCAATGATTCGAATTCATATAATTTTCAATAGCAGTTCATTTGTCTTCTTCTTATTTATAGACTACCCGGTAGACTATGATTTATAAGAGTCGCTGTTTCTTGTGGTATTCCAGTTTCCCAGGAATATTTGTAATGCGTCGTCTGAGGCTGGATCGGCAACCATTTAGCGGCTTTTATAGCTATTTATAGCTGTGTTTATTATCATTTTCTAGCTAATTTTCTATCGATTTTTAGTGGCTTTTCTAGACATTTTCTGGCGGATTTTCTACCCTTTCTTTAGCTACTTATAAATAGCAGTTTTTTGAGCCATTTTCTAGTGGTTTTGAAGCTCGATAAGCGAAAGCAATAACCATTTTCTAGCCATTCTTTTCAAGATGAATAATTATAGATTATAATTACTAATCTACAAAAAACTGAACTCAAATTAAATCACTTCAATACAACTATTAGGTTTCACTTCTATCGCATGTTTGTTTATTTGCAGTTGTAAAGCTGTTTCATCTTCTTCTTCACGTATACCTACATGCAGATTTAACAGAAGAATGTTCTGGGTCGATGAAATGTGGTTAGCCCACGCGAATGTATTTGTTTATTTGGAACTGCATCTACATACAAGCAGACTGATGATGTAAAGTCTCCTATTATGTACACATATTAACTCACAAATACTTACATTACGTATTAATTTATTTATGTGGATTTCATGAGTTCCCAGAACTGATTAAGTGTTAACGACACAGCCTACTCACCCGGGAAGACCGTTCTTGGAATATCTGCTGATAACAGTTTCGAAATTTGAACCGAAATGATCTGTCCTGTTCAATTGCTGCCAATATACGCGAAGATTTTGTTTGTTTCCAGTGGGAATTACAAAGTAGTTGCCTCTGATAACTGTAGGAGGTCGCGGAGGGATTGCGGGCAGAGTGGTAAAGTTTCTATAAAGTGTGGGACTCCATTCTGTGCTATTCTTGTTAGTACTGCGCACACGCACCGCTACATTATAGTTAAAATTGGCGTAGGGCAAATCCTTACGATATAATGTGTGGGTTGTTTGAAATTTTCCCATTGTAATATTCCACATATTTAGACTGTCGTGCAGATCGGGTATATTGCTGTTTGATTCCAGAAGATTTGGCTCAGCTCTCACATAATACTCAAATGCTTCCAAATTATCGGAGCCGATGCATTTATGAAACCAGTCATGATGGTTATTATCCAAAACTAAACATATTGAGGTTGCGGTTAGGTGATGATTCAGTAAGATGGGTTTATCAGGAATCGCTCTCTCACAAATGTCAATCGTGAAATTCAATGGAACGGAATCCACAGTTAGCTTAAAGTAGTAAAGCCTTTTTATAGACTTAAAAGCAAAGCTACAATTGTATTGCAACATTTCCTTATTGAGCTCACATTTAACGACTTCGTTTGGCTGATTCTGTTTTAAGATCGAGTACTGCAATGTGATTTGTGGATCTAGATTAAGTGACGTTAATTGTATAATGCACTCCATGCGATGGAAGTTGTAGTTGTGACACTTGTAGTCCTGCAGCGGCTGCTTTGGACCCACAGAGACCTAGGCAGCTGCCACTTTGTAGTCCCCACAGTAGCATTGGTAACTGTTGCGATACTGAGGTGGGGCTTCCCAAATTGTGTATATAATGCTGCTCCTGTTAAGCCTCCCAATGGCTGGCAGTCGCTTCCCATCCATCTTGAAGTGCAGATCTGACGAGCAGCGTTCCAAGAGCACTATGTTTCTAAAGTTTGGGTTAAGGGAACACGTTATGTTGAAGGTTGATCCATTTATTTCTTTGATCGACTCTGGCATAACCCAGCCTGGAATCATTTCATTTTTGCAATTTATTAACCGGCAATTGAAAGCGCAAAAAAAAACTACTATAAAAACGGTCTGAGGTCGGCACCGCATTGTATTATTATTTTGTATTGAAAACAAAATAGGACGCGATAAGAAACATATTTAAATGTGCCTGCTCCAGAGCTCGGACGATCAGTTCTCTCGACCGATTCTTATACACTGAACAACTGAAATTATGATTACAGAATTATAATGGATCCGTTTAATGCCAACACATACATATGCACATACTCGTAGCAGCGATCACGTACTCGTACATACGACGATAAGCTGTAAATTATTAAAACTCTGGCAAAGGGTTTATCTCCTTTGCAGAGAACAGCAGAAACCCTAATATGACATATATATTATGCAGGCATATTAATATTTGTATATCTGTGCATCTGGCAGTTTTTTATACTATTACAACATATACTCGAGTTTAAACCATATCTAACGTCTATATCATATAAAACCGATCAGTTTTAAAAAAAATTCCAAAAATGTTTGTTATAAATAAACGACATTTGTATATAATTGCAATTTATAGAAGGGTTTGTAGTGATGTGTATAAATCAGGGACCGCAAATAATGAATATTTTGTTTTTTTTTTAAACGAAAAAATCATTCACTTATAGTACAGGGTGCGCCATCTTTTATGTCGGTATGTAAACATTGAATATCCTTGAAAATAAACAACCGATTTTTTTAATTTGATTCTGTACAATTTCTTGAACTGAGGTCTACTCAAGTCAATCGGTTCACTAATGACAAAGTTATTCAATATCTACATACCGACATAAAAGATGGCGCACCCTGTAACTTTTGGAAAGCGAGGAATTTACTGACATCCTTTTTAAGGATTATCTATGTATTTTCACCATGATTTATAAATTTTAATTTGTATTCATTCGCTCACAATTTAATGAGTTTTACTTTAAAAATTAACCACTCAAAACTCAAAATTAATCATTAAATTGTGAGCGAATTAATAAAATTAAAAAATAATCATTATTTTGTAATTTTTTTAATAACCACTTATAATGATTACAGTCGCTGTGTATAAATAAAAATACATATGTATGCAATGATAAACAAATAAATACATATTTTAACCTTTTGGAATAAGGCGCCTTTTTGTGGAAAAAGCTGCGTACGCCTCTGTACTATATGTATGCATTTAAATATTTAACAATACCGCACGTTTTAGTTCAATTACAATTCAGGGAAAATGAAATCAAATACCCTGTACCCTGTGCCCTATACCCTGTACCCAGAATAGTTGAGTGCGAATTTATGTAACACACAGAAGTATGTGGGGCAGACGTCAGATTCTCCCAAGTCGGAGAAAACACACATTTGTGTTTGCTGCTGTGGCATAACTCTGTACTGCACACAAAAACGTATGTATATGCATACATATATATATACGAACAAATTAAGAGGTACACAGTTCACTGTTGCAATACTTTTTAACCAAAAATGTACCTGGATAGAAGGGGAATTTATTTATTTTCTTTATAATTATTTAAAAAAATGTTTTTCCCTAGCATATATGTACATATTTTTTCCCCCCTATGTGTACACATACATTCTTACTGATTGGAGGTCCCCTAGCAATCGAGTCTCCAGATTCTTATTAAAATGTATAATATTTGTAGAGGCCGTCAAAGGTTAATATATTTTTCCAGAGCTTAACAAATAAAAATTCCAAGTAATTCAACATTTATTTCTTCATTTCATATATATAATACTTTCAAAGTCATTTGTAGTTGATGATGAACCAACCACGTACCGCAAATAATAATTATTTTGATTTCTTCTTAACAAAAACAAGAGAGAACGCTACAGTCGAGCAAGCCCGACAGTGTAATACCCTGTACCCAGGTAAAGTTCCGTCACTGAGTTATATGCGCCCATAGCATTCAGGTTCCCCTAAGCCCTAGGTAGAACGAGTTTGTGCTTTTTTCTGATACACCCCCCTCCCCGCACTCCCCCGCAATTCGTGTTTTTCCTAACTCCGGTAATTCTTGGAATTTTGAACTCAAATTTGGCATATACATCCAGTTCGTAGTTATTTTGAGTTTTACTTTAAAAATTAACCAATTATTATTATTGACGAGCAAAAAAATTAAACTTGTAAAATAATGACTATGCTTTGGGTTTTATTTTGTTGATCAAAAATAAAACTTAAGCTGTATATTTTTCTTTTTCATAAGGATTAACGACAAAATTTATAACATCCTTAATCAGTGAGTCAAGGCAAACATTTTTCAATAATTACTTTTTGATCAACAAAATAAAACTCAAAGCATAATCATTATTTTAGCTCTTGTGAGATCATCTCGTTCACACAGACGGAAGGACAGACAGACAGGGCTATATCGATTCGTCTTGACATCCTGATCAAAAATATATATACTTTATGGGGTATGCCACGACCCTTCTACCTGTTACATACATATGTACATTCGCATTTGAAAATTGAAAAAAAATTAAAAATGTTCGCCTTGACTCACCAACCCAACCAGCGAGAGGGCATATATGTATATTTAAATATATTAATTATATGTTTTGTGAGTACTTTGGAAATGAGCACATGCCTACCATCATGTAGAACCAGCCATCAGAAGTGGACAATATTGGCCCATTTTTCTTAGTATCATTAATATAGTAGAGATAATAATACCAATAAAAAAAAGCGAGCTATCCGACCATTCCGAACGAACAAACCTTTAAATCGTTTGTGTTCATTCTCCACTCTAAGCCAATATTAATACTTATCTTCCGATCGATTTTTGAAATCGCTGATCCAATGGATACAATATGTATAGTATCGTTCATCATCTAGGACCACGATATGATGCTATAACCTCACTGGCTATGATAAAAAGTTCAGTGTTTTGTCTTTCAAATGAAAGTACTTTTTATCCCCACGAACCTCGTTTTACCATCACTAGAAAAACTCACAATTTGACTGCCTTATCGGTTTTGATATCGAAATCCCACGATGAATATCGATATAGCCTATTGAAGATCGTACTTAAATAAATAATCATGTATTTGAAGTCCAAATTTTGAACGACAATATCAATTTCTTAGGCCTTAGATGTATTAGCAGTTTCAAAAGCTCATGCACATAGTTCTGTTTTTACACGGTAGGTTCCAGAAAAAGTCGTGTAAAAAGGACATTGATCATATGTTATTTTGAATCGTGCGCAATGGAATAAAGTCGTGCAACCATACATGCAATTTTTAATTTTCAAACCTACACGGTGAAACTGAATCAGGGGTATTTTTAATCAGAAAGATTAATATAAAGAAAAAATTAAAAGTCTAAATGGAGATAGAAACATACAACCTCGTTCTTGACTCAATTTTGTAGCAGATTTGACTGTGTCCTCTGATTTTAACAAGGATATCTAATTCCGCGAATTAAATTTGAAAACTGACCAAAGTTTATATTTAAGGCTAAACATCTCCGTTGCTTTGTAGGCACATAATTATACTTCAATTTTCAAACCGTTTCATTTGTATCGGTCAGATGGTTCCAAAAGAATAGGAATTTTCTCTCGCATAAAATCTTGAACCTATTTAACTGAACAGAACTGTATGAATTTTAAGAGAGTTTGCGAGCACGCCGACTCTCCAACAATCTGAGATTGTTTCATTTGTATAAGCTTATCAGTAATAGCGTTCGAAAAATATCACATAGTTGAAGGAGCTGGGGCTTATACCACTATTTTATATTGTATCTCGCTATACTTGAATTATGTACATGGAGAGAGCAACAGCAGAACCACAGTAGAATCTGAAGCCCACTTTCTAAAATGCTTAGTATTGTTTAAATTAATAATTTACCATCGGTAGAAGGAGAATTTAAAAACATTTTCGATTTTTATATTTTCTAAGAATAATACATAAGGGCATACAGTTAAAATAAGTGACAGAGATGCGGGTGCAAATGCAGTTTTAAGTGCTTCTAATGTGTCGTATGAGTTGGGTTTTGTGTTTGTGTTTGTTTTTATGTTAATGGCAATGGCAATAGTAGCTGCCAATTGTAGCTGCCATTTTAAATATGAGCTTTTGGAGCAACATCATCCGGCTTTTACAGCACCTGGCGCTGATTATGGTTCTGGGCCAGCGCGTTCAATTCCTGAGGTGTTACATATCCGCTCATGAGTCGTGATTGTGGATGTCCGTTGTTGGCAGCCCCTCCCAAATGGTCACGACTGTTGTCCAGCGCCGACATCTGCTGCTGAGCTAACGTTGGACCCGTCGCCGCACTTTTGATCAGACCAGCGCGCTCCAACTGCTCCATGGTCGTGTAGCCAAAATCGTTTATAATTGGCTTTGGCTTGTCCTGGCCACCATGCGCAGGCAGCTCACTAACTGGCGGCATGAGCTTGTGCAAGTCCGAGACCTGTACGTAGTTGCTAGAATTGAGCATGGATGGGACTGCCTGTTGTTGTTGCTGTTGCAGGCTGGGTTTTGGGGCGGGCCGAGCTTGCAGAACCTGGACGGGTACATATCCACTCAACGGCATGCCACCAGATGCCGATAGTTGCTGGAACGTTTCCATGTTCATGTCCATGGCTGGTGTAGTTGTGTTATTTAGATTGGGAAGCATATTGGCATTCGTTGCCTGCATGGAACTAGGCACTGGTGTGGACCAGTTTTTCATCTGTGTAGGCTTTATGTAGCCGTTATTGCCATTTCCGGCAGCAGCGGCAGCGTTTAGTTCCGCAACGCTAGTATAGTCGGAGGATTTCTGCTCGGCAGTTACGGCATTCTCATTCTCGAGAAAATCACGATGCATGGACATGTATGAGGGCAGTTCCGGATATGCATAGATGGCCGGGTCACTTTCATTGCAGCGTCCAGGTGTAGTGGCGGCCGATAATAACAGCTTGGCGCTCTCATTGCTGTGGGTGCTGAAATCTTGTTGCGAATTCGGTAGCCTGTATTGAGCCGAAGTGGCGCTGTCTCGAATGCAACTACTTATGCCCGAGTCCATCGAACCCATCGTACCACCCTCGCTGGCCTTCTTCAAGCTTTCCATAATGCCAGTGGGCAGCTGGCACTCTATGTTCGACATATAACGCAACTTAACATACGCCCTATGCCCACATATAATAAGGAATGTGATAACCACAATTATCTCAATTACATTCAACATTAGCTTTTGCATCGAACTATCCTGCAAGCAACTAACTCCATAGGAATGCCATTCTGACTTGTAATGACGATACCGTGCCTCATTTTGATACAACTGGATCATGTTCGTCTCCTCGTCACTTAGTTCCGAATGTGAGTTGCACGAATTCTCCGCGAACATATTCTCGCCTTCTTCAGACTCCATGTCAGCAGTATCGTCCAACAATTCCACATTCACAGCCCGCACCTGGTATTGGAACTGATTTCTGGACGTGCATTTAGGGGTGTCCAGGAAAGAGGTGCGATTCTGGCGCGGCAAAACGTAGCTAACACAACGAATGACAGACCGCTCATCGACAGTCTCGGTCACAGCCACTTCATAGTATTCAATACGACCAGCGGGTCGTATCGGGGCCGCCCAGTTCAAGGTAGTCAGCTCATTCTTGGTTGTAGGATCGAACAAGTGTGGCGGCGAAGGTACTGTAATAGAATTTAAGTGAAAGTTAGTTAAAATAGGAACTAGAAGTGGAATTACACCTCCTCAAGTCTCTACTTATATGGTCAGGAATAAATTTGGTTTACGAATGGAAAATACAGGTCTGCATGCTAAGTTGGTGTCCCTAGCTGTTTAAAAATTCTCGGTGTCCATAAAGACGGACAGAGTGATCTTTGCCCACCCACTTTACTATCAAATATCATCCGCAATTTAAAAACAACAACAAAGGGCAACTACTCTGAGCTGAATGGTATATGATCGCCGTTTTGTTTAGAAACTAAATACTTGTTTGTACATACTTTACCGAGTCTGTCATGGCGCCCCCCTTTTACGCTTTGTTTGTTTAAAAAAATATATTATATCCAACGGAAAGTGTGTGCTCCCCAAAACGCTGGATAAGCGTTCGTTTAAAAGACCTACCTCCAACTTTGGTCTGAAAATGTACGGCATCGCTGGGTTTCGAAGGGAAGAGGGTGCGCGCACTGATCCTTATCTCGTAATTGGTGTAGGCAGTCAGATTATGCAACACATACGATACCCTATTCTCATTGTTAACAAGTTCAGCGGGTGAGGCTGGCAGCTCGAAATAGTCAGTTTTGTTGTTGTGCACAAAGGTACCGTTGTATGTACGGACCACACCGTTTGTCCGAAGCGGTGGCTTCCAGCTGAGCGTGACACTGGAGTTGGTGACATTCCGGAATTCTAGCTGGCGTGGCGGCGTGGGGGCGGCCTCATCCGTGCGATTGATACGATCATCACTATACTTGCTGGCCTTCGTTTCCGAAAACATTAACATTCGAACGCCATAATAGGTGTACGGCTCCAGATTATGTATCTCGTAGACCTTCGAGTAGCGATCGCGAATGACCACTGTGGTGCAGTTGTCAGGCTTATCCTCTGATCGCTGGCAATAGGTCAAATTATACCCAGTGAGTATGACTGGACAGACGCGCTCTGTACTCCATTTTACAGTGAGAGATGTGCTCGTGACCTTATCTATGATGGGCTCCATCTTGTCCAGATCGTCGGTAATATCGCGCGTGCAGATCAGCCAATGCATGCCGGTGTTAAAGCGCTCAAAGTTAGCCGATACAGCCATGTTAAGTGTCTTCGTCTGGTCAACCTCCCTCGTAAATTCGCGAACTGTGCTGCTCACATTCTTAAAGTGTATGGATCCTTCGCACTCCGTGGGAAGTGCTGGCTTCGAATTGCACCAGAATACGGTGTAGTTAATTAGTCCATCATCATCCTCAGGCTTCTCCCAGGACAACGTAAAGCTGCTAGTACTTGGATGATACACGCTGCGAATATTTCTGGGCTTGTGTACGCGAAAATCTAGATCGCTGATTGGCGGAATTATCATGTGGCTGGCCTCAATCGAGTCGTTAACAATGTTGCTGCTTTTAATAAAAATGTCGTAATGAGCATCCTTGGTCCAATTCATAATTTTGACCGAATTCGATTCCACTTCAATTGGCGCTGGATTCCTGGAAATTGCCAAAGAGAGCAAAAATAATTTTCTATTTTAATATACATACATATGTACATATGTAATTCATATTACCATTATAAATCTATTTTCTGAGAGGGCTCCTCAAAACTTCCAAACTATAACATTTGTCTACACGAACAGGCAAAAATAGATTGGATAATGGGAGCGCGTAACTATCACATTAATGAATTATTGATTTTGTTGTTCAATTTCCCAGAACATGACCAGGATTATAACAATTAATTGAATACATACTTATATACAGAAATACATACATATGTATGTACATATTTATAGCATACAAAGGCCAAATCATTGCATAAGCTGCCCAAAGAGATTAGAATGGCCTTAATTTATTTACCAACTAATTATAATGAAGCAATCAGACAACTGAAATGTGTACTATATTTATGGAGGGGGCCTTGCATACCATATGAATTATTTCATATTAAGAAGGTATTCCTGTTAAAAGCAATCGACAAGAAATGGAAGAATTCCCCGAATTTTAAAAATAAACAATTTTGTAGAAAAAACAAAAGCGCACATCAAGTACATATGTATGTATATGTACATTGTTTATGTATATACATATATACGTATATACATACATATGTACAGACGTCATAAAGATGCGTACAAAGTGTGCAAATATGGTTGATTTTATTACATATAAATATAAATATATATATGTGTGTGTGTGTGTGCATAAACATGTGTACATTTCGGTGCATGTAGAGCCAAATTTATGCAGAAATTATGGCTCGGGAATGCTTTGGCTTCATCAATATTCAAGGAATGCATACAGATGCACATGTTTGTATGCTGTTTCTGTATTTACAAACATACATACATATACATATGTACATTTTTATGTATGGTGATTGCAGTGGAAACGTGAGGATTCCTAGAAATGCCTGCGCGCTTGTTTCTAGTTTAAAATGTACTTACACGATCGTCCCGTTTTTGCGAAACTCGCTGATAATGTACTTGAAGTCTTCACCATTCTGCTCATAGAGCTCCAATTGCTCCCAATAGACACGAACTTCCTCCTCCGAAGAATAGACGTAGAAGTTGCCTTGGGTAACATTGGGCGGTCGCCTCGGACGCTCGGCCGCCGTTCGGAAGTTGTATTTTAATGGGTCACTATATGTCGAGTTGGTCATATTACTGCGCACACGCAGCTTCAGAGAATAACTGTAGCCGGCGTACGGTAGTTTGTTTAGACACAATTTCTCCACCAGCGGATCCGTATTGTTGGGCCATTCGGGCCGCTTTAATTCCGGAAAGTTTTGCGGTTTCACAACAACATGCCAAAGCAAGCCCTTCTGATAGTTGCTGCGCCTTTCCATACCCCATGATAGACAAATAGAGTCCGACGTTTTATTGACCACTGTAAGATTGTGACCGGGACGCGCTGGAATCTGGCTCAAGTGATTGTTTATTTGGAAGGACTGCGAGATGGAGCCGAGTTTGTTGTGAATGTCCATCGTAAAATGGAAGATAGGGTCGTATTTCTTGTAATTCTCGTCAGTTATGTTGCAAGTGACTACAGGTGCAGCATCGTGATTGCAGTCCACAAAGAATTTGTAATTGGGGTTTTTCAAAGTGTAGCTGACATTGTATGATGTTAACAAATTATTGCTGGGTGCCGTAAAATTGCACACCATGTAGACGTAATCGTAGCCAATGCACCCAAAGTCAGTAACCTCAAGTGGCTTAGTGCCGATATAGACTCGAGACGGCATGATAGCAAACTTGCGGCACTTGCACATATATTCATCCTGCTGTTCAGCTGCATTGTGCGCCATAAAAAGAATGGTCGTCTCATTTATTTTTTGTATATGCGGCTCTCCTTTGAAAATCTTCTCGGTATGGCGCGCCTGGAAATACAACTCTTGCACATCACAGGATTCAGAGCTCTTTTGCTCTAAATGCGTTTTATTAATGCTGCAGCTGATGTTGAAATCCCCACCGACAACCTGCTCAACACTGCTGGGGACAACCCAGCCAGGCTGGCTGTGCTGGATGCTCTGCGCATGTTGGCTGTGTAAGCAAAGGGCAACAAATATGGCTAGTTTGATAGTGCAAATGTGCATTTCTCGCATCAAACTATATATATTTTGTATCTTTTAGATATGTCGTTTCGTTAACAATTTGTTTTGAATACACACACTTGCACTTTTACGTGCACGCTACCTAATACACTGACGCACGCACACCTTTCCACCTGGCACTTGTTGGTATTGGTACGAATTCTCGGAAACCGTTTATAAGAATTCCAGGAACTGAATAAATGACATTTCGATTCCAACGAACTTACAATCCACCTAATTGAAAATCATATTGATTAACGGGCATTAATTAATATGCTTTTGTCAATTTTTATGTTTGTTTGTAAATTTGTAGTATTTAATAGGCTTCCGCGCGACCTTTTTACTATATTAATAAGTGGTGTTTTGCGTCTGCACTACAACAACAGTGTTGTGGCTATATGCAGCTCACAGTATCTTAGCATCGGTAATCGACTCTTTTTAGCCATACTTGTTGAGCAAGCCTGGGTACACTCGCGGCTATTCGATACATTTTGGTCATAGTCGATAAATTTGTCATCAGTATACTTTGAGTTGTCACATTTTCACTTTACACATTTGGCAGCACTGTTTCTATTTAATTGGGTATGTGTGTGAGTGTGTGAGAAGTGACGAATTACTTTTCATCAAATGGAAATATAAACACGTACATGTATATTTTCTAAAATTTTATTAAATTGTGTAAACTTAAGGAGAGAAAAATAGTTCTTGTAAACTTCTAAAATGGCGGAAGGCGGCAGCAAACGCATAAACGTGGTGGTGAAAACACCAAAGGATAAGAAAACCGTTGAAGTTGATGAAGATTCTGGAATAAAAGATGTGAGTACCCGTGTCCGTATCCGTGGTTGGCTATATGCTGCATGAATATGAATGGTTGGAGTAGTGCTCTCGGTGCTTCTGGTGCTAGTACTGGCCCTGTATTGTAAGACAATACAAGAGAGCAAATAAACATGTGATTAAAATGAAATGCATTTTTCCACGGGGTAGCAAAGTGCAAATGTTGCTTGCCGTGTGTAGTCTGTCTCCAAGTGATTGTGTACGTATGTATTTGTGTGCACACGTACATGCGTGCATATGTTCATGTGTATGTAAATGCATGGAAATATGGCAAAAAGGCCAAGCACGTCACTTAATGGACATGGACAACAATATTTCGATAATCCATGAAAATTTACTACAAATGTATATGTATGTATTTTTTTGTTTTGTATTTCTCAGTTCAAAATTCTGGTCGCACAAGAGTTCGAGGCAGAGCCTGAGCAATTGGTACTTATTTTTGCCGGTAAAATAATGAAAGACACGGACACGCTAAAGATGCACAATATCAAGGACAATTTGACAGTGCATCTAGTGATCAAGGCACCAACTCGCACCAATGATACACCCGCCCGTGCGCCAGCCGATGTCCGACAAACACCATTCGGTCTCAATCAGTTTGGTGGCTTGGCCGGCATGGAGGCCCTGGGTGCTGGCTCGAATTCGTTTATGGATCTACAGGCGCGCATGCAAAATGAGCTATTGAATAATGGCGATATGTTGCGCTCACTAATGGATAACCCTCTGGTGCAGCAAATGATGAACAATCCGGAAACCATGCGTCAGCTGATCACCTCGAATCCTCAAATGCAGGAGCTGATGCAGCGGAATCCAGAAATATCACACATGCTAAACAATCCCGATCTGTTGCGCCAGACCATGGAACTGGCACGCAATCCATCTATGCTACAGGAACTAATGCGCTCTCATGATCGTGCAATGTCGAATCTGGAGTCGGTGCCAGGAGGCTATAGCGCTTTGCAGCGTATCTATCGCGACATTCAAGAGCCAATGATGAATGCAGCTACCGAGTCGTTCGGTCGCAATCCGTTTGCTGGTTTGGTCGACGGCGGTGGTGCCGGTAACGCAGGTGGAGTCAATCCACAACAGGGTACCGAGAATCGCAACCCTTTGCCTAATCCCTGGGGTGGCACTGGCAATCGCACGGGAGGCGCACAGTCTAACAATAGCGGAACCGGTGGCGCCGGATCAAACAATCGCACTGGCGACATGCCACCCAACAACATACTCAACACACCGGCAATGCGAAGTATGTTACAGCAAATGGCTGACAATCCGTCACTTATGCAGAATTTGCTCAATGCTCCTTATACGCGCTCCATGATGGAGTCGATGTCGCAGGATCCGGAGATGGCTTCGCGTTTGCTCAGCACTAGCCCGCTACTGGCCAATAATCCCCAGCTACAGGACCAAGTTCGCCAAATGATGCCGCAGTTTATGTCACAAATGCAGAACCCCGATGTCATGGGTATGCTAACCAATCCGGATGCCCTCAATGCCATACTACAGATACAGCAGGGCATGGAGCAGCTGCGCACCGCTGCGCCAGGACTTGTGGGCACTCTGGGTATACCGCCGCCACCGCCGGGAAACACTAACACTGCAGATCCGGCCAGCGGTGATGGTAATCCAGCCAGCACCAATGCAACTAGCACCAATACGACTTCGACAACTACAACACCAGGAAACGCCAGCACAACCACACCAACTCTGGCGCCGGGTGGTGGTCCAAATGCGCAGCTCTTCAACGATTTCATGATGCGCATGCTTAACGGCATGTCGAGCAATGCGGATAATACACAGCCGCCGGAGGTGCGCTATCAGTCACAGTTGGAGCAACTGGCCGCCATGGGATTCGGCAATCGTGAGGCAAATTTGCAAGGTGAGTGCTTGACAGATCGTAAATCCAAAGTCCACATGATTTTGTTTAACGCCAAGAAAATTATATTGGTGTTTGATGATCTCCATCAAGATTCCTACGTTTGCGAAAAATAATATCTTCCGCAGTAGTTGAAACTTTTTTATATCATCTGGGGTCAATGTTAAACCAGTTCAGTTATTTCCAAGGGACTCAGTTGATATCTTTGATTGAAAAGATCGTAACTGTTTTATATACTTTCCTTATTTAGTAATTGCAATTAAAGAACATATAAGGGGAAGCCAGAAATTAAAGCATATTCTATCTTAATATTAATTATATTCTTCTCTTGCTCTAACCCACTGTCTCTCTCTTTCTGTTTCTCCACAGCTCTTACTGCAACATTCGGAGACATAAATGCTGCCGTAGAGCGCTTGTTAGCCCTAAATCAATTGTCTTTGAGTTAACACAGTTAAGCAAACGCCCAATATAACTTTGTATACTGTCTCTACAAGGAAAGTGATGGTTATGCATATACCAGGGAAAAACTATGCAAAATCCACGCTGCTATCAAATTTACCATGAAAGGAAATACCTTGAATCCTATAAGAAGCAACACACAAAAAACAAAAATTAATAATTTCACGTATGCACAGACATAATTGCACGGTCTGCACCTTTGCCCAACGCCTGAAGCAGAAGGCGTAAAGGAAAGATCCATCATACATATAAACGAATCACATTTGCTATTCACCAAACGATGCCCAATCCCGCGCAAACAAGAGACCCCAGATTTTCACACATCAATACATCCTATATTACAAATTTCATTGAACGGCAAACTTAAGATTTTGAGCAAATTTTTGTTAGTTTTTTTTTTGTTTTTTTTTCCTTGAAATTTTTCAAATGTTTAAAGAATGAAACTATTAAAGCGGAAATGAGTGAACTAATTAACAAACGTATACAGACACTTTAATGGGCAACTATTTAGGAAAAACTGTGACAACAAAAACGAAAACACACACACCACACCATAAACAATTCATAAGTTTGTAAATTTAAATGTCTCTGTAAATTTGTTTATCGTTTTCTTTTTAAGAATTGTTCTTTAACTATGTCTTTGTGCAGTGTTGCTAAGGAGCTGATCAAATTTTGGGTTAATTAAGTACTACCTACATATGTATGTATAGATTGGACTTTAAGCATAAACCATACCAATGGTAGCGGCGGTGTATGGATGCAATGGATGATGTTGTTATAAAATCTAAACTTTTATTTTATGCTTATAATACATATATATATATGTAAACGTACATACATATGTACATGAAAAAATAAGTAAACATTTATAAAAAATATTCCATGGTGTTACAAAAAAGACGTAAACTATTTAAACAAAAACGAAGAGAAATACAAAAACAATTCCTCTGCAAACATTGCTTTAGTTGTCATTGTACGATGGACGGACTCTGGGGCGGCTAGTCAACCCATATACATATGTATGTATGCACGTATTGGCCGACCAGATACCGCCCATAGGAACCTTATATACCAATATACATATACATTAAATATACTATATAAAGCTGAGCAACGTAAATTTAAAATACATTAATTACACTTACCTCTATTTTTCTCTCTGTACGAGTTCTTGTGTTTATCAATATTACATATACGAAAAATATAACTACCTACATACATATGTACATATATCTGTATGTATGAATGTATGTGTACATAAATAAGTGCATAATATGCGTTTGTCGCCAGCTGATGAGAGAACTACAAACTACATCCAATGTAGACTAGGCATATCATCAAAAGGCTCTCTGGCGATATTCACGGTGCCGACCCAGACGGGCAAACCCAAACAGACAGCAAAAAGCCAAAACTTTTCCACATTTATGCAATGCTTGATGGGCCGTGGAATTCCTGGTTGTAGAAATGATCGATATCGGCCCATTACATTTATGGGCTAGCATATCATATTTTTTTTTCTTTTTTTTTTACAAAAGGTGAAAGCTCTAGTTCTTATTTTGAAACGCGTAACGGACAATCTGGCCTTGCATAGATGTGGGCACAGTAATGGGCAATTATGTATGTACGATTACGATATTGCGGATAGACGGGGCCTAAGCAGCCACAATCATACGCATAGCATAACTATGTTAATTTGTGTATTGAATATAAAAAAGGAGTAAAAAACGAAATAAAAAATCAAATAATTGTAAATGGTCACATGTTTGAAGAAATTAAATATCTTTAGAGAACTTGTGCGTTTCATTCGGTTCCGTTTTTCGAATCAATCTGGACAAAGGCATCAAATACATGCTGGGCATCATACTAAGTACAACTTTGAAAATAAGAGTTCAAGGAAAACGGCAGACATTCTAGTAAATTAGTTTACCTTTATAAGTATTAAAATGTGTAGCAAACGCTAAACAGAGACCTACGAAAAACTATTTTGTTTCCCCAAAAGTTTCCCAGCGATATGTACATATATAACCAGTGCCCGACATGCTTGCTGTAATCAAAAAATATAAAGCAACTTTGAGCGTTTAACGCTTCGATCTACGAAAGGAATCCAATAATGTATCCATATCTAGGAATAAAAACTCCATTCCAGCTTGGGCCTGCCAAATTGGCTTTTACTTTTAATTGTGCTTTAGAATTGTGGCCTGGATACAAAAACAAAGCTTTTGCCACACTATCTAGATTATTAAAGAATTTTTATGATATTACTAAAAGATAAAACGGTTACCACAACGAACTAACGCTGACACACTCAAATAAATACAAATATAGGTATACAAGAGACGTTTTATACGAAATTGACCGACCGCTGAGATAATTGTCTGCTAAAGCAATCAACCATATCCTTTACTACGATGCAGGTTGCTAAGTAGAAAGGGGACAAATCTGTACAATATTTAGTTTCTTCAACTTTGTTATTTATGCAATTGTAATTGAAGCTCTTTCGTATGTGATCTCCACGATCTTAGTTTTCCATGCATATTTATTCTCGGCATTGTTAGAAGAAAACAATTTCTGTTGCTCATCGCTGAAAACACTTGTACGACTGAGTCAAAATTCATCTGTTCTATAATATATTACGAGTACAGCTGATAACGAAGGTGTAAAATTACCATTATCGTCTTTAAATTTGGAGTCGATCCATTAGTTCGTTATATTTCTTGAAAATAAGTGTTTGACAGTATGATATGCGACGGTTTCAACAGAAAGTTAACATTTTTACAGGGGACGGGGTCAAGGCCAATTACTTTTAGACAGATCTTGCATTTATATAATAGATATATACATACATACATAGATCTCTATTTATAGGCTATAAGGCACCTACATTCGTTTAAGGTTACTTATCATTCACATTCAATTTAATGTTGATAATAGTCTTGTGTATTCCATGATGTGGTCAGTGTACGGTCATAGCTCCTCAAAGAAGGCGACACGCGCCTTTGTTGAGCCCGACTTGAGTTTTTTGAGCGTTGAGTATTTGTTTTCGCCAGCCTTAATTTGCGCCTCGCTCAATATGTCTAGATTACTCTGATTCTCTTCGATCTTGTGCGGTGCAATTTCGCTGCGTAACGTTTGCAGCTGCTGGACCTGCTTCTTCGACTTCCGTAAGTATTCCATATGACTCCGTTCAATCTCATTGGTAATCTGCTCCATTTCGTTGTCAGTGAGTATGAACTCTTTGGGTTCTAAATCATCAGATATGTTGCTTGAATTGTCGCCCATTATGTTGTAGTGTGATGCGGATGTAGTTAAGTCAGCGCCTCCGGCCGTCTCTATGTCATTGGTGGAGATGCTGTTGGTCAGAGAGGGTGTGGAGATGGCCGCGATGCTTGACGATGTATGTACTGCATTCGAGACAGTGGATGTGGTCAGCAGACTGTCCGTGGAAGACTTGCGACCGCTGTTGAGAAAGTTTAGCAGACGCGCAGTCGCCTCTCGTTCCGCCATTTTGGCACAAATGAGCTCCTTTCTGAGTTTTTCCGTCTCTGCTTCCCGTTTGTCGTTCTCTACTGTCAGCTGATGGACATAGAAGTCGGCATCGCGTATCTTCTTTTCCAGATCGTGCTTTTCGCGCTCAATTTTCATTTGGCGTTCCCTCAGACGATCCATTTCGGTCTTGAAATGATTCGCTTTGCATTCAGTCAGCTGCATTTGCTCCTCATTTACACGACTCTTTTCAAAATATAGCTCCTTGGTTTCCTCAGAGCGACGCTATAAATAACAATGATATGAGGGTCTTTGGAGTGAACATCAATATACACCTACCAGTGCGTCACTAGCCATTCGCATCTCGTCCTGCAAATGCTCCAGCCGCTTCTCAAGCTCGAAGCGATCATGCTCCGCCTTCTCGCGCAGCTTCTTTTCGCGTATGAATTTCTTTCGCTCGATCTGACGACGTTGTTTCTCCTCCTTCGCCTGTGCCTTCATTTGTTGTATCTCCATGGTGTCCGGCTTTCGCCGTCGCATGTATAGATCGTGATTGCCCTTGCACAGATCCAGTATCTGTGGCATGGTGCAAGGTGGGAGCTCATTTAATATAAACTAATAGAATGGGGCTTTCACTTGCACATACTCACCATTTTGTTTATGTGTAGGTCCTGCGAGTAAAATATGAAGCTAGAAACTTTGGCGTCCACTAGCCGTATCGTAAACTTCTTGTCATCGAAGCTGACGTGTCGTATTTCATTCCATTGGAACGTTGTCTTTGGCGTTAGCTTGTCACGTTCATCGTAGATGTTAAGCCCCACAGCCGTGACTCCAAGCCACAATTTGGTTTTGTTCTTATTCTGTGTGGATGGCATGTTAACACAATTAACATACATGCTTCGTACATACTATCTATGTATGTACATACATATGTATATACACTTTTTACACACCGTAATAGGAAAATAATTAACACCATACATATCTAGATCCTGTGCGATTTTCAAATACTCCATTTCCACCTCGTCTCGCGTCATGGGTTCATGGTCCATATACCTACAAATAAAAGAATAAAGGGGCTTTCATTACAAGTTATAGACGCTGGTTGCCGCAACGCGCTCACCAGGTTTTGATGCGCTCCTCCCACATCTCCGGCGTCATTTGATATTGATCTGTGACGCCCTTTGGCAAGAGCTCGCCGCCAGCCAGCATGCCATCTTTGTAGGTCTCGTAGTCGTAGGGTCCATATTGAACATGCACAGCATAGGAGGCCAAAAGCACGGATGCCTCTGGACGACAGTAGATGTCCATCGACAGTATGCTCTGTTTCACTTGCAGAAAGAATAGATGCTGGGTAATCTCTTGTATCAGCTCTTCGCTGACATTTTCGGGAAAGAATTTCGCATAGAAACTGAAGACATAGAAATTGTTGTTGGAGTGCAATTCAACACGCTGATCCTTAACCTTCTTGTCCATTTTAAGCCAGGACACATTGCTGCGCGTGTCCACATACTGAAGTCCAAAGTACCACGACTCTCGCAATCCAATTGTACGGCAAACGAGATCAAAGAGATCCTGGCCAGTGGCGCGCTGCTCCAACTCGAACTCCAACTCAGAGTCAAAAGTACTCACACGCACTGACAGGGAGCGATTCTTTTTCGAACCAAATGGGCTCATGGTGATTAATATTTATGGTGTAGCCAATTAGACTTGTTGCTCGCTATCTTATGATGTGTTGTTGTTACTGTTGCTTTTGTTGCTGCTACTCCTGAGTTTCGTAGTCGTCGTACCTCTCCAACATTTCCAATCGCACATATTGCACTCACTCTTTGTTAATGTACTCGAAATTGACTTTTTATAATTCTTTTAATTGCCATGAATATATTAATATTAATAAATAATATGATAAGCTAACGTTACAGTTACAAAATTCGACAAGAATAAAAATGCGAGCGTATAAATAGCAACAACAAAGAATAATGTGTGTGTGCGTGTAATTTGCAGCCAATCGGTCTGTCTGTCATACTTGTGTGTGTGAGTGTTGCGTATGGATGAGAGCGCAAGAATGAGAGACCGACATTTTTACTGTCAAATTTGATACAACAACACGAGGCACCGTGGTGAAAGAACACAATGAATATGAGCTCACCAAATACGCATATCTGACTCCCAATGAGATACCAAACGATAAATTGAATTTGTTTTTTCTAGAAAAAAAAATGCATAGAACTATTTATTAATAGTATTGCCTCATACATATGTATGCATATTTTTATATTCTATATAAATTATTTAATTCGTCGTTCTCTATTAAAGTCCCTCTAATGTGCAGTTCTTGAAAGGTGTTTTGTGGCATAGAATCACTAATGGTGTATTTATATTATGTTGCTTAATATTACACTTGAGTTGTCATTATTACAAATGTACATATATATGTATGCATATATGTACATACATACATATGTTAATGCTTATCATACCAAGTTGAGTGAGGATGTATGTATGATGATTGACTATGTACATATAAAAATAAATAAAACAATTTCATATGTATTTGGAACAAAAACAATTTCAAAATATAAGCCTTGTTTACAAATTTAATGAAAAAAGTAATGTGCAACTTGAATCATGAACATTAATTTAGAATTACAACCAATATGTATGGATGTGTGCATGAACGTATGTGATGAATTATGTATATTTATGCATTTTTAGAATTTGAGATTCATTTCATTGGCACTGTGAAAATAAAATTACAATTAATTTTCTACAATGCGTGTGAAGAAAATGTATTGAAGGTTCATTTATTTTAAGGCAGAGCTGTGCGCCTTTACTGTTTGTCCTCAGGATATAGGATATTTATTTTCAAGCACACATATGTATGCATATATTGCTAAATGTTTTTGCATTCTACAAATACTATGTGTATACATACATACATATGTATGCAATGCACGATAAGTACATACAATTACGTCTCACAGCTCTATTTTCAAGTAATATGTTTTTTGTAGTTGTATGTACAATTATATCCTGCCGTATCTTGCAACTTAAAATAGCAATGGTTGTTTTTATGTGTATTTACGTATCTATGTCTATATATTCTAATGAGTGTTGCGTTTGAGACGCTCAACGTGCAAGTCATACAACATCTTGTTTTTCTCATAGTAATAGGGGTTTTGATCAGCATTCAGCTCCGGATTGTATTCATACTCATACCGAGTGCCATCTGAACTGAGTACTGCAACCGTCTCAGCTTGTCCACCTGCAATCGGTGGTACTATGTAGTTATTGTTGTCATTGCTTAGAGTTGGAATGCTGCAACTGCTGCTACTACTACTATTTCCATCGTCGTAGTTCAAATGCAAATTGTTGATTCGTTTGGAGAGCGGTGTGGACTCACATGGCAGATCATCTTCACGACTACGTTTTCTAAGACAGGAACATACAATAAAAATTTTTAATATTTGGCAAGTTCAGGCCTTTTTAGCAAATTCATAAATTTCATTCAAATTTAGGAGTGCTTCAAATAAATTGCTGGTCACTGTATTGATGGCGATTATCTTTGGTATCACCTTCTGCCGAGGGGTATTGGATTATATGGTGAAACACTGAACAGCCATAAGTACCTCGTCTTTATAAATCCAGCCATTTCGATGACATTTCTTTTTAAAATAGACCTCCCAACAAAATTGCTAGTTGCCTTATTATTGTTCTATTGTGGCACTTCTATTTCTAGTCTTTTGCTTTTTGACAACTACTATCGACAAGAGTGGCAGCACCAAGGCAGAGTTGTCAATTGCTGCAAACGTCAAGTGAGCTTTACCGCGATGACAACCCTGTGTTTCGTCATTCGTACGCATACAGAGCCCAACCCAGCCCAAAAAAAGAACAGAATCGAATTTTGAACATTTAAAAATTAAATCAACTGTAAGTAAAATACGCGCAAAATTGATTCAACACCGGTGTCGATAATTGCAATCATAGAGCATTTAATTTGCGTTAGTGAATATCAGTTCAATTGCAGAAAAAAGAAAGAGAAAATTCTTGAGTGAAAATTGACGAAAACAGCAACAACTGACTGCTGCTTGTCTGCTCTCATGTCAGTATGGCGGTGTCGTGTATGTGTGTTTGTGTAAAATAGATTGGTTGAATTTTATTCTTGCTGCTGGCAGCCTTTTAAATCTGTTTAATTTATGCATTTCTCTGGCCTTTCTTTTAATTGCACTATTGCATAAAATTAGGCAAGCCAAATGCAAATGGTTGTGTTAGTGATGCGTTGCAAAACAAAACTGCAATACATACATACATATGTATGTATATATGTACATAGGAAACGTACTATGTATGCGAGTGGCTTGTACACAAGTGCATTTGTGTCAAAATAAATTAGCATAATAACTAGGCGTTGCAGACAGTAAATTGCAGTTGCTGTCGGTTTTTATAATGTTAGTTTTTTAAATTCAGACATACCCATGTGCATATGTAAATTAATGTACATAGTATATTTATACATTCGTGCTACATATTCTCGGAAACAACATTGTTCTTTAACTACATACAGTACATACATACATATGTACATATATATTTCGTATTAGAACTGTTGGATTTGGCTTATCTATGCACAATTCATATACATACATGCATACATACCCACAGATACATATACATACATATGTACGCTCTTTTTCTTTTATTCTGCACGAACGCTGTTTGAGTCATCGTTGCTTCTAGTGGCTTCAAAAAAAGGAGGAAGCCGGTGGCGATATGCGCCGACTGTCGCCTGCTTTATGTGAAGTTCAAAAGATACAAACGCGTGCGTATGTGTGCATGTATATGTACATACATTTGTATCTATGCATGTATGTATGTATGCATGTAGATAACCACTAGTCAAGCAAAATGACAAAGTAAACAAAGTAAAAGCAATTTTCTATTATTTTATGTCGCAGTGGCTCGAAATAATAATTAACGGAAAAGTTCTAAATCGCAATAAAGTTACGTTAAGAGTGTGTCCAAATATGCTGCAAGACAAGAACAAGGACACTGCCACCTGTGTCACGCATACATACATACACATGTATCCCGTCTTACAAATACACCGTCCTGTTATAAGAAAAACAAATTATTAATTATATAAAAAGTCGAACATTAGTTGATAATTGAAAAATATGTCTGTATATTTGTATACACACCAAAGCTTTAAGATCTGTCTTTGGTATTCTTTCATTGATTTTAATGAAGAATTTCGAGTATTATGATTACGGATGTCAGGGATACATCATAGGTCGTATCGGGGTAGTTCCCGACTTGAAAATATGCTTAAATGCTAGGTTTAATTACGCTTCCCTTTTTTGGCGTTTTGTAAATCTATTCCAATTTTAGATCATACTTTTTCTTTTAAATGCGCGTTTAAGTATACCCTTTTATCCATTTTTTTTTCCTTTTTTGATAAAACTTAAATTTTACTGTTATTATTTACAACAACTTAAATTAAACTTATAGAAATATACAAATACAGCTTAAACTAGGAGTTCAGTCTTATTTATCTTTTATCCAGGACAAAAATATTCGGGGAATATTGGGTTGAGCAAAAATTGCTACTTCCAGAAATTCAATCAAAGTTGTCAGTTCACACCGATATCTAGATAAAGTGAAATATATACATAAGTACTACTAATATTGGTTGTTTTCGTCATAGCGTTTGTCAAGCAGTTCCTGTGCGTTTCCTATAAGAATTAGTCAATCCTTCAAAGAATAAGGGCAAACCACGGGTTGCCTTTGAATAGAACGCAATTTTACTAAAATTCTCATTAAATTTGTTGAAACCAAAGGATAAAAGTATATACTTGATTGATCAGCGTCACTAAACAAGCCGCTGGGATCTTGGAAAGCTCAAAATATATATTTTAATGGTTGTCCGGGCACGAGTCTAGCATTCCATTTTTTTTTTTTTTTTTTTTTAGAGGCATGTTACCAATTTTTACTGACAGAAGGGCTGGAACCCAAACTACTTTTGACTGGTATTTCTGGACATTTTTGTCACTCGCCAATTAAAATAATGAGGCAAGATATACATATGTATGTATATGTTGATAAAGTGTGTGTGTGTGTGCTCCATAATTGGTTCGTCAAATGTTGTGAAATTGTTTTCGATCACGTTCTAAACGAATGCCGCTTACAGACTATTCCCATATTTATAAATTTAAGATCGAGCTGCTGCTTCATTTTAACTCGTCAATGCAAATTTTAATTTTCTTTATTTTATTTTCAGTCGTTCTCCACTAAACAAAGCGTTCAATAATGCAAACTATTAAGTGTGTGGTCGTTGGAGATGGTGCAGTCGGTAAGACTTGTCTACTGATATCCTACACAACCAACAAATTTCCATCAGAGTATGTGCCAACTGTATTCGACAATTATGCCGTGACCGTGATGATCGGCGGCGAGCCCTACACACTGGGCCTTTTTGACACGGCTGGTCAGGAGGATTACGATAGACTGCGCCCCTTATCGTATCCGCAAACCGATGTGTTCCTCGTCTGCTTCTCGGTCGTCAGTCCCAGTTCGTTTGAGAATGTAAAGGAAAAGGTGAGTAGTTGGAATGCGGGAAGTGATGTTTTATATAAATTGTGATAATTGTTGTTCGTCCCGTTTTTGTGCTTTTTATTTCAGTGGGTGCCTGAGATAACGCACCATTGCCAAAAGACACCATTTCTACTGGTTGGTACACAAATCGACTTACGCGATGAGACAAGTACATTGGAAAAATTGGCCAAGAACAAGCAGAAACCTATAACCATGGAGCAGGGCGAGAAGCTGGCTAAGGAGCTGAAAGCTGTCAAGTATGTAGAGTGTTCAGCATTGACACAAAAGGGCCTAAAGAATGTTTTCGATGAGGCCATATTGGCCGCGTTAGAGCCGCCAGAACCATCCAAGAAAAGGAGGTGCAAATTTTTATAATTATTTTTTTTATTTGTTCAACCTCAAAAAACAAAAACACGTACTATATGTTCTTATTGTATTATTCTACTCTCGCTTTCAAACCGACCATCCACGTCTCCCGCTGTTGTCGGCCCCTAGCCCAGTTCTATAACTATAGCCGATTGTCGGCAACAGAAATTTGCAGTCTTCGTTATTATTTGTCAGTCAATACACACATATATCTATATATATGTATATATACATATATATATTAAATATATAAACACATTTTAAAAAAAAATGTTTATGCCCATATTTCGAAACTGTCACAATGACGATGCTCTCCTACGCCCAGTCTCGCCCAAAAGGACATTCGGCTAGGTGAGAAAGCGCAACAACATCTAATATACATATATAAACACATTTTATTTTTCCTTCGCATTTTACTCCCCAACTTGGAAAGGGAATTGAAATCAAAAGTCCGCCTGTTCGGTCTTTATTTTATTATTTCTTTATTTATTTAATTTTTTTTTGTTTCGGCCCAATTTTCTTACAAGTAAACAAGAGAGAGAGAAAAATCAATAACAATATAGCAAAACAAATTATTTATATTGTATACAAAATTAAGAGAGAGCAATTTTCTGTTTTTTCATAAAAAAAATGAAAAAAGAAAACAACAAAATTACGAAAGAGCAATTTTCTGTATTTTCATTTTTTAAAATGAAAAAAAAAAAAAAAAACAATAACAAAATTATGAGAGAAAGAGAGCAATTTTCTGTTTTTTGTATGAGTAAAGAAGCTCACAGTGAAATGGTTGAGCAGAACGAAGATTTAAATAATAATATACCAAATGGTAAAAGCGTCATGCGAGTTTAAGAGGTTATACCGCCTAAGCATAACGAATAACAACAACAGCCACAACAACACAGAATTCGCGTAAACTAAACACAGAAAATAATAGTAATAATAATGAAAAAGCTATTATGTAATAATGTAAGATTATTGAAGTATAAGCGGATGAAGTTGGAGCAAATTGAAATCTATATAACCCAAGTAACAATAAAATCAATAACAACAACAACAACAAAATCAGCAACAACAAAAATTGTATTGTAGTTCAGCATAAAAGAACTAATGCATTTTTTAATATTTTTATATGTGTATCAATTTTTACATATTTTTTTTCTAGATTTTAGACATTGACATACATTATTGATTTCAGATATAATAAAAACAAAAATACATATATATGTAAAACAAAAACGATCGATGGTCCTTTGTTGCTGGCTTTTTTTTACTGTAGCGGCAGGGGCTGAACCCATTTGCATTTAATGGCCGCCTCCGCCACACGCTCCACTGCCGTCTCACTAAATCCTTCGCTGCCAGCAATGTCAATGTTATCATAGTCGTAGCGAAGGTTATTAGCACAGTCGTGAAGGAGCTGTTCGACTCCGTGCCAAGCAATCATGACACCATTGTCGGAGCAATAACCCTTGGAGGGCCGATAAGTGCGACAATTGTATTGGAGGGCCAAATGGCTGATGTTTGCAAAAATCACATCATTGTTAGCCACTCCACCGGACACGACCAACGTGGGGGGCGCATCACCAAAGAGATTTTGATGTGGGTGCAGGCAAAATTCGAGCGCACGTTGAGTGCGATTCATCAGATGGCGACTGACGGCGACCAACAGACCCGCACAAAAGTCGTTGTAGTTGCTGATAACGCCATCGCAAGGTGTACGCTCCAAAAGCTCTCGCATGCGTATCGCTCGAAAGGAGTTGTTCTTGATGCCCGCGAAACTAAAATTGCAGTTACGTTGTTGGGCTAGCGGCCGCGGGAAATCATAGGCATTTGGGTTTTGCGCCGATTTGGCGGCATCTTCAATGGCGCGACCACCATTCCATAGCCGATACTTTGGTAACACGAACAGGCGCAGGCGTCTTGCAATTTTGTCGAACGCTTCGCCAGGCGCATCGTCTAGCGAGTCGCCAAGCAGCGTCAGCTGGCCTGGTCCACGCACCAGTGCTAGCTGGGAGTGACCCCCACTTATGAGGAGACAAAGATATGGATACCCAATGGCAGTGATGTGTTCCATACGAGCTTGAAGCGCATGCGCCTCCATATGATGCACTGGCAGGAGCGGCTTCTTGTTCTTACGAGCCAAGTGTTTGGCAAAGCGCAGACCAATTAGCAGACTTAAGGGCAGACCGGGGCGCGTGGTCACTGCAATGGCAGACAACTGACTCGGCTCCACGTTTGCTTCGCTCAAACAGCGCTCATACGCATGGGCGATGCGTGACCGATGCAGATCCTGGGCACGCGGTGGAATTATGCCGCCATATCTATGAATCCAGATCGAACCATATAAGAAATACTTAACCTGTTGAGTGCACAACAACTTACCGCGTATGAAATTCCTGTTGGCTCTCGAGCACATTGGCATGCACTTTGCCATCTGTGTCCACAATCGCTATGCCCGTGTCATCACATGATGTTTCTATACCCAGTACATAGCCCAAGGAGCGTTTTTGTTGATGTAATCGGACCTTAACCAAATGCTTGAACATAGAAGTGTTTTAAACTGAAACTTAGAATTTTGAAATCTGGTAGCGCTATAAAGTAGAATAGGTAGTGTTGACTAACACTAAAATAAATTTGATATGGTGAGCCGAAGTTGCTTGCTGGGCATGTGATTTGCAAATATGAAAGTGTAATTTATTTTCAAACAATTTTGTTTTTAAAAGCAACTTCGAATTTTAAAACCTATTAGTGTCGTAAACCAGATTGATTAGTGCTAAATATAACTGACATATGTATTCAAATATCAAATTGTAATTTATTTTTAAATTTCCGTTATTTTATTACTAAACAATAAATAATGCGTCTATATAGTATTCATTTAACAAAAATCACCGTTAAAGGATCTCAATGCGCTGACGGCAAAAAAAAAAAAAAACGTTTACATGCACAGTGTGATCTAAAAATGCTTTTAATTTATGTATCCCGAAGCAAAACATCAGTTTTTATTGCATATTAAAAAATCGCCTTAAAGTCAATACCAAAAAAGCCAACGAATTTTTGTAGAAAAAACATATTTTTGTCACCGAACACCCCCTATTTTCTGTTTCCAAAATTTAAACTGCAATGAAAGGAGTTTTTATGAAACCTTTTCGGTGCTAAAAAAATAAAAAAAGAGAGTTTAAAATGTCTATGGATAATTTTTCCAAACGTTGTATTGAGTTAAGTTGATCCGAATAAATATTATCTTTGAAACATAATACCATGCTCGTTTTATTCTATACCTAAAAAGTTCGGCTCTTTTTAGATCACACTGTGTTCGTATGTTTGTATGTATGTAATTGTAAGTGTATATATGTACCACATACATGCGTGTGTATATGTATGTATATACAGACAGACCTTCCGAGGAGAGTAGAATTTTGAGTTTTATAACCTAGGTTAATTTAAAGTTTGGCCTCAGCGTTCGTAGTAGACACGATAATAGAGCGTTTTAGAACGCCAAATGCTGTAGCTATTGTCGAATTTCAGCAAGTAGACGCCCTCTCCGGGGTAGGAGTGCGAACCAACATAGACCTCATTGTAGCACTCACGACGATAGATCGGTACAATGATGGATATTGGCGCTTTTTGAGCAGCGTTCATAGTTTGGGCCAGCGCAGTACGATCCTGCCCCATTGAACCCGACTCAAGGTCTTCAGTAGTGGACAAGTAGTCTTCATCCACACAATCTTCGTCTTCATCGCTATCGCTAACATGGACAGTCACTTCATTGGTGACTGGCTTGGCCCACTCAAAGTAAATACCGAAACCAATGTCATAGTTGTCCGTGGCAAACTCCCAGAAAATGCATTTACCATTCAGATTGGTGGGCACGCGCACCTAAAATGCATACCAGGGTACAAATATGTATGTACACATATGTATTAGCCTTCAGTGACACAACTTACCGTCACGGTATCGCCATGGCCAATTGTGATAACACCGTCGCCATCACCAGCGGAAACTTCAGTCTTGAACTGTTCGATATCAGGACGTGTCCAAATTTTGGCTGGACGTATCATAACATAGTCATCGTAGTCTTCATTACCCGCCTGTTCATTGGACTGATCTGGTTGCTGTTCGTTGTAAGCATCGGAGTGCTCATTGGCTTCCGCCTGAACTTCAGACTGCCTTTCCAATTCGTTTAGTTGGAGACCATCCATGGCATTAGCCAGTTCAGCGCAGCTATTATTATTGTTGCTATTGCTGGCAGGCGTTACCGTGTTTTGATCTCCACCGGCGGTGCTCAGCATTTGTTCCATATTCATGGCAGCTGTCTTGTTTTGTTGTTGATTCTGGTTTTGGTTCTGCAAATGCAGCTGCTGCATGTATTGATGGTAGTGTTCACGTTGCAACTGGTGTATTAGAACGGCTTGCTGCTCAGGATTGCCGGGGAATTGCTTCTCTGCGTAGAGCTGCAAGAAAATATTGGAGCCAAAAACACAAACAATAAATTTATATGTAAGTAGACAGATAAATGTAGTTAAGTTTGATATATGGAACTAAATCTGAAATGAAATTTGGGTCATGACCCTATTTGATGTGTGGGTGCCTAACCAACAAACAAACAAACATCTAAGTATGCTAGACGCGCAAAGCGCAATTACCTTAATTATTTACGTTTTTATGAATGCACGCATACACACGTTCACACGCACATCCGTGTAGACAAATTGTATCGTCTACATATTGGCGGTTTGAAATGCACGGTTGATTTGATTTCACATACATTTGTAACTATAAACAATAACAGGTGCACGCTTCATCATTTCCCCCGAATGTATGACAATTAATGTGAAAGAATGAGGTTGAGGTGTGGAAAAAATCGATTGCACCTGACACTTTTTTATATGACGGGGATATATACCTTAAACTGCTGATATGTTTGCTTATTAAGCGCATCCTGCAGTTGACGACGCTGCAATTCCTCTTTGTAGCCCTCCTCCAACAGTTCTTGTTGCTCACGTTCACGCTTTTCCCGTGCCTCTTTTTCCTGCTCCATGCGACGCAGCTCGGCTTTGAGCGTCTCGTCACGATTTTGTCGGACTGCCTCAATATATGGTCGGAATGCACTGCACATGGTATCCAGCAGATCAATGAAACCCTCCATGGCCTGCTCGCGTGTTATGTCGCCAAGCAGCTGCCAATGCTGCTGACGATCACGGCCAATGACATCAAGCACGCCCAGAGCCGGCGCATGATTTGTATTGAAAGGTCCGAATGAGGCCTGTTGCTTGAAGGCAATCAACTTTAGATTGTCCTCGTAGGAGAGATGTATGGCCTTGCCAGAGTTTTCTGCAAAAATAACAATTGCAATTTTTATCACAGGTACACGTATTTATGTTGAGTGTGGATATAATACGGTTGTCGTTGTTCTTTTACGTACGTTTGTAAAATGTGAAGGCTAGCCGATAGAGCTCCTGAAGCGGAAAGCCGCCCCATTTTTCTAAAGCGGCAGTTGCTGGAACTGTCTCGGTCTTTTTGCTGTCCATGGCCTTTTTCGGACGTCTGACGAAAGACTTATAATGTTCTTATCCTACAAAAGCATTCGCACAGAAAACAAAAATAAATAATAAAATCTTCTGGCTCTGAATTCTGACGTTTACATTTGCCTATTCACAATAGACGCATAACTTGCAGTTTGCGGTTGTTGAAGAGTTCAAAACTACTTACAATTTTGGATTTAGCTAAAAGTAAACTAATTTTGCAAAATTATTAATAATTTTTCTATTTCTTATAGGGTTCATTACATTACTAAAATTCCGAGTACAAACTGGCTCAGACGATTTAGTTTGGCCAGTAGCTCAACTGTGAATGTCAATTTAATCAGCTGTGTGAAAGAAGAAGAGCCGTGTTGTCTTCTACACGTGCCGCTATTTCTTTTTTGTTATTTGTGGTTAAATCTTATTAAATTAATACTGCATTAAGTGTAAATTAAAATGGGCAGCACGAGGTTTTTCTTAGCGGATCTGCCATCGTGCACTACGGAGGATGACCTGAATACGTTATTTCAAGACTATGGCTATGTGGAGCGCGTGGAACTGAAACCAAAAGCGGACTCAAATAAATTGATTGCCTTCGTAACGCTGCAGATCGATGATCCCCAATATTGTATGTGAAACAATGCGAATTATCTGAAAATATCTGAATTATCAGCATTACTTTCATTGCAGGCTTAAATGAGGTAAATTGGCAAAAGTTGCACGGCAGCAAATTGAAGGTGTCTCTTGCCAAAGAATCGTTTCTGGATCGTTTAAAGCGTGAGCGAGATGAGGAGCAACAGAAGGGCCAAGTGCAGAATAATGCTGAGCAATTTCAAAAAAGTAGCTCTGATCTGTTGGTGAGAAATACCCAAAATAAGCGCAGAGTCTTTGGCGAAGATGAGGAGTTGAAGGACGATGATATTGCACCGGAGCTATTGATTACCAAAAAGCGTGCATCAACTTCGATATATAATGGCAAGGTGAGTTTTTAAAATATAAAATGGTGGTAGCTTCTAAATGGGGTTTGCTTATGTACCTCTAAAGATTATTATACCGGTGGAAAATATCTCTGGACCCTTGCACATTATTGAGCAAAACAAAAAGTCTGCTAAACAGCAATTGGATGCTAAGTCGATGATTGCAGATCAGAAACGCAAACAATCACTAAACAAAATGAAACGGCAATTTGAGAGCAAGAAGTCCGCTGTACAACAAGCATTGTCATCCTTTGACGCTGGCAAGGCCAAGAAAATTAAATTCAGTGATGCTGAAGAAGATGATAATGACGATGTCGGAAACAAAAGTACTGCCAGCAAACAGAAAAAGGAACTTTTTGCTGACGATAGTGAGGGCGAAGATGACAATATCATTCTACCTGAATACTCTGGCAAGAAGGGCGAACGCCTTGTGGAAATGCAGAGCAAGCAGAGTTTGGATCCCAGATTTCGTATTACGGCTAGCTTTGTGGATGACCAGGAGCATGATGCGAATGAAGAGGAAGAAAAGCCCCAGGAAAGTGAGCGGAATTGGCAGATGGGAATACTCGAGCAGGTAGTGGGCCGAAAAATGGATACAGATAATGCAAAAGCTCCGATTTCAAAGAAAATGTTGCGATTCGACCCCGGCAAAGAGGAGCACCAAAAACTTGTACGGCAAAAACCGTCAGAGGCAACCAAAACTGTAAAGGGAAACCCGACGGCAAATGAGAAAGCTAAATCAGAGCCAGTCTCCCAGGCTGCTTTTTATGTCGTCACGGACACTTTAAAACAATCTCTAAATATGCGCGGTGACGGATTTAGTTTGTTAGAGATGTTCGGAAGTTCACATAACGAAGAAGTGGCTCAGCGTCAGGGTCAGTTAGAGCAAATAGGACGAGAGAAAATTATAGTCAACCAAGCAGGTACTGCGGTTGCGGGCACGTTAAATCCATTCCATTACGATTCCTCTGAGAGCGAGGACGAAGGCACAGAGAACCAGCCATCAATGGAAAACGAGAAGCAAACTAAAAAGTCAAAAAAGGATAAAAAACCAAAACCATCCATGGAATCATTTTTTATTCCAAAGAATGATCCGCGGCTTAAGGGTGAGTGTTGTTAATATACTTTTCCCAATTTGTGAGTCTAATAATGTACGTCAATTGTATTTTTGTACACTTTTCAGAGGGCTCCAAATTCTTCAAGCTTAGCGGGAACGAAACCGAAAATCATGATTATGACCAAGTGCGATCTCGTCTGAAATTGCTCATTAAAACTAAAATTGTTAAATTGAAGAAAAATCAACCCGAGGGCGTTAAAAAACGCAAAAATAAATTACGCAATTGAATGTGAGTTATATAGTTTTATTCAAGGAGCCAGTAGAAGGTTCAAAACTATATAAATATAATTAGAATAATAGACCGCACATGTTATACGTACATACAAGTAGGTACTTACATATGCACAGCGTCTTGTCTGTTTCAAGCACTACAACCACAGTTTTAAAGCCAACGTGATGAGTCATATTTTCGAGGGACCGTCATATCACCATGTATGTATGTATGTGCGATACGGTTTAAGAAATAGAGCTTGACTCAATAGAAAAAGAGGCACGTTTTCAGAAAATGTCATATAAATAGTATTGGCTATGAACATTTTATTATGTCCTATGGCCAGACAAATTTTTGTGCAAGGGCCTTAGACTAGCAGGACGATTTGCCAAACATTTATGCATTTATGTATAAAAATGTTCAATTGGTTTTTTGATTAGCTTTTTTTTGATATGACACAGCCTCTGTGTGAACAAAATTTAATGGGATTCAATGGCCGGAACTGATGTGATGTGTAAATCGCCCTTCAAAGCCATCATTTTAGATATATATGTATGTATTTTTTTTTTCCAATTTCGTTTGCTGAAATAAGTAATTCGTTTTTATTCTAGTTTCTTTTATGTATTTATCTAATTGAAAAAAAAATTGTTCCTGCACAAATGCATTTGAGCCCCATTTCAGCTCGAATTAATTAAATTAACATTAAATTTGGTATAAACAAAAACGCCAACTTCGGCATGCCGAGTCTGATACGATATCTTTCCATTGAACCAATATTTTGGATCTAAAATTGTTGGTTAACGCTAGTTAAAACATCACTCTTTACAAAGGAAATAAATTATATTTATCATATATTAATATAATAAAAAAAAAACCTACCCCAAAGTTTCTCACAAAGCTCCCCTTTATGGACTATTATTTGGTCAAACCCATTCGGACTGGAGTATTGTTAACTTAGGTTATTATTACACTACTTGTAAAATGTTTGATGATATTCTAAATAAAATTCGAAAATCCTAGAGCCCATTTATAACAGTTATATAAAGATTTTTTGGCATTTATGAAATAGGCCCGAAAACGGTAAAATGTTCATTTCCTTAAAGATCAATCAATTTTAAGTTAGGAATCGGCCAAGGGAAATTAACCATTTACCATTTATATATTGGAAAAAATTAAGATTAATAATTTAATAGTTTTAATAATTAACACCTTCTACTCCATATTTAAATTGGAAGGATATGCCTTTGTGGTTTCCGATTGCTTTGTTGGTTGGGTTGGTTATAATGCTGATGATATTCATGAGTTTGTTTTAGGTATATGTATAATAAAAACTATAGGAGTGCACATTCGATCTTTTAGTTTTTCGAGGTTCCCAATGGAAAGACATCGCCATTAAGCAAAACTCAACCTTAATTTAACTTAAATTATTGCTGGTGAGAACACTGCGATTCGCAATATTTCAATCAACTTAGCCTACAAAGTTTCCAGTTTCGTATTACGAAGAGTTAAGCACACACGCTTTTAAGTAATAGTTGCAAATCTCATATAAAATCGAGACGAATCTCGTCTTTGGCACTGCATTCATTAAGTTTCCTTTGAAAGTTTAGAGTTTAGATTTGAGGGAGACCGAGAGGGATTAGCTCATTTCTCACTCTCATTATCATGTTTATTCCCAACATCATTATCGTCGTCGTTATATTGGCTGCACTTCCCATTTGCTTTGCTGCTGACAGCCTCAGAGTCCTCCTCGGCAATGTCGTCGGGAACCACGACTATGGCATCGTCGTCGATATTCTCTGGCACTGCTCCAATGGCTGTTTTGGGCTCATCTGGTATGGCTTTTGGTGAGTCTGCGGCCTTGTTCTGTTGCTCTTCTGCAGCTGTTGTTGCTAATTGTATGGTTGTTGTTGTTGTTGTCGTTGGCTGTGTTGTTCTTGTTGTTTCTTTGCTTGTCGCCAATGTTTCAATGGCAATAACCGTGCGCTCCAATAGATTCATGAGGCGCTCCTCGCGCGCATCCATGCGTTTTAAAAGCTCCTCATCGCGCTTCTCGCGCCGCTTCAGATACTCGATGAGCTCGTAGTTGGTGCTGTCCCCATCTGTGGAAGTCGACATCTTCCGTTTGCCGGTTTTCAGCGACGCCGATGAACTGCATTCGGACAGATTGTCGGTGTCGACAATGACATCGGGGTGCAGAATGTTCGGATCTATGTTGGGTGAATAAATGTGACCAGACCTGCAACGAGAACAACACACAAGCAACAGTGAGACCAAATTTTGCGACTAATGGGCTATTAGAGTTCGATCTCCAAAATTCCTGATTAACTCAAATTAAAGCTTAAAGAGTTTATTATTCTATTATTAATTACAATTACCAACTACTAAGCTTTTCCTTCTAAGCTATGGGTAGTTTCAAAAAAGAAAATTGTTCAATGCATCTAACAATTTTAAAACCAATTTGATTCTATGGGAAAGATGTACATGAAAGCAAGACGGAATGGCTCCTGAGGAACGAGGCCTTGCATATACAGAAGAAGAATGGACGGTCGCTCGTCCATTTTAAGAACATACCACTTATATAACTTTACAAGTATACATAAGGAGGTAGGACATAAAAGTCGACTTATATACTCGTATGTCTTGTAGCTGTTCCTCAAATGAAATTAACTTTGTTGCATCAGAAACACATCAATTCTAATAAAGTTTATAAACAAGGAAGTAAGAGTTCGACTTTCTCAAGTCTAGCATTCCATTATTGTTTTATGCTTTCGCATTTTTTTTAACTTTTTCTTCTTCTTTTATAAAGATGGATGAACACATTTAAAAGTCGAATTATGAAATTGTTAAACATCTAACTACTAGAGCTAGACCAAAATAAGTAATATCGGGTTCAAAATTGATTCACTTTCTGAATTTGATGGACACCGGCTGACTTTCTCCGACCCAAAGCGGACTTATTTGTAACACAAAGTATAGGGATTAATGTATATGAAAAGAGTAATGTTGTTTTTTTTCTTCTTTTAATTCAATCATTAACAGGTCTTTGACGAGTACGAGTAAAAAATCAATAAATAATTTAAAATATTTATTAAAATTTTGCGTTAAGAAAATATAAAGTGAGCTTTTGCGGTTTTTTTTATATATAAAACAATAAAATAAATATCTACAAATTAATAAAAATCGGTGATGAATATGTGCAGATAATGTTTTATCATATACGAGCAAGGGCGTACGCAGGGGGGGGGGGGGTTTGGCAATATAAAGTCGACCTTAAAATGGAACTGAGTCGGATTTGTTAAAGTTTTTTCATTGACCATATGCATAAATTATTATTTTTAGATGCATCGTGCATTATTTAATCAAAATTTTAATGCTTTGGCTCAAACTTTTGTAAAACCTGCGTACGTCCTTGCACATGAGTATTTATAAAGATTTCCGGAATTGTGCTTACCCATTGTAGTTTGTTTGCATCAACTGTATGTCGTCAGGATTGAACTCGCCCTCGGACATTGGTTCCGATCTGTGTGTCACAAGAAGGGTTAACAGTGTTATTGGCAGATAATGGTCTTCAAAAAACAACCTGCCGTACTCACTTCATGGATATGTTGTTGTCGTTGTTGTTGTGTAAGTTGAGCGCTCCATTACAGTCCTTTTCAAAGTCCGGAACTTCTGTGGGCTCGTCGAGGCCATGATCCTTAAATGCGCTGCTGTGTTGTTCGTCCTCGAGGCTGAGGCAAAGGCCACCCGGAGTTCCCGATCCGCCTGCATTCATGCCGGCGCCATTTGCCATCTGCAGCTCGTGGCGCTTGTGTGCAGCCACAGCGGCGGCAGCAGCTGCTGCCACTGCTCCTGCAACCTGCAACTGGAGCGGATTGTCGTCGTAGACGCCGGGGGGCAAACTCACATTCAAGGCACTGTTATTGCATGATCCCTCGTTTAATTGCGCCTCCACAAAGTGGTTGGGCAAGTAGCGCTCCAGCTTACTGGCCCCACTCTGCGAGGAGTCTGTGGAGTGCGTGAGAGTCTGGAGAAGGGTGTGCTGGTGCGGTGTCAGATTGTCCTTGTTCAGCAGGACGCCCAGTTCGGCGGCTTGTCGCCGTCGCTGATAATAGGACAGCTCGTTGTGGTTCTTGGTGATGAGAGCGAGGCGCTTTCCATTCGAGCCCCAGCACTCGCCACGCTGCTCCTCGATCTCCTTGAAAAGGAACATGTATGGCCAGTTGCGACGCACATGCCGCTCCGGATTCTTCTTTAGCTGTGTGTAGATCTTCTTGAGGTTCTCGTACCGATTGCAGCACTGTTTGGCGGTCCGTTTGCGCGCACTAAATCGGTTAAGGACCTCGGCGACCATTTCCCAAACGCTCGCATGATTCTTCCGGTTCGACTGAAAGGCGCTCTGTATGCGTTCCGACTTGACTATGTTGAGCAGCGCTACCGATTCCGGCACATTGAAGTAGCTCTCTGGTGTACGGGGAGCACGCTGATGGTGATAGCTGCTGGTTACACTGGGCGGGGTTTTGGTCTCCTAAAGCGAAAGAAGCAAGATCGATGGAGACAATTATTAATAAATGTGCAGACATATGTATCTGAAATATTTGTAAAGTATTTAAATACATAGTATATAAGGTTAATGATTCATTTATTTTAGACAACTACAAGCTATTAACTTAAATTCGCCTGAGCCGATGCTATATACCCTGCACTGTGTCTGCCAAGAAAACTTTATTCCTTTATTCCCATGGTCATGGGCATTTCTGTTTCGGTACTATCATATATCTCTGGACCTCACCTGGGACTAGCCGGACAACCTACAACCTCATCATAAATGAAATAAATTACTTGTCAAATTTGTTTAACCAATTTAATGATTATCCACGATGGATTGTTTTAAATAAAAACATTCTGCTAATACAAAAAAATATATATATATTTATATATATATAAGTATATATCTCTGTATATTTACGACAGCAGAGTAGTGCCACACCATCTATTATGGCTAAAACATTGTCGATATGTAATTAGGTTTCCATATCTTATAAATAATAACGATGAATACTCGAACCGTTTTCATCTACTTTTTGATCAGAATATAGTAATACATATTCTATTTTGAGCTTCTCCTTCGTTAAAATTTATTTGAAGGCCCTTTGCCTCTAGCGAAAAGAAAAACAATTTAAGAAAGTGAAAGTGCGGTATTATAAGACCACAACTAATCTAGCTTCATTGATTCCATTATGATCTATAAGTTATATTTGTAATTTATATATATACATCTGGTAAATTATTAAAAATTAAATTTTTAAACACCTCATTCCCTCAGTCCCCCTTTAATATACATATTTGAAGAAAATGTAACATAGTTGAAAAATATATAATATTAATTTTGATGAAATAATCAAAAACGTCTTCATTTATTTTGTATTTTCCCTTACGTTTTTTTGCTTTAATGTTAGGAATATTCAGTTTAGAAATGGTCCGTTTTTGATAGTAATTTCAAGTTATTGATTAATTTATAATGAACCAAACAGGACACGATTGGCAATACACTTTAATTTCAAGATTATTATATTAAATTCTAATTAATATGCAGCAACTTTCCTGAATTCCATCGTTTGTTCGTCCATGAACAGTTCTAACTAGTTATTAATTTAATAAAATGCCATTTATGATTGTACCAGTATATATTTAAAGAGCTTTGTCATTGGAAAACATTTTTCATTCCTAGAAAACATGATGTTCATAGTATATGATATAAAAAATATGAAGCTATAAATGATTAAAAGCATATGACTGAACTGACGAGATCTGAGTCACGTATGCATGTACATACTTGTATGTACGAAGAATTAAGGATGTTTGAACTTCTCTTTTTACTAAACATCACTCAGATTTGAAGAGGTATTTATACATAAATTCATAGATAATGTTTCTCTTATTGCTTATGATGGTTACAAACATAAGTATACTGGCTAATAAGCTATAAAGTGTTTTAAGGATGCTGTTGACGGATAATAGGTGATACAACAAAAGGACACTATGTGGACATGGATTATTAGTGTTATTTGTGTAGAAGAAGAGTAGTGAAAATATACATGAATTAATGAAGAATTATAAGAAGAGAAGCGAAAATATACATGAATTATTCATGAGTTCTCAAAAAGCAATAACAAGAAATATGATATCTGTGGCAAAACATGCCTTAACGAAAATTTTGATTTGCTCAAACTTTAGAGAGCATCTAGTTCAATCAAAGTCCTAAATACAAATAATAGTACCGCCCAGAAAATTTGCAAAGTAATGGCTCTAAACTAAATAATCATTTGCTGTGTCATTCTTTATGGTAAACAAAGAGAGAATGCTACAGTCGCTCAAGCCCGACAGTGAAATACCCTATACCCGAAAAACCTCCAGCCTATAGCAGAAGAAAAAAGAAGAAGATAGGCGAACCTCTCCTGCAGTTTGTGGGCGTAATACTGGACTGAAATTTTTTCGTAAAAGCTTTTCTTAGAATTGATGGATTTGAATGAAATTTAAAACAAAAGTAGAGAATTATAGTTTAGGTAAGTGTGTAAAGAGAAAGCTTTGTTTATGTAGTTTTGGAAAAGAGGGAGAATAAGAGAAAGAGAGAGAGAGAGAGAGAGAGAAAAGGAACTCGTGTTGCGAGGGGATAGGGGAGGGGAGGGCATAGGGAGACTCTACAAGTTTGGTCAATATGGGATCAGCCGTTTTCGCAATCAAGGCTTTCATCCAGACAGACGGACGGGCAGACGGATATGCGGCAGCGATTTCTCTTGTCATCTTGATTAAGAATATAGATACTTTATGGAGTTGGAGATGCTTCTGAGTGCCTGTTACATACTCTGTACAAACCTAATATTTTTAACCTTGAGATACAAGGTGTTTCAATATTTTGTATTGGACAGTCGCATCCACGACCTACCAAATCAGTTTCAATAATTATGACATTGAGAAACATAGGCCATCCGAGAAAATGAGCCAATCTGGCTGAGATTAAAAGCAAAAAGAAAAGTTTCATTGATTACTCATGATGAGTAATCAGCAGTTTTAATTAAATAAATTGTTAATAAGTATGATTGCTGACCAGATAGGGACAAAAGCATTCAACTAAGTTCGAGTATAGATGTGCATAGTGCATTTCGTTTAGAGTATTGCTAGCAAAATTTTCAATACGATCGTAAAGCATTTAAACTTTGTAGGTTCATCTACAATCTACATATGTACATATGTATGTATGTACACGAGTATAGTATACCTATATATGCTTGTATGTACATATGTGTGTAGACAATTATCAAATACAGCCGGGGCTTACAAACTAGAACTCGTAAATATTGGAAATGTGAATAGATTGAAACGAATATATCATAGTCTAAAATGTTTGCATCGGTATTTATATATTTGATTGTTGGGTTTTAAACAGGGAACCAAACGGGAACGCATCTAAGCTTTTTGTGGCTGTAATTTTGTACCGGTATAGTACCATTCGTTTCATATCGCTTTACCGGTATTTGCTCGTATAAGATTTAAGACAGACAGGCTATAGAGTGGAAATTTTTCTATTTTGAAAACTACACACATGGCAGAATAGTTGCCTATTTACTCTTAAGCGTTTCCATACACAATATTACACAATTTTTCCAATTACTGTCGGAACTAAAACGGTTTATATGTACATACATACGTAAATATATATACTATAGGTGTACAAATACTCGTACAATGTAATGTTTAAAAATGTTCCTATGACAGCTACATAAGATAACGCTTTAATCCAATTGACACTATACTATCAAGCCAAATGGTATTAAAAAAATATGCCCGATGGTAAAAATTGAATATCAGTTTAAAAATGTATAACATCTAACAAGTATAGCAGCTGGTCTGGTTATGGCTCCAAATTTCAAATAGGTTCTGATGTGAACCCTGGAATTTCAATAAGAATTTTGGAAAGCATTAAATGGTTGAATAATTGTAGAGAAAAGCTCGAATTATCTGCCAATTTAGCTCCAAATTTCAAGTAGGTTCTGAGGTGAACCCTGGAATTTCAATAAAGTACAATAAGAATTTTGGAAGCATTAAATGGTTGAATAATTGTAGAGAAAAGCTCGAATTATCTAACAATTTAGCTTCAAATGAAATAAAGAGTCCGATTTCTATGAGGTAAAACAATAAGCATTGCTAGTACAAGTATGTATGTATATTCGGATTATTTTTTTTATCAGCCGTGAGGCACATTAATCGATCCCTCACTGTATTACTGCTGCGCTTGGCAACAATGTATCATGAGCTTCGTTTAATTGAAGAAATCACTTTCCAATAGGAAAATCATAAAAGGGTCTAGGAAACTTTGTGGCTCTGCAGCTACCTTATAATGTCAACGAATGCTGGAAGGAGTGGAATAGTTGTGAGAGAAGTGACGTCGTCCCGTTCTACATGCATATTTCTGCCTTAGTAGCCTTTAATTGTGGAGCTTACCATTTGAAAATATGCTTGGCTTAGCAGCTTTTTGTGACAAATGCGGCTCAGCTAAGCACGAGCAGAGCAGTGCTGTTGCTTTTTGCTTCTGTTGCTGCGGTGGCTGCTGGTGGTGTTGGCGGTGTTGGTGGTGCTGCTGCTGCTGATACGGGTGGTGCAGTGAGGGGCGTTCCGCAGCCGTTTCTGCGGAGGAGGCGTCTCAGATTGAGAACGCTCGTTGTCGTCGAGAGAGGTGTTTGGCACTGGGCTCCTCACACGAAGATGTGATGATGCGACCGACGATGCAAGTTAACATACATACATACAGATGTATCTATGTATGTATGTATGTATGTATGTATGCAAGTGTTTTGGATTTACTTTTTATTTTCTGTTTGGCTGGTATCGTCGGTATCGGTGGTATCTTCCGTATGGTGGTGGCCCGCTCGTAGGCAGAGGCAGCCTATTTGGCTGTGGTTAACATTTTAGATTATTAGAGGAAAAACCGTTTAAAAATAACGCACTTGTATTAAGTGCCGATGTGCTCGAGTTGCATGTCTATGTGTCTGTATATACATACATATGTATGCCTGCCTGTCTTTGTTTCTATGTGTGCGTGTGTGCTGAGTCTTTCCTATATCGGTATGTCTATCGGTAATAGCTACGATTGCCGCACATTTAAATAAATCTGTACATACATGGTATGTACATATGTATGTGTACATACATGCATACATATGTATGTACTTACACGTGCATATATGTACATACATACATATGGATGCACGTACATACATACATACATATGTATTGGTTCTGTGCACTACAAAAAAAAATTACATACTTAAAACGCAAACGCGATTTTTGTTCAACGTGTTTCATTATTTTATTTTTGTTTTGTGTTTTATACTTATGTACATTTCTACATACATACACATATACATATACATATGTATGTGTGTGTGTGTGTGTGTGTGTGGTTTTGTTGTTATTTTGCTCCTCCGTTTGGTTTTTGTTGACAACAAAAAACGGGCCGAACGACGACTATTAATATTTAGAAGTTAACCTTTTAGCCTCGAACGGCGGCTACGGCGGCGTCAATGCGCAACAGTTGAAAAAAAGTAAAATACAAACAAAAAACAACAACAAAAAATACACAAAATATGCTCATTTCCACATACATACATACATATGTATGTATGTATGTATGTACAAATCTATGTACATATGTTTATATGTACACTAATGTTTGTGCGTAGTCTGTAGAATTTGTATTTTCGTATGTATGTAACTGTGAATGTACATTTGTCTGTTTGTATTTTTTTTTTTGGCATGTTGGTGAATTATAGTTGAAGCTGCTCCTTTGCTTCTCAGTATTGTTGTTGTTGTTGTTGTTGTCGGTGTCACTTTGCAAGCTTTTGTCGTTATTTTACAAAACTCACACAAACACACATAGACACATAGACACGCACACACGAACACACACTCACTATCCACGTTTCTTGCACTTTGTTGCCGTTTTTTTTGCTATCCGCTCCCGTTACGCTCACGATTGCGCGCTCGCGCTTTTCGCGTTGTTTTCTTTTTGTTTTTTTCTTGCCAGCTATTTCCGTGCAAAGAGCGCAAAATGTCCGCGCTACCGGCGCCAAATGGCAGAGCGAGCGAAATTTAGACAAAAACACACGAAATGTGAAAAAAAAGAACAACAACAGCCACAACAACAACAAATGAAATAAACCAATCAACAACCAACCAGCTACGGTTAACGACTACGGCTGCATAAAATAAAGAAAAGCAGCAACATCCGTTTTAAGAAATGTCAATAACAATGGCAACACTGGCAACAACCAGCGAGGAACAAACAGTACTTTTCGTAGCGATCCCGTTGCCGATACTAACGGCAGTCACAGACACAGGCGCACATTCCGCCGTTTGCTACGTTCTGCTACGATCGTTAGGGGGCCCGCGGCGCTCGTCGTTTTTCAAATTCGCTTTCTTACTTGCTGGCTGGCTGGGTCGTAAATGCGGCGTCGCACAGTGGTTCAGCAATCACATCCATCAGCCAAAACTAACTAGTTAAAAATCTTTAATAAGTTTATATGTGCATATATAATATGCTGATTCAAATTATAGTCACATTCAATTCTTTGTGGGGCAAAAAATTGTGTTTAGTTTACGTTCAAGCTATTTCTTTAACTTTAAAATTCTATTTTACTTTAATTGTTTGTTGAGAAACAATATTTAGGAATGGTCCAATGGAAGCCCTTTTGAAATTTCTGGATTATTTCCCAAATAAAACTAAAGAACCTAATGGGCGCATTCACCAGGGACAACTGATCACTGATCACTAAAACTTCTGATCACTGATATATTCTGCTGAATGCACAGATACTTTTGTTTAAGCCAGGGCGCCGTTAAAATGCTAGGCATGTAAGTGCTATTGCTTGCGGCATAGAATCGCTGTACAAAAACATGTTGATTTGATTAGTTATAGCAAAATACTAATTTCTAATTGTTTTAAATATTTCAGCAAAAGACATCAATGATGAATGAAAGTTTTGCGACGCATTCTAAAATGTTCCTTAAATTGACCAAGTCGGTAGCTTTTAATTATCAATTCGGACAATTTTTTGTTTGTTCAATGGCCGATTATTTTTTTAAAATATACTTGGAACTTGTAGGATCGCGAGGATAGTGTTTCAACATTGGGCAAGTTGACATTAAATGAATTTAAAATAAATTCAACTTCCATTTTACACGCACTTACCAATGCATAAGAATTACATACACATGTGTGAGCAGCTGCTTATAGCTGATCACAAATGTATCACTCTATTTTTATGATACATTTTAAACGATTCAAAATTTGGTGATCGTGATCAGTGATCAATCCATTCAGCAAGGACTGATCAGTGATCAACTGGCACAGAAATGATCGGTCCAAAATACAATACTCTTAAAATAGTTTGTTGTTTCCATTTCTGTATACATATGCATTTCAGAGTTTGATGGTGGGATTATTAAATAGCTGCCTCAAAAAGATTCGTTCGAAACATATGCTGCAGATCAAATAAAAAATCTATACTCGATTTTTACAACGGCACTATATATTTTCTTTGATAAAAGAGAAACCACATATTTTAAGAGTGCTGCAAAACGAAATTGTTCCAACAAGAAACCGTTTTTCATAAAACTCTTTACGTAAAATTCTGCTTAATTCTATATATTTGCACAAAATTAATTAAAAAGGAAGTAAGATTGTAATAGACACTATTTAAGAATGAAATAGTTATTTCGCGGAAGCAGTCACCTATCTTTATTAGCAATTAAAAATAGCACATAAATATCATGGTTTTTATAATATACCAAATGAGTTGGAACAATTTTAATAAAATTATACAGATAATACGATCTTCGTTACTGGATTTTTTGGCTAATAGCTCGGGAGTTATGATCTATAAAAAATAATTCTGTGCCACAGTGCACGATCGCCTTCATTCTCCGCGACTGCGTGTGCTTAACTTAGTAAGTAGATTGCGACGCTCTCTCACATGTGTGCAAGAGCATCGGGTGTACACACACATGGGTATTGGAATATACATAAATACATATGTATGTCTACTTATAGAATCGGCGGAGAGACAGCAGCCGCAGCCGCAGCCACAGCCACAACAGGCAACGACGGTTCCAACCGTAAGAGCAACGGAATATCGTCAGTAAGCCGATGTCTTCGAATTGTTACTGGTGCCGGTACCCGAGAACCAAGGAAAGCGCACAACTACACGCACACAAACATATATACATATGCATGTACATACAATATATACATACATAGATGCTGGTATAGGCACAGATACTGCGATAGAGATTCAGCCAGAGATACAGATACAGATACTGTTGCTACAGCTGCAGTTCTCCGATGCAAATACCAACTATATAGACGGACAGGCGGGCAGGCGTAGTTCGTTTTAGGGCGGGAGGGAGGCGGACAAATGCACAGTTGTCGCATGCTCTTGAGAATGTGCAGGAATCGGGATCTACATACAAATATACATACATATTTATGGACGTACATATGTATGAGATAGCCAGACTGCTTGAGAGCTGAGCACAAATGTTGGAAAGGCAATCATAATTTATAAATACCCGTACACGGCAAGTCCGTGCAGCTTCTGTTTTTCAAGCACACACACACACACACATTTGGTTAGCAGCGTAACGTTTTGTAGGACCAATGGATCGATTGGTGTTCGCTGTGCAATCGTAAAAAGATAACCACCGAAAAATACGGGCCTATAGTTGAGGATCGTGAATGGAATGTGTGATTTGTTCGATCAAATCTTGGCCTATGGGTATATGTACATAAGAAGTTACCTTTCGGTTATATTGAGTATAGTTCAGTCGCCATCTTAGATCAATTGGCTTAACCATTTTTTGAACGATATTACATTTACTATATAAGTAACATTTTTTTAACAAAAACCCACAAAATAGATGAAGATTATCTGAGTTACGTTTTTAAATAAGCTTAAGTACAAAATTAATTTTCCATCGCAAAAAGAAACGCTAGAAGTGCCGAAATAGCAAATGGATCAGAACTTCTTACATTTCAAATTACAAGGAGGCTATTAATAATCATAGTAAGCCATTCTTTCAAAAATCAATTGTGGCGTTTCTGTAAAATTTTAAATGCTAGTTTAAAATTTTTGTTTACTTATAATGAGTTAGTAGTAAACTTTTCAAAATTCGTTTCAGTACAGGTACATATTTATCTACATATATACATACAATATAGTACATAGTATAGTATGCAAGTAAATATGTGTTTTTTGGTTCATATTCAGGACCTTTCTCATTTCCGAATTCATTGAAATTGTGCGGAATTGAAATTGGAAAATGTTTCGAATTTTAAAAAATCAAGTGATAATTTGATTGTTTCTGGAAATGAGAACACACCTGATTCTTCTTGTTCGAGAAATGCCCCACGTTACGCATATTCATGGAAATCCATTTGTTTTAAATAGCATTCAAGCAATTGATTCGTAAGCGTATTTTATTTGATCATTGTTAAGGATTTCGAATTCTGTTAAGTTTGTTTTAGAATTTTATCTAGAGCAATTACATAAAAAATGTATATATGTACATATTTCGTATTACTTCTATTTAATTATCGACTAGACAATTAAACTTAAGTGCTCATTACCTATGTATTTTTATGCACATTTGAATGATTTTTGTGACATACTTGCAGACTAGAAATTCAAATTCTCATAGAAAATTTTATTATTTAAGTAGAGATTTGTATCTGAACTTTATTAGGTTTTTGTGTTCAATGTGGTTGCTAATTTAAAGTATGTCTCGTATATAGTATGTTCACATACTTGTATTTCCATTGCAAAACCAAGTATAGGATGTTAACAAACTATTGATAAATGAATTCGTACAACAGTTCAAAATTGCTTGGGTATTTTTTTTTTTGTTGCTTTTCATTTTTCCATTAAGTTGTAAATGGTTGACCGTTTAACTAACTTCACGGTAATTTCGGTAATTTTGTAGCTAATACATGAAAACTCAGTTTAAATTTTAAATAACTAACGACGATTAGCTTTTCCAAGAGGCCAGGACTGTGAACCTTAACGACCTATACGATGTCTACAAACATACATACATACATATGTGAATGTAAGTATATAGTAAGGCATACGAGCGAGTCGCCATTATAAGTGTATACGAGCATAGTATGTATGTAGTGCGACTAGCAAATTACGGTGCATTTACATATACACCTACACACATACTCGTGTACATATGTACTTGTATGTCTGTATTTTTGCTCCACTTACACGTTAATCATAGCCGTCCAGGTGCGACGATACAAATATGCTACGACCCATAAACAACGATTTATATACAAACATATGAACATACTTGTATGTATGTACATATGTATGTATAAGTGGTTGTGTTGTGTGTGTGTGTGTGTGTGTGTGTGTGAGTATATAGTGTGTTGATGGCGTTTGTGCTGTTTCTCGTTTTCGCAGGGTCCGATATTTGACCTTTGTTGCTATACCCTTTGACCCCTAGTCAATTACTTTGCCTATTTATGCCAATACCAGAGCGCAAGTCGCGGTTAAAATATTCTGTATGTATTTTGCAGCTTGTCGTCGTCGTCGTTGTTGTTGTTGTTGTTGTTGTTGTAGTAGCCCTAGTTTGATTATCGCTCGAAACGAGTAAGTAATGTATTATTTACTTCTCAGCGTTAAGCGACGTGCATCGAACATTTTCTGCAGTCAAGTCATTTCGAAAACGTTCAATTCGATTCGAGCATTTACACTCACAGCCCCACCGGTATTTTTAAATTCTAGTACATACATACATACATACAGCAATGCACACACACACACACACACACACACACACACACACACATACAGAATTGTAGACATATGCATACGCACACAAATATAGAATGACTGACTGCCAAACGATCGTATTCTATTTGTAATCCAAAATAAAATGTACATATGTACATACGTACGTATGCATGTACATATGTACATACATACATATCTCTGTATCGTATGTGGTTCGCTTTACGATTTCTGGTGGCCGATCTTTCATTTTTTCGTTCTGTTCTGTTCTGTTCTGTTGTTGTTTTTGTGTGTGTTTTTATACCGTTTCTGGAGCGCGATGTTAATGCCTTTCCTTCATTCTAAGATATTCAACTAAAAACAAAACAAAACCGATTCACTTACATTTGTACGTACGTACGTACGTATGTATGTATGTTTGTGTTTATACATACATTACATACATACATACATATACAAATACATGTACATATATGGGATGTTCGCCGTGACGGC